AAGAAGAAAACAACAACAACTGCAAAGCCAAGCTCAGATTCGATTATAGCTTTACTTACAACAACTCAACAGAATAAAATTTTGTCAACTTCGACTAAATCGTCAGTATTTGGGGATATGTTTGGCAAAAAAACCACTAGTACAGCCCGTTATGGAGGTAAATATAATTTATCGGTGAGATAAAATCAAATTTTTTAACGATATAAATTTGCATAGGAAGCAGCAGCACATCCCGATTTGATCGTACAACACAATCATCAAGTTCGTCATCCAAAGGTTAGTGACAAAATAAAATATGATATAAAGTTAATCTTTTTTTTCATGAAATAAAGATGCTTGTGGAATTGTAAATCCATGCAAGAATGGTGGTACATGTAAAACATTATCAAGTGGACGATTCTATTGCTTTTGCACACAAGATTATTATGGAAAGAATTGTGAAAACAGTCAGTGAATCTATCTGTCATACATCGTTGAAAATAATTTATTTTATTTTTATTTCCCTCAAAGAATTTATAACATCTGGCACAGCAAATAATGATCGAGGTCGCACCGATCATTGTGTTAAATCACCTTGTCTTAATGGAGGTGAATGTGTTGGATTGCGTACAACATATTATTGTCGTTGTAAATCACCTTTCTATGGAACAAATTGTGATAAACGTAAGGACGAAATTTTCTTGCAAAGAACCAAATTTTTCTAATTTAATTTATCAAAGGTATTGGAAAACGTGAAGAAGTCATGGATGAATTGAATACACCAGATCAGGAATTACAAGAATATAAACGTGATTTAGAAGAAGACACAGAAGATTTACGACGAGCTATTGCTAATGAAAATATTCTAAACAATATGGAATAGACTCAATTTTTTTCTTACGAAACAAACATTTTAACATATTTGATTAGTAGAAAACTATCGTATTTAGTATCATTTAGATATAATTACACAAGCATGCAGAAATCTGTTTATAATCTATTTAGCGTTATTATGCCACGGTGAATTTTCGAATTAATTTGATTATAAGATCTCACAAAAAAAAGAATTTTTCTACAGAATAATTGAATTGATCAACATATGTAGAAATGCTAATTACTAATTCAAATATAAGCCGAAAGCACGATCATCTTCATTTCACTGAAGCATCTCACTGAGATGTTTCACTGGCAATTTGCTTCTTTCTCGTCTGCATGACCTTGAATTTGTAATTTTCTAAAAAAAAAAGAATCGTAAATGCTAATTAAAGAAATAGGCGGATTGTAATCAATTTAATCCAGCGTAGTTTCTTGGTGTTCCTATTTGAATATTTTCTTAATTTCTCATAACTGGTGAAAGCTTTTGCCTAATTAAAAGATTACAAGAAATTTTATTGTATGTACAGAGTTGGAAAAAATATTTGGATAGGAGGGTACCGCTATATTCTGAAATAGAGTTATTAATGAATTTTATATCAAATGAAAGCCCGTAAAAAAATCGGATTTACGAATATAGGTGATCGTTGGTAATATGAGCGTAGGATATAGAATTACGAAAACTTTCAATTTTTCAATGCACAATTAGACATTTTCACGGATATTCAATCACTGGAAACACTAGCATCATTATTCATTGATCAAATTAGAAAATGGAAGACGAAGAAATTGATTTCACAAATGACAACAATAATAATTATGAAGAAGGTATGAATCGTTTTATTAGAATAAAATAAAATAAAAAGATAATTAATTTTTTGTATTCAAGATGTTATTGATGCCATTAAGCGTTTTTTGACAAAGAAGAAAACAACAACAACTGCAAAGCCAAGCTCAGATTCGATTATAGCTTTACTTACAACAACTCAACAGAATAAAATTTTGTCAACTTCGACTAAATCGTCAGTATTTGGGGATATGTTTGGCAAAAAAACCACTAGTACAGCCCGTTATGGAGGTAAATATAATTTATCGGTGAGATAAAATCAAATTTTTTAACGATATAAATTTGCATAGGAAGCAGCAGCACATCCCGATTTGATCGTACAACACAATCATCAAGTTCGTCATCCAAAGGTTAGTGACAAAATAAAATATNACTAGCATCATTATTCATTGATCAAATTAGAAAATGTTTTTTCAACAAAAATGATCAGCGAAGAGAGCTCTATAAAGCTTGAAAAACGAGCAAACCTGATGTTTCCAGTGATTGAATATCCATGGAAATGTTTAATTATGCATTGAAAAATTGAAAGTTTTCGTAATTCTATATCCTACTCTCATATTATCAACGATCAACTATACTCCTAAATCCCATTTTTTACGGGCTTTCATTTGATATAAAATTCATTAATAACTCTATTTCAGAATATAGTGGTACCCGCCTATCAAAATATTTTTTGCCAACCCTGTACATAAACACGTAAGAAAACATTCATGATTAAAAGTATGAAAAATCACAAGAAAAGAATTTTCAAATAATTCAAGATCAATATATTTTCAGGACATGTATTGTAAGAGTTATGCCTACTGAAGTCATATTGATCTTCAAATAAACATGTGCCAATGCTTTCCTGTTAATTTATCTTTTTGATCAATTAAACATTATCTAACTTTGTTTTACGCAGAATTATTCAGAGTTCAAAAAGAGATTCAAGACAATCAATAACTTCGAGATTTGATTGTTAGATTTATCTGCTGAGTTTGACCCAAACTTTGAACACTAGTGAACAAAACAAGTAGTTAAAGACTGGAACTGTACAAAAGTTAAAAACGATTTCTTTTTATTTTGAAAACATCATATCGTCGTTGTGGGTACTCTTATTTTTATGAATCGTGTCAAAATTGTATTGCAATACGAAATTAATAGACATGGTGTTATATTATAAAAATAGCATAGAAAAACGAAAGCATCAGCCCTTTTCGACAAACACAAAAAGCACTCTTACGTGAGTAAAAATGAACCGAATAAAAATTAAGAAAGGTAAGTACAGCTATTTTTATGATTTCATTATACGATAACAACTAACTTTATAGTCACCGTAAGAATAACATAAATCTAGATTCTTTTTTTTTTTTAATATATAAATTTTATTGTTCCACTAGGGTTAACAATGAACAAGATGCATGATTGTAGAACACTAATTAAAAAATAAACTTGTGAGAAATAAGAATAGAGGTACATGTTCACAGAGGTTTTCACTTCTTTTTCACAGTACAGCTGACAGAGGTCGTAGTTTTTACCTATCATTACATTTCTCATAAAAATAAGAAGGATTTTAAATTGACAACACACGTAAAGAGCTTAGAAGTAACAATAACACGAAGAGTTTAGAAACAATGGCCACATGAAAAAAGTTGAGAACAGATATATCAGCAGCATATGGTTATTGATAATGATTTATAACATAGACTTTCCTTTAAGGGGGAAAAATGAAAAATATTTTAATGCAAATGTTTCTAATAGAGAAGAAGTATGTTTAAATAGGCAATACTGGCTTCTATGAGAATTAGTAAAAGTGAGGAAGTCTAAATACGTGCGATGAGCCCGCTCTCTTAGTCTATTCGCGAAGACGCTATTTTTTCTAAATCCACAACTTCGATAGTAATCTTTGTTTAGCGACGTCGCAATTAAAAAGGCATTCCAAGACTGTCTATATATCACTGCTTCGGGAGCTACCTCAAGATGCTTTTGAAAGCGTACCCAATGTCTATATATGTAGTCTCTTAAAGAGTATTCTCGACTTAAAGCTAATGTTGTAAAATCCTCGTATCCCCACAGGGAGTAGACAATTCGAATACCAGTCATGAAAACGTGTTCTATCCTTTCGCGCTGTTTTGCTGTAAAATAGAACCAGGTAGAGAAGAGCCAAGAGAAATGAGAAAGAGAGAATGCACAGAATAATTTTCTTCGGATTTTTATTTCCTTTTTTGGTATTATATTAAAAATTTGACGTAAGGCACAATAAGAATTTCTTACTTTCTTTAGTCTTGTATCAATGTTATTACCCATTCCTAACTTAGTCCCTATTTCTACACCTAAAGCATAAATCTAGATTCTAGCACAATGCAATGTGCTTCTTATGCATTTCAAAAAAGTTATATTCATTTGTTTTATTGAAAACAATATTGAAATTTATCAAAAAGAAAATAGTACTAAAACGCTAAAAATAACTTTGCACATGAATAAAGTCTATTTGAAAAGAGCAAAGTTTAAACCTTGAGCATTTGGATCCGAGTCGTTGTAATAAGTATCGGTTGAGTTCGTAAATGTTCCATGGCTTTAACAACAGCCCATGGTTCACTAATTGTTTGTCGTTCATCTCGTGCATTTGGTTTTAATTTTGGTAATTCCAAGTTGTCTTCATCACCAACATCTTCAACAAGTGACCAATCAATTGATGTACCAAGATGTTTTTTTCTTATTCCTTCTTGTTGGTTTCGTTGATTTAGTTTTTCTAATATTTTTCCATGTTTACGAAATGATTCATCAAATGAAAAATCTGGTGAAGCCGTTACAATAGGCGTAATTGCCACATTTCTTCTTAAATCGACACTGCTTGAAGTAAAATTAATATGTGAAACAACTGTTGCTTGCGTAAGATTATGAGGTATAGATGCGCGACGTGGTCGACTATTTTTTAGGTCATAATTTGAACGGTTTAATATGAGAAGTACAGAAATTTGACGAAGAAATTCATCCCAACTAACAACAGTAAGTTTTCTATTTAAAAAACAAACAAAACAAATAATCGTGTGACTGTTTTTCTTGTAAAATTTTACTGAATTGTTTCATCCATATTTTGGCAATCGTGTAAAACAGCATCGATATAATTATCACCGTATTTTTTTCTACAAAAAATATATTATGAAAATTAATTTTTTTGTTCAATGATTTATAAATCTGTATATAGATATAAATACTTCGTCGTTAATATGAGATCATGAAAAACTCGATTAAAATGATCTTTTGTTATAATTGCATTATTTTCAGTATCAACTTTTAGACGAAGATCTTTGAAAAAAAGACCTTTTGCATATATTAATTCCTTTTTAGTTAATTGCGTTGTCAATTGAGTCTTAAAATAAATCAAAATTATCAGAGACCTATGTAGACGAAAAGTGTTTACTTTATTTTTTGTAGCAATCATTTTACAACTAAAGAAAAGTGCAAAATCTGACCAACCAATAGCACCTTTGCGTCTTGAATCCATTAGAGTGAAGTGTAATTTTTCCAAATCTTGATTATTTTGAGTGAATAAATTAAAACTATCTGTCATCTTTCCTTTCGAACAAAATGTTAGAAAATCATCCAAAACAATATAACCATCTAGAATAATCACAGGTATCAAATGATATTTTCTATTAAGGGATAAAATTCTAACTCTTATCTCGATCCATTTTTTCAAAAGCAGAAATTAAATAATTAATTTCATCTTGGTTGAGCAAACGCGTAAGATCTTCCTAAATAGAATAGAATTGAAGTAAAAAAAAAACATGAAGGCAAATTAAAAAACATACACAATCTGGACAACTCCAATCTTGTTTTCCAAGACGTGGCAATGAGAATGCTGGATCACTTAAATGACCCCGTTCAAAAAGACAGTGAGAATGATAAGTTTTGATGCAAACACGACAACGAAGATAATTACCAATACATGGACCATCACAATATTCACATAAAAGTTGATAGGCTATGGTAATCTTTGAAAGGCAAAAAACAAAAAGGGAAGTAAGACGCATCAAAAAAATGATTAAATTAATCTGGAAATACGATTCTTATACTTCAGCTATTTCTTTGTCTGATGGTATTCGAGGTACTCGATATATTGGCAAAGGTTTTCCAGGTGCTAACGATGGTTGTAAAGTATATTTTTTTATTACATTTCGTTGATTAACTAGCAAACTCGATGATGGATCTATTATCCGTTAATATACGATCGTTTTGTTTTTAATTGATAAAATGATTATTACCTTGTTTTGAAGTTAATTTAGTCGCCTTGCGTGACAATAAATCCATCGAAGCATCTCTTGCCAGTTCCCAACTAGGCTTTATTATTGTCGAATGCTGTTTAGATATTGGTAAACGTCCATTTTTTGCCAACAAAATACCAGTACGTTTTTGTTGTTGATGTTCATCAGCTGAGGCATCAGTGATAAAATGATGACTTGTCCCACCTTGCTGTTCATTACCCATAGTTTTCTAAAAGGCGTACTTTTGACAAAAAAAAAGAACAGTGACATACATGACAATAACACACTTAAAAATTGTAAATATATAACATGAAAATAATGTATAAAAGAAGAGGAGGACATGTAAACAGTTTCGCTTTTATTTTGCTAATTATATTTTACATGTTTTTAAACATCACAAATATTTGTCACTACGTTATTTCACTCGTCATGTAAGAGAAAAGAAAAAATTGAATGCAATCATTCATTATATTTCTAACAAAAACAAACTTCACAAATACATTTAAGTTTCATTCGAAAAAGATGACATGACGTCAATTAGAGTTTGATTGAAAACTATATGAACAAAATAAACATAGAAGTCAGATAGAAACGTACGCAAAAATCAGAGTGTTTTCAACTATTATGCATACTGAAGTTGTTTTTTTTCGAAATTTCAATAGTTTGACATGTATTTATTAAAGGGAACGAATAAAGTTATCTTGGTTATAGCAAACAGTGTTCTTCTCCATTAAATTTTATTAATGTTGATAAAAAGTGTTTTCTGATATTGTATAAGCAAATACTGCTAAAATACATAATTTTGATCTAAACTAAAAAAATCAGCTTTCTAATTAGTTTTTAATACAAAATTATATTGATTGAAATCAGTTGAAATTTAGATAATTTAATCATACAATTTGGATTTCTAGTTTCAAAAGTGTTGTATGACTCTTTTGTTTTAAAGAATACACTTTGATATAATAATTGATTCTAATCGGACCAAATAATATCTTAAGTATCATTGAATAAAATAGATATCGATTTGATTGTATTTCAATCATCGATCACAAAAAGATTAGCATTCGTCATTTTTACAATATAGTTGATTTATACATTAATCATTTGTAATTTTCAGATAGATAATCAATTCGACGGAATATGATCAGAAGTGTTCCTTTTCATTGTCAAATTTATTTTATTTTTAAGTGTACATATAGAATTATATCAAAAATCACTTTCTCACATGGAAAATAATAAATACGATGAGTCATATTTTTGTGTTCTCATTGATCTCCATTTAAATCTACTCTAATAAAAGAATACCTTCATTTAACGTGAGAAAATCTTATATATCAACTCATATTTATAAAACATACAAATGTGAAGTGGATGAATTGAAACGTGGAAAACATAACTAAATGATTTTTGTAAAACTCAGATGTACTCATTTTTATAGCAAATTTCTTTACTTATGTTACGATGAAAATTTATCTTTCGAATGTTGATTCTTCTTCAGATGATACATATCTGTTATATATAAATACATATTAACTAGCATAGGATTGCATAAAAAAAGCAAGAGATTTATCGTTGATCTAATCATGTATTAAACTTGGATATCTCGTATCTGTTGTTTTAAAAAAATTAAGTTTCTACTACGAATATCGTAATCTCGCAAGTTACTTGAAAATAAAAACTGCCAACGACGTTTCATTACAGATTAGTACTAGTCTTAAATGTTTCATTAATTATTTGGATAGTAATAAACTATTTTTCATATGACAATAATGTGATATTTATTATTGTTCAATGCATGAAATATTTTATTCTTATGAGCATATTCTTAAATTTATAACAAACAATTCAATGTCACATATGACCTATCAAGAGAAAACAGATTAAAACATCTAGAAACACGCACACAGAAGTATTAATGATCATAATTCTAAACTAGTAATGTGTAATGATGAATCATATACAAATAAAATAGTATTCAATTTAAATCTGAGTTATTTCGACTGTTTCTTCAATAGTTTTTGATGAGCCTTTCAAACAACCGTAACTGTCATTCATTGATTTTTCACTAGCCAAATGGTTAATTACAAAGTTCGGATCATTATCAAATTTTTGAAAACGTTGATATAGACAACACATAAATGTAACAGCTAATATTTGTAATAAAACACTAAAACCAATTCCACCAATAAGTCCTAATAATTCTATAGTTACAAATCTACTAATCAACGGAAAACAACCATCAATATGTATTAATTGTTTTGTACTATTTGAACCATTATAATCATTAATGTCTGAATCACGCCAACATTGTGGTTCACGACAACATGATGAAGGCAATGGGTCTAATCTAAGATTAATATAATCATCTTTACCATTAATTCCACAACAATTATATTCAGATTGAAGATCATTGATTGATTGTGATGGTTGCCGCAGTGTAGGTATCAATAAAGTACTTAGTTTTGGAAGAGTAGAGAAGTAATAGAGTAGTGACACAATGAGAATAACGATATTAAGTGCTGCTGCAAATATCTATACAAAGAGTAAAATAGAAAGAATATACAGATGGGAAAAAATGAAAACAAAAGAATGATTCCAAAAAGAACACTAACCCAAAAAACAGTAACAAATAATGATAGGGATTTAAATCTTCGAATAGTGCTATAAATTGAAAGAAACGATAATACCAATGAAATCAAACCTAATCCAGTGAAAACAAGAATAATATAAAGTAGATATGAATCATAATTATCTATTTTGACAAGACGGTTGATTAAAAACGTTTCATTTCGAATAAAAGCTACGTAGATGCCCAAACCAAACTGAACAAGACTAGTCAAACCAATAAATATGCATAGCGTACAAAATAAACGTGCAACATTAATGCAGCAAGCCATCTTTGATTATATTGTGTCAGATGCGTGCGTGTGTGTGTATATATGTATACGATTTAGGTACTCTTTTGTTCTCAGAAGGATAAAAACGTTGATTCCATTTTCTCTCTCTTCTCAACGATACACACCTATATTTTCTTTCGTTCTTTTGTTATCAAGTCATACAATGAGAACTAAAGCGTAAAGGAGACAGAGTTCATATTGTCTTACATCTTGTATAAATTTTCTTTCCCCTCTTCAATATACCTGTGTGTGCCAGAGCCAGACGTAAGGCAGTCTTTTTTTCTCATTTTTCTCTGTTCTCTTATTTAAAAGATAAAATAATCGATCTTATAATATTGTTATATGTCTGCATGTGTTTGTTTGGGACAAATCAAATGAATATGAACGGATCCCCGTAGCATTGCTAGAGAAAGAGAAAAAGAAAAAGAAAAGAGCGTATAATTGGAATCATGCATGCAAGTATGTCTAATGGACAAGAATAAGTAAAACTTGCCATATATTGGCGAGCTTGAAATAAAATAGAATGGCTTTCTTTTTTATTAGTTCATTCGATATAATAGATCTGCACAAACATTGAATACGATGACAACGGTCACATTAAAGGCGCTTATCATCAAATGTAAAACAACAACGAAATCGAAAACATTGCCTGAGGACTCACTCAGTATTGTCCTGAATTGGGATCAATTGACTAAATATGGCACATTCTTAATTTTATTTAAGAAAACATAAAAATTTTGAATAGAATTCTTCATGTTTTATCATGTAACTATTATTTCCTTTAAAATGGGAATGAAAATCTCCCATATCTGGGGTGGACCATTGATTTTAATTTGAGTTAATTAAGTGGTTTTACTTAACAGTTAATATTAATAAAAAAATGTTTACATTAGCCACTTAATTACGTTATATTAATTGTTGAAGCAATACTTCAGTTTTTAAAATTAAATATTACCCTCAGACTTAATATAAAGTAATTAAGTGGCTAATGTAAATTTTTTTTATATTAATATTAAGTGTTAAATTAAAACTTAACACTTAATATTAAATTGACGTAAAGTGCCACCCATATCCCATACTCCAAAAGACTCAAAACTAAAAAGTCAATACCACCCTTTTTTTAAAATCTTTATACTGTATAAATGTTCTCATCTACCCTATGTTTATTTTTAACGAGACATTCTGTCAACATGTCATTATTTATTATCATCGGTAACTGTAGCAGACCGACTTGAATCATATATGTTTATGTATCAAAAACAACTGTTATAGAAATACTGTATTTTCATACGTATTTCCTTGTCTAATTTCGCTACTAGCCGCATTGAGTAAATGTTCGTTTTAACCGCCAGCAAGGCAGTTGGTTATGCTTTATTTTTGCATCTTTTCTGGAATCCAATTATGATCATCGACTGCTTATCTATATCTTTTTGGCTAGAATAGATTAAGAATGACAGACAAGAAACAAAAAAAGGAAACATCCACCTTATTTAGAGATGCTATATAACGGTTGTCATTCTATATGAAGTTGACACATATATATTAACCAGTATTTTTGCTTTAATCAGGTAGTCAACATCCGATATGGCATTAGATCGAGCAGTTAAAGGCAAAGTATGCGTAGAAATTATTTTAATAAATAAATAAATCCTAATATTATTTTATTTCTTAGATAAATTTAAAACGAGATCCTGAACAAGAACAAGCAGTACGAGAATGGATTGAATCTATTATAGGCGAAAAATTTCCAACGGATGATTATGAAGAAGCTCTTCATGATGGGATTATTCTTTGCAAGTAAAATCAAAACATATGTTTATATGCTCTTTACAATTATATATCATTTCTTTAAGATTAATGAATAAACTCAAACCTAATTCAATATCAAAAATTCACGCAACCGGTGGTCCAATGAAATTACGTGAAAATGTTGCTTTTTTTCAAAATGCTGCACGTGATTACGGTGTTAATCAAAGTGAAGTATTTCAAACGGTTGATTTATTTGATAAACAAAATATTCAGCAAGTTACGGTGAGTCTGTTTATTTTTCTATTAAGTTCATTGCGTTCTACTTACGCAGTTTTCTTTTTATTAGATGTGCATTTTTGCTTTGAATCGTCTTGCTCAAAAGCATAATTTTAGTGGTCCCAAATTAAATTATCAAACAAAATTACCTACTTATGACTAAACTATAAGACATAAATTTTCTTTTTTTTGTCACTCAATTTATCAATTACCTTTTTAGATATATTTTATTTAAAAAAAAATCAAAAAAAAAATTAGTATTCACTGTCAATAAACTTGGCAATAGTATTTAATTGCATGTTACTTGTTCCTTCATAAATAGTTCCTAAAAATTGATTTTTGTACAGTTTAATATTGCCAAAAGCAGACAACAGAAATTACACTTACCAACTTTGCAGTCACGGAAAAACTTTTCTTGTGGGTATTCACATGAAAATCCAAGACCACCCATAAAATCAATGCTATAAATTAAAATTCATCATTGATTAAAATTCTATAGATAAAAAGAATACGTATAGATACCATTTACTGGTAACTTTGCCGGCTAACTATTAACGCAAGCATACAATAGAGAGATAGTGAGAGAAAAAATTATATTTATAACCTCTGAAGAATAAAGTTTAGCCATGGCCGCCTGTTTCACAAATGGTAATTTAGCATCACGTAAACGAGCCGCATTATATGTTAAGAGTCGAGCTGCTTCAATTTCTGTAGCTAGTGAAGCTATTTGATGTTGCATACCCTTGAATTAGAAAATTTCAAATGAGATATATGAGATATAGGATTTGAAATTACTTGAAAATCAAATATACGTTGTCCAAATTGTTTACGTTCTTTGGTATATGGTATTGTTTTATCGAATGCACCTTGACAAATACCAACCATCTAGATATAATCAATAGATAACATAATATGAAAAATAAACTTTAGATAATATTTACTAACTTGAGCACCGATACCAATGCGGCCTTCATTAAGCATTGATATAGCATATTTATAACCTTCGCCTTCTTTACCAAGAAGATTTTTAGCTGGAACCTACAAAAAGTCAGTAATTATTTAAATTATAATCTAATAGAATGCGATTGATTTTTAACTGCATTAATCACATTTAGATTCCTATTCTAACATGTAGATCAAAGAAAATGAATTCAAAAACATTGACAATTTCAATAATGATGAAAATATACATATAGTATAAATGTTGCTATTTTTTGTTTTGTTTAAGACTATCAGAATGTTAAAAACCATGAATAATGCTATTATTTGAATATTCAGGTAATGCTCCATTGGATAATTAAAGAAAGGTTTTTTGAGCTATATTATAAAGCATTATCATTTTGATGAACTTTCTTTTATTATCGACACAGCCATAGACGATAGCTAACAAATCTTTCACACGAAAAGAATAAGTTGGAAAAGAAACAATTATTCTGTTCGATTTGAAGAAATATCATAAAGGTTTCCAATATCTCATATCAGCTCAAATAATTATGCAATTGAAAATATCAAATCTATATGATATATGACGAAGCTACAAGATTGAATATGATGAGAATTATTTTACGTTTAGGTAAGGAGAGATTCTGGGTAGACAGAAGCATTTTTTTCTAATTTCATTAGATTTCTACGATCGTATAGTGCATCAAATTAATAATACGAACATCAAAAATTTTCATCCACTTCTACGGTAATTAGTACCATTATGATGGTGATGATGAAGACGAACTACGAAAAGTTTGAATTAGATTAACTGATAGTTGTCGAACGTTTTCTTCATCATAGTTGCTAAATTTACTGGTTTTTGAAAACGATTCAATCCATAAGTAAATTTGTTAAAGAATACCTTTTTTTAAAATCTTATTGCTTCACTATTATTTAGTTTTTAACTAAAACAGATTGAAAACTCGATTTTTAAGCCGTACAATGAATTAAAGATGAACACTGATGTGTTTCGTCAAGATTTGCTTTTTAAATATACTAAATCAACTTTTAGCACTGTAATATATAAGTATTGAAAATAAAATGCAACGTGTATTATTTAAATATAAACAGATGATTCTCTTTCTTTCTCTCTGTGATGAACTTTTAGTGAATAGTGTTTTAGAAATCATGTAATGTACTCTAAATTCACAACCTAGATACTACTGCTTATAATCTTTGCATTTAGTCTTTCATTGATTGTAGATTAGCACTAAGTTCTATAAAATTTTAAGATCTGTTAAATTTTTCTAAATGAGCATTATAGACTCAATCTGTTATATAAATAGGCATGGCCATAGTCAATACTTACTTTACAATCATCGAAATGAATCATGCATGTTGACGATGCTTTCAATCCAAGTTTGTTTTCTCGTTTTCCAATACGTAAACCTTCTGTTTCGCGATCAACAATAAATGTTGAAATACCTTTATGTTTCTATAGTAGAAAAAAGAAGATTCTATAAATGTCGAAGACATGCGAATCCTATTTATACAGCTTGTGGATTTGTATTTGCCATAACTAAATATACCCCACTAATTTCTGCATTAGATATCCACATCTTTGTGCCATTCAATACATAGTAATCTCCTTTTTTTGTCGCTGTAGTTTTTAAAGCAAATGCATCACTACCCGATGTTGGTTCGGATAAACAAAAACTGGCAACCTTAAAGTACAAAAAAACATATCGAAACTTTTATTATCATTTCTGAAGAAAATTTTAAAAAACTGCACGAGATTTTTAGCCATTCGTGGTAAATAATCACGCTTTTGTTCTTCCGTACCACAACTGAGAACGAGTCGATTCAGTAAAGTATTTTGAAGATCAAGCAATAGTCCTACGCTTGCATCAATTCTTGACATCTCTTCGATGACAAGAATTGAGGAAAAAAATGTTTGGCCTGAACCACCATATTCCAATGGAACATCAACAGACATCAGCTACAAAAAAAAGAAAAGAAAAGAATTCATTAAATTGAATTACCATATTTTTTGCTAATCGAGGTAGATAAGTGGCTTTTTGGGCATCATTAGCAAGTTGAATGAAAAAGGGATTGAGAACAGTATTTTGCAAATCGATGAAACCTTAACCAATAAAACTATACTGCAATGAATAACACTTATGAATTAACTTTTACCTCCAAAAGCACTGTCTAAATGAATAAAAGAAAAAAGAGCGTAATGAGTTCTTTAAAATTTATGTAGCCTATTGAATCGTAAGCAAGTCTTTTTTCTGTAATGTTTTCTAACCTATTTTTGAAGCTTCCTCAATCGCCAATATGCATGAAAAAAGATTTGCACCACTGCCTCCGTATTCCGTAGGAATTTCAATGCCAAACCACTAATTGGCAGAATATTAGTATCAAACAGAATTGAAGATAAACAATCACTTACGCCTTGATCAAAAATTGCCTGTATCAATTCAGGTTTATATCCACCTGCTTCTTCCATTTGACGAACGTACGGTTCAACATGCTCTTTGCCAAAACGAGCAACTATTGAAATAAATCAACACTAATTTAGCTAACGATAAAAAAATACAAATAACCTGTTTCTTTAATTAATTTTTCTTCCTCAGAAAAGTTATATAAAGATTGATTGACCGCTGTGGATGATATACTACATTTATGGGGTACCCATGAATTAAATCTGAGTAAAAAAATGAATATATGTATAGTTATTTAAATTCTTTAACTGAGATTTTCAATAATCTCACTTTGTTGTTCGTAATAGCTGAGTTGTTGAAATGAATCTACGTAGATTAATCATTATCTGAAAAGAAAATTCCTCGTCTGATCTGTGATCTGAACTTTGGAAACCAACCAAACAAAAAAATAACAAATATGAACAAGAAAATAACAAATATGGACACAAAAATAACATACAAAAACAAGAATATTCAATTTATTTATGTCGATTCGGTCGTTTTTCATATGCATCTCTCGCTACTTCCATCAGAACCTCATCTCCTAATGAAGAGTGCGATGCTTCAGAACTTTGATCATCCTCAATTTTCGAATCATCTTGATTTGAATCAATCATTGGTTTTATGTCAACATTCTTAATTTCAACGGATGATGGAATATTAGGTGATGACCAACGTGTTTTTTTTGGTTGTTTATTTTTGTGTGTTTGTGATTGATAAGCAGTTAGAGAATTCAATAAATCTCGAATTGAATCTAATGTATTATTAAATGCGTGTTGAAGTGATTGATCTACTCCATGCGGTGACGCACGATGATCTTCATCTCTCATTCTGTTTGCAAGATGACGTTCTATTGAGATTATAATTTGTTCAGCAGCATGGACTGATCGGTAATCAGATAATTTAAGAGCCGATCGACAAGCTTTTATTTCATCCACTATTGATTTAACGAGACTAATAAATGCCGTAAATCGTAAACGATGTAAAACATCCAATACGTAATCAAGTGATTTTAATATCTAAATAAACAAGTTATTACAGCAACAATCTTTCAGTAAAATAAATTGCATTGTACGATGATGATTGTACTAGTTATTCACTAGAACATTCTATTATTTTATTTTATTTGCATCGCACTTCTTCACGATTCTTATACTTTAACGACTAGAGACGCAATGAATAAATATCTCACTAAATGTTATTGATCTACTGTATTCGACTGTATATGAACATCATCTATCAAAATTTGTTTAGTGGACCGTTAGTCCAAAATTCTAGGGAAAATATTACTATTTTTCTTTTTGATCATATTGAATAAAATGGAAACTATTGTTTCAATTAAAATAAACTTACATCTTGAAATAATGTCCGTTTTCTATCTGTATCATCTTCCAATGATATTCGAGATGTTGACTGATGCAGAGGCGGTGATCGTACTTGTGTCCGATGTTTAGATTCAGAATGATGCCGGTAGGATGATGATGATGACTGGCCATGAGCTTGTTCACGAAAATTTGTCTGTGAATGATTTCGTGATGATGATTTACGAGGTGATCGTGATCGTGTTTGCTTGTGTGAATTAGTTTCTGAATAATTTCGAGATGATGACTTACGAGGTGATGGTTGTTGTGTTCGTGTTTGTGTTCGGGAATCATTTCCTGAGTGATTTCGAGATGGCAATGATACATGTGCTTGATTTTTAGAATAGCTTTCTGAATGATATCGAGATGACGATGTCTCGCACGGAGTTGGTAATAATGTTCGTTTTTGTGTTTGAGTATTAGTCTCAGAATGATATCGAGATGATGACTTACGAGGTGATGATAGTTGTGTTCGGAAATCATTTTCTGAGGGATTTCGAGACAACGACGATGATACATGTGCTGGATTTTTAGAATGATTTTCTGAATGATATCGCGATGATGGTCCACGAGGAGATGGTGATTGTGCTTGCACTTGGTTACGGTAACTGGCATCTAAATAATTTCGAGATGACGATGACGTTTGAGGAGGGGGAGGAGGAGGAGGAGGAGGAGGAGGAGGTAGTGGTGAATGTATTCGTGCTTGTTTACGAGTATTGTATTCTGAATGCTGTTGTGATGATAATCGCTGAGGAGATGGGGATAACGCTCTTGCTTGTTTTCGACAATGTTGTTCAGTAGAAGGTCGAGACGATGACGATGGAGAACTAGTTGTTAATTTTGGATTTATTCCATGAGTTGTTGAGTCAAGAGATATGCTTTGCCTTTTATTGCTTACGTGATTCTTCCATTGATCATGTAGAGTCTAAAGATTAAAAACTTTTATTTCTTTATGAAATATAATGATATTAGAGTACAATATATATAAAACAGGATATCCTGCATAATAACATTTGATCAATTACGACTGCTATTGGATAGTATTACTAATGAATCATTTTTTCATTGTAATTTTATGATATAGATGAAATAATTTAATCTGTTTTCTCTAGTTCAGTTAGCTTCTCGTCCAGTCTTGCGTGATAATGCGCACATCGGAAAACATTTGAATTCTGTTACATCGTAGAAGACAATATGTCTCATTGACAAATTAGCTTTAAGACGAGACTTAGAATTATATAGGTTTAAATCAACGGTGTTATATCACAGAAAAAGATGACTAATTTTGATTTATTCTTACGATGCTTGTTAATAGAATCATGTTGACCCTATAGTAACAGCAGATAAACTTATGAATGAATTTATAGCTGAAACTTTTCATAGAAACATGCATAGAAAACAATGATTTTTTTTATGTATGTTGCAGACCTTATCAGTGTTCCTCCTATTCTAAAATTAAAATGTAATAAATAATGATGTTTCAGATTAATCAACAAAAACTGATAGACGTGATGTTATTATTGTAAGATATGAATTAGTCGGAAGCCAAAGATAGGAAATATTGTCAAGATATAATTGGTTCATTTAGATCTACATAGTGACTATTGTTTTCATTGAAAAACAGTTCATTAATTGGAAGTATTTCATCGCTAGATAATTGAAAAACACTTCAAATAGATTGCATAATATTTTCAACTTAAATACTAATCGAATGTATTGAAAATTATATCTACAGTCAATGTGTTTCTTTTCTCAGATTGTTATCATAAAAGATTTATCAAGATCTTGAGTATTGAAATTCTTACGTTGAAATTTCGATGAAATTGAGTGAATGTGTTCATAATTATTGAATGTTGATCAATATGAGAAATTTTTACTTTATTTAATTCTATTAATGCTTTAAATGATCGAGATGATTGATCAATTTTATCTAATATTTCATTATAGATCTGTTTTTGATTTTCATCTATAGATTGAGCTTGTTGTTTCAATCGATCTAAATTTATCGATGAAAGACCACGTATGGTGCACATATGTTCGAATAATTGAACAAATAAATGCTCATGATTGTACTGATTAATTAGCTGACGTAAGTAATTTACGAATTCGTTTAATGTTTTTTCAAATGAATAACTTGAAAACGGCATTGATGAAAATGATTCAAGATTTTCAGCTATATGATTTCTAGGAGGTATAAATCTGAAACGAGAAAAAGAATTTCTTTATTGAAAACATAGGATGAAAAAAAACTGATGATATTACTCATTAGTTGATATCTGATTAGATTGTGAAATATCCTCAATTTTAATAAGAACTGGTGATGTAGAAGAATCAGCTTCAGCCAGAGGAATTCTATCATAGAGAAAATGAATTTTTAACGATTTATTACACTTATTTCTTTTACCTGTTCTCTACTCGAGTTGGAGTTTGTTTGGCTTGGCTAGGTTTCTTTCTTTTCTCAGGTGAAGATGAATCAGCAGAAAAATCATTATCTGTTTGAAAACAAAAAAATTCTATGTTCCAATCAAACATCATCAAGATAAAAATTCTTTTTAACCTTGTTGTGTACATAAATATAGTAAAGTATTATTAAATTTTAAACCATTTTTCAAGACATATTCGACGAAAGTTGGATATCGATTAGTATCCAATTTCTTTTGTTGAAAATCGTATAATTCTGATTTAAAATTAGATTTACCTACAATAGATAATTTAAGAAGAATAAAATCATTTTAACTAGGCTCATTCAGGTTACCTTTGAAGAAAACATCTCTAATTATATCATGAAGTTCATCGAAACCTATATCAACATGAGTCAAATTACAGTCACGCGTGCCACCACCTTGTATAAGTTCAAGTTTTTTTACTTCACCATTTTTGTTAATAACCAAGCGTCCACAACGAAATTTTTTCTTCATAATTAATCTATATCTAAACAAATAGAAAAATCGTTGAACAATTTAACCCAAAATTATGCCATTTGATATCGGACTATTTTATTCTGAATTCCTTACACACGTAAAGTACTCTACTGGGGAAGTTCATCAATAACATTATGATATATAAAGATCAATCTTGAAAGAAAAATACTTACGCCTTATTAATATTGGCCATTTTATTCAAGAAAAGCATGAGATATTTTCTTTTGTCCACAAAATACCGTGGCCAGTATGATTCTAAAACTCATCGATAGTTGTCGTTAGCTATCAACAAAATATTCTTTAGTATGATATATATATAGCGCATAGTGATGTTTTTATTTATTTATCTAGGATCTATTAATTCCAATATTGTTATAAAAATGAGAAGTATTTTCGTAAAATTGTTTTTTAGCTGAGTAATTTTTGAAATTTCTTACATATAATTTATTATTTTTAAGCACAAACTAAATTGAATCATCTAATAATAGATTTAAGCGAAAACTAAATATATGAATATAAAGGAATTTCGTGAATCATAAATTCTATTGTCACTCGCTTTCGTACATATATATATATATATATATGCGTTGTTGCGTTACGTCCATCATGTCCATGGAAAGATATATTCAAACTGTTGATTGTAAGTATTTTTTGTTGTATATACATACGTATACAATAGTTGTTGCATTACACTATTTTATTTACATCATCGTATGTTCTTCTTTTCTATAAAGAATATTTTAATACCAGTAGATTAAAATATAACGATGGATTTTGATGATGATTTTGATTTCATTAACAACGATATGGAATGCGTGAGTTCGAACAATGATCATCAGAAGGATATTTTGGATTTTCCGTTATTTCATTCTACACCTTCGCTTGCTCGTTCAAAACAACCGATGCGTCCCGTTGATTTTCCTTCAATACAAAAACATTATGGTATTGTTACTTTCTTCGATCGTCAAATGCCGATTATCTATAGGTAAATCTTTACAATATACAATATGATCTTCTAAATAATTCTTTCTCTTTGAAATAGATTGATTAACAATAGTTTTTATATTCCTTATATTCATTTTTGTTATGTTCTCAATATTTTCGAGCATCCTTCATATAAAAACTGTTTTGTTGATATTCGAAATTTACCAGTGATCGAAATGACAACTACAGAGAAAGTTTATTACGATGAATTATCTTCGTTAAATAATTGTTCAGATTGGTCAAATTATCAATTATTAAGTGTATCAGTGCTTGATGGTGTTTTGTCTATTGTAAATCTTACGAAAAATTTGAATTTTAAAACTAGTAATCAAGCTATTGAACTTGGTAATGAATGGCAAGAAACATTGAATAGAATACGTAAAGAAGCACGTGATCGATGGATGTTAGATGAGAAAATAGTTTTAACTCGAGTAACAGAAAAAGAAAATACAGACTCAACATGCATTGTATCAACAAATATGGCACAGCGAAGATCAATTTTTGAAGAGCGTGTAATAAATAAACTAATGATTTTCTCAGAAAAATTACTTTTACATTTTAGTTGGATCATTTAATCATTGATGAAGCCGGAGGTTTTGTTCAAATTGATTCATTTATTTATCCATTTATTAAAAATCGAGCAAACAATCAACTGTATATTAATCTTGATGATATTCGACAGAATTTTATGCTGCCAACAACAGATATGGTTTCCTACAGTGATAGAAATTCTCCCATGTATCATACTTACAGTGTAGTTCTTGAACAAGCACAGTCAAATTACGAATGGAATGTAATTCGTCGTGGTCCTAATCACGATTTGTCAAAAGTTTTGTCTTTTGCAAAAAAGATGAGTGAAAAATTAAATGAAGAAATACCGTTTCTTCCACTTGAAATTTTGCTTCATCTTTTTTTGAATAAGAATTCAAATGTGAACTTAAGATTCGTTCAATTGTTTGAAACGTCTTCATTAAATGAAATTGATTTAAATTACAAGAATAATGTAGGTCGACAATTTATAACGGGAATCAAACGTCAAGGTGGACTTGTTAATGGTAATATTCCTTGTCTGATTTTTTCACAATTTGATCGTCGAATTGTATGGATTCCAAGTGAAACGAAAACCGACCGAATAATGACAAATGATGAACGACTTTATCTTAATATGATTCTTATCTATCACGGCTGTTGGAAAGATATCTTAACGAAAAAGAAACAATGGTTTTTAAAAGAAATTGATAGAAATGATAAAGAAAATATTAATATTCAACTATTCTTTGCTACTGGATGATCACGATGAAATAACACTAATTTCAAAATTTGTATATACGTAATCATATGTGTGTTGTTTGTTTATTTAAATATTTATATTTTCTAGCTGTGAAACGATAGCGATTATTGTATACCGGAATCAAAGAAGTTTAAATTTTTTATACGAAATTGAAATAAATATTATGAAAAGAACTTTGACATACTTTTGTTTTTGTTTATTTAGAATATTTAGAAAGATAATATTTGAATTAAGATTACATCCTAAGCAAAATAGATTTATAAGAAAAGAATCTGCTCGAATCTCTGTGATAAAGAATTAGTTTCAACTTAGCAATGGTATTCATATGATAATCAATCACACGCATAACCATGTCTACAACAGATTGATTGACTTTTCTTTCTCTCGATTTCAATAGGTAGACGCTTCGATTACAACTTCGAGAAAATATGGATACGGCTTTCTTTTTACTTTGTTTACTATGGGTGCTGTAGTTTTGTAAATCGAACATTTGAATGCCACTAGAAAGTGTACATCGAATTCACTACACGCAGATTTCCTTTTTCTAAAAATTTCAAAAGTTGAGTGTAAGAAAAACTGACCAAATATATTTTGTCACCATTGATTTACTCTAAAAGTGTAGAACACTTTTTTTTACTCAAACACATTTTTCAATTTTTTCAAACTGAAGTAGATATATCGAACCAAATATATATATATTTATATAGCATTGTGGTGCAGATTTTTCTCTTTCTAACAAGAGAATTATCAAGTTTTATTTAACGAGTTGTCGGCAAACTGTTGTGAAAACAAGACGATAATCAAAAACTGTCGAATCATCCGTTAGTTGTATTTTGTGCACATGATTTCACTCCATCGACATGATTTATGAGTGTGACCATGAAGCTCTATTTTTTGAGTTTAGTATTTCCAAAAGAAATGAATCCAAATTCGTTTTTTTTGACTTGACATGAACGAATGATAGACAAAATATCAGCATAATTAATAATAAGAATGAATTACTATCATAATCATTTTATAAATAATAATGATGAAAATTTTATTAGTTTCTTGTCTATACTAATAGCTAACGAATTTGGAATTTTTACTTTAAACTTGTTTTAAAAAGCCTTAAGCACTCTTATGTGTAATTTAGTCTCTGTTTTCCCATGGATATATTTCATTATGATTCACTAGAAAGATAATAAATTCACTTGACTATTCGAAAGCAAAAATAGTTCATATGAAGAATAACTTCTTCTGCAAATAAAATTTAGTGGTTAATTATTCAAATGAGTGTAAAGTTATTATAAATGACTGACTGTAAAACATAATGAATTGTATGTGTTTTTATTTTTGAAAAATGATTTGAAAAAGATTATTGAAGTACTTATATTCGATAAAATTTGTCATCTATTCCCTTTCATGAACAGGCTTTCACTCCCGCCAAGCAGAGAGCATCATAATTCTAAACATGAAAAAATCGCAGATAGTTTAGTAACACTTTCATCACGCTAGAAAATGTAACAGATATTTTTGACATCTTATTAAAGAGCGTATATCACAAACATTGTGATATTTAATATGCGAAGCATCTCGTTACGGCGTCCCTGAGGGATTAATTAGAAAGATGCGGGCGAAATAGGTGCCATCATAGATAGAATACAACAACCTATCTGCGATTAGCAAGAGTAGCTATAGTGTATGTAATCCTTTAATCTCATTGGGATTGCACTGACAAGTTGTTCACATGAAATACTAAATTAGAATAAACAAATTTTACAGAAATATGTCAACGACACCCATGTTGATGTTTTCAGTTTGATGCAAAGAGGAACTGTGAATATTTAATTACAGTAAATAATACCGTAGACAATTATCTTCGGTACTTAATCTAAAAACAATTCGAGAAAAATCACACAGAACAATTAAATGACTGCTTCGTTCTGTTCACTTGATTTTGAATTACAAGAAAAAGAAAAAGGCTTTAAGAATTTGGTTACAATTTATGTACTAGATGACATCAATAGTTTTTCGCTATCAACGCGACAACTAAAAATATATTTCAATAATTTTCTTGAAGAAATTGTAAACTATTTTATTATTGTCATTTAGAACTTACTGATTTTATAATTTGAAATGGCAAACTATTCAAATGCAACTAAACATTGTTTAATATTAAATATGTTTTCGTCTCTATTTGAAATAGCTGCTTTTATTATTTCATTAATATTATTATGCCTTATTATGTATGCATATATTACTAATAATAAGGATAAACATCAATCAAAACTTAATATCCCAATTATTCTTTCTGTTAATGCTCTTTGTTTGCATGTTATTAAAAGTTTTATACAGTTTATTTGCATAAATTTCAAGACATTAAAACAAGATTTTTATTTTATTGTTGAACAAAATGATTCATTCTTGTGTCGTTCTTGTAATTATATATTTTTTTCAATGATTAGTGCTTTATATTGTAGTTATGTTCTTCAAGCCATATTTCGTTTTACATGAGTTTTATATCCAAAATGTGTAAGTTCACACCAATCAAATATTTATTTGCTTATCCTTATCCCGGGTCAAATTTGAATTTCACTTGGTAGTGTTTTACCACTTCTATTGGTTTTTAATTCGATACGTTTAATACCAGATGAAGTCTATTGTACTATATCGATGGACGAATCAATTCCTTTAATTTATTTTGTCTTCGTTATTTTTTGTTTACCAATAAACATTATTTTTATAATGTTATTTTTGTTTTAATTTGCAAAATACGTCTATTATTATTCAAACGTCAATTCCGGCAGCCAAATCAACGTGATTATATTGTAACTCGACTTATTTTTTTCATTGTTACTTTTGTGAGTTTAACATCTGTTCCAGCAATTATTGATTTAATTTTTTATGTACCTAATGGTCATGGAGATCGATATATTTATCGAATACAATGGTTCTCTTCTTCTTTGAATTCATTGACATTCATTATAATTTTGCCATTTGTCAATCCACAGTAGTTTGAATTTTTGAAGAAACGTCAACTACATGCGACCTGCCACATTCGTCTTCATCCAACCAAACCAAATTTTTCTGAGGAATTTTGAACGATGATTATTTATCTTTCTTTCTGCTATTTACTATGAATTCGGATGAATTCATTTATATATGTGTATGATTTATTTTTCATTCGCTATCAAATTACGATTATGAAAATGCTTGAAAAATAGTTTAGGAAAAAAAGAATTTTTTTATGTTAAACTTAGTTTGCTGATAAAATAATACAACCAATAGTTGGCTCATTCTGCTATGCATAGGTTATTCGGAAAGATCTAGTTTGGATTGACGCTATTTGTCGTTTTCATTTTTGATCGAAATAACAAGCAAGTCTTTTCACTGGTTCAACTTAGTTATTTTGTATCGAAGATATTTTGTAGACCATTATTTTTTTTAATATGATACGTTTATTCACCAATGACAATCAATCGAAGAGTCGGGCGTGGGTGTGGATTTTATTCTTTTGTACACACCACCCACACCAGCGTATCGAATGAAAAATCATTATAGAATTCATCAATAACAATATGCGTAGAATTGTCTTGATTATGATGAAGATGAATTCATATAAAATTCTTGTTCTTGTTGTTTTTATTGACAAACAGCAAATAATTGATTTAGTTCATTTAAATACTGATCGATTTATTCATCGATTTAATTTTAATTCAAATGAAAATTATTTCGTTAGATGAACAAATAACAAGACTTACACTTTTTCGTGATCGGGATAATTTCAGACGTTCTCGTTGGATGAGCCCTAGCAATAGATGGTTACTTGCCAGTCGACAATTATATGTATAGTACGAGTTTGTGTTGAATATAATATTTCAGTTGCAAAAAAAAAGATGAATATTTTCTCTTCGAAGTATGAACATTTCGAAGAAGTCTTTTTAACAAAAATTCAAAATAATATTCAACTTTCATTTTACCCCAGAAAAGCTCGTTCCATAGACAACGTTAACAGCAACAACAGACTGTTAATTTAAAGATAAAATATCGATAGAGAGTTTTTGTTAAGAGGTTTAAAAATTGTTGGGATACTCGTATTTTTGTTCATCACGTAACATATAAAGCACAAACTTGTTAATGTCTAAAATTAGCAAGACTATAACTTTATTGATGTTATAATTTTTACAGTAATTCAAAGATAGTTTCTTTAGGCGACTGAAACGCGAAGTCTTTGTGAAATTTTGTAGCCCTTTTTTGTTAATATAAACACTTTTCAAAAAGAAGACGTATTCTATAGCAGAGATTTTTCGTAGTTGAGAAAATGTCAATCACATTGCTGGGCTGTTTTGTTTTTCTTCATTTCATGTATATTTTTAGGTGCAAGCAATCTTATCTTTGTTAAATATTGACCTGAATGATAAATCCAACAAACAATTCATTTTTTCACGTTGTTTTGCAATAACAGTATATTTTAGTTATCGAAGTCGTTTCTTATTAAATTAATTTAGTCTTTTTTCCGTTTCACTTCTTAGAGCTCGTGTAAAATGTATAACTTTCAATGGTTTCTTTCTTCATTAGATAAATAATTATATTAGCTTGGAAGAAACACTTGCGAATTATTCTTCGTTATCAATGTCTTCAGATAATAAATCCAATATTTTGGATCGGCTTGTTGCTCAAGTAAAATGAGCGCATTTGTCAAACAGTCTGCTTTTATTAAATATATATTTGATTCATTCTATTTCAGTGTCCGCTTACCGAACAAGCAACAGGCAATACACGCTCTGTAAGATTATTTTTATCGATCTGCATCTTAATTAGGTTTCTAAATGCAATGAGATATCTCAATCAGTCGAATAAAAATATTATTAAAGATTCATATGAAAAAAATTCTGTTTTTCAGTTCAAGTACTGTTTCAGAATGCAAAAGATGATCTGTGAAATGTTTAGTCGCATTTTTCTGAAAGAAAAATTTAATAAATCGAACGAATCATTGCTTCTCTATTGAATAAATATATTAACTTCTTGACAATGTTTTTATGTCAATGTTTGAAAGTATCAGTTTGTCATGCCTAGATTATTACTTCCAACATATTTGGAATGAGGCTGAAAATCAGCATACTTTTGTTTATAAATTCGTGAAAATCAAGTAGAAAAAAATGAGTACTATATCATTTTATTGAACAATCGAAAGTATAAGAGTTTTTTTCCGAGAATCGAATGCATGCTTCTTGGATGTTTGCAAAAAAAGTCAAAAATAAAGAAAGCTAATTGAAGGAGAAGTTCTTTTTTGATAGTTTCAAATTTTAAAGAATTCGCTTCATTTGTTAAAGAAAGTTTAGCTTCATTGATAAGAACGTTTCCAATAGATCGAGACTTTTTTTTATTCATTTCGAATAGCTATTATTATGTGTTAAGAAGATTTTTATTTGTATGTGTAGAATGATAAGAAAACTCCTAGTCAAGATATTATAAGCAATTTAGTATCACCGACACAACGAACATTGCCGATAAACCATCAACTACCTTCATCCAATTTAGCAATGTCGCAGACAAAGAATAAATTATGTCCACGTTGTGGAAAACCTGTCTACTTTGCCGAAGAAGTTAAAGCTGTTGGACAGGTAAAATTGTCTGAAATCGATTCTAAATTGAAAGTTTTTTCCTGTATTGTTTAGTCGTTTCATAAATTATGCTACAGATGTACCAGCTGTAAAAAGAGTATTAATGGAGCAAATTTTTCAGAACATGATGGCAATCTTTACGATAATAGTAAACGATAAAGTTATTTTTATTTCCTATACCAATTAATTCTATTATTTTAGATTGTTATCAACGTTTATTTGGTCCAAAAGGTGTTGGCTATGGAATAGGTGCAGGTGCTCTATCAACAGGCACTTGATTCCAACAACAAATCCTTCTTTCTCCTTCTCCTCATTGTATCATGATTTTTTTTAAAATAATTTTCAGTCTTCTTTTTGCTTATTCATAATGCTCAACGGTTCATATCTCTATGGTTTGTCAGTTGAAAGATCTTTTGAAAGTAGTTTTTACGATATTTAGTTGTATCCCTATTGTCTATGATTCGTTCTTATCTGGTCAGTCTTTTTGTTTCCAGAACAATGTATATGCGTCAATCTCGTTAAAGATTCATCGCTTGTCTACAGACAACAGAAATCCTCGGATTATGATTTACATCAATATTCTATCTGCCTCAGTTACATTCAATAGCAATGTGAATTTAGACTAATGACGTTATTGTTTTTAGGCAATAAAGCAGCTATACCTGATTTAAATCTCAGTCGTAGACTTCATTCTAAATTGCTAATAGCAAAATTTGAGCTAGGAGCGTCTCTTTTCTTGAGAGGATCTAATCGAATTACTAACATATCAAACATGAATTGGACGATATCTAAACATATGCACGTAAAAGCTTGATATTTCAAAAGAAAGACTACAGCGCATATTGATTGAATTGGATCCTATTGATCAGTTTCATCGTTCATTTATCTTCGTATAGCACGTCCATGAAATAAGGCATAGAAGTTTAACTTGTCTGTAGCATTACAAAGATCCAATTGTAATGTAAATATAAGCATAACTGTTGCAAATATAGTATCTCACATATATGAAGAAAAATATTATATGCAGTTCATACCAAAGAAAATTATCAAATATTTCTTTATTGAATAGAAAAAAAAATCAGAATGAATCTATCATTCATGATTAATTCAAATCACATAAATCGGCATCGACGTGGATGAACACATGGACTCATCGGATTTTCATTTAGACGCACGAAAGGTTGGATACATTCGCATCCCATTCTGCACATTAAATTGCATATTTTGTAAGGATTTGGCCATCGAATATCATTACATGTATCTGGACATGTTGAAGCACATTGACGATATTGTTCGAAGTTACCCCAGCATCGACCTATAGCAAATTTGTTGATTTTTGTTTACTTTTTATCGTAGAAGAATAAACGTTTAAGTAAAATACCTGTTGGCATATCCCAAAACTGTGCCTGTACAACCTGACTTGATAAAACAAACAGTAAAATAGAAATAAAGGCGAACGAAGATAATCTCATATTACTTGATTGAATATTGATTGAATGAGTGATGAAAATAAATTCTATCCTTTTTATATTGCATATTAATAAAACAGGTGAAAATGCAATCGAGAAAAATGCATCTTTTTCTTTTTTATTTCATGAATTGAAGGGAGAAGCCTCGCATGAAATAGTAGTAGATAAGAAGAAAAAGCACATCAATGTGCATTTCTCTCATCACTTTTACATTGAGAGCTGTGTCATGAAATATATATATTCGTGAAAAAAATAAACTCATCAATCGCTGCTGACGAAAATAGCGTAAAAATTAATTTTATTCAAATTAGATGAAAACCAAAATATTTAGTCGAGTACTAACTTTTCATTTGTCTAATCATTCTACAGACAAAAAAAAGAAACGTTTTCATTAATCTGTCTTTAATAACGATAAGTAGAATAAGAACCATATCGACTATTTGAAGCTGATGAAAGATATCTCGATGGCAATCCATAATCAAAATCAGTTTCATGATTGTATTTTAAATAACTAGAACTTAAACTACTTCTCGGTGAATCATAAGAATTTGTATCGGCAGTACGAGATCGAGATGAAAAACGGAATGATGAATCAAAATGACGTAATCGATATTCTAATTAAAAAATAAAAAGTAGCTAAAGAAATAAAAACAAAAGATATATTACTAGAACTGGTGAGAGAAGTTACGCGAGTTTTAGTCAATTCACTTTCAACTAAGTATAAACGATTTTGAGTTTCTTCTAATTGTCTTCTTAGTTTAAGACACAAAGCCAATGCTGCATCCGTGATGAGCTGTTGTGGAATAAGTGTATTATTTTTACATGCTGCAATTGTTTCTTCGTTAACACGTGAAAAGTCGACTTGACGCAGCAATTCTTCTCTTTCAACATCACTTAATTGCGTTGATTTTTCTATATTATATCAAACTAAACTATTCTTCGATCGAAAGAAAAATAATTCAACAAACCATTTTTCAGAAGTTCATCAAGCGCAAGTAAAAGGCTATCGTAGGAGTTACGCTTTTCTTTTGGTATGCATGAGGCTAATTTCACGAATTGTTCACTTGTAAGTTTACCTCGTTGACGAAGTTGCTCAACATAGGAATCTATTAATGTTGATAACTAAGCAAATTGCGAATAAAAAATATTTTTATTTATTTATTTTTGATAAAAACCAATTACTTTTTCTAATAGATTTGGATCTTCAAGATGATCTTGCTTATGCTTGTTCATACGCTCTAATAATCTTGCCATAACGTCATCGGAAATATTTTCCATGCTGCCATCAAGGTCCGTTGAGTTGAGAATCGCTTGTATAATGTAGGATGACAATGTTGATTCGTTTTTACATTTTAATTCTAATGCTTTTTCATAAATTGAATTAAGCCAAATGACTGGCAGTTGTTGAAGAGTATGACCTAATGTTTCAACAACTTCGTCGATTATTGTTCGCTTTTCATCAGCAGTTGTTTCTGGTATATCTTCTTTTTTTGTAACAGGTGTAAAAGCACTTTGATGTTCTCCTTCGTTTTGCCCCGATGATAAACTTATGATTTGTTGCGGTTGGTTTTGTTCAAGTACATGCATTGTTACATAATGTTTAACTAAAGGAAGAATAGAGTATTGATTTTCTGTGGGACATGATTTAATTAATTCAATTATCCATTCAAGTGGTAGACGAGCGATAGTTTCTCGGTCAAATTTATCCATTTGCAAATCGATATCCATGGTTAATAATTGAATGATACATTCAATACATCTATCAATCATATGTGTTTGTTTAGCCCATGTTTGATATTCACCTGTGCATTGTCCAAGTAGTGCTAACGGAATACTTAGATCATATTTTGCTCGTGAATTCAAAATGATTTCATCAAAATGTTTGTCAAGAGATACACTTAATGAATCACATTCGATAAAACAGGCCGCTGAACGTAATGAAACTATATTTTTACGATCGATTGATATCGGAATTGAATAGAAATAATCTGCAAGTTGATCAAAAACTTTCACACCACCTGGAAGATCATTATCCAGTCGAATAACATACGGTGCCGATGCTGATGCTATCGCTTTTTTGAAATAATCACTTTTTGTGAATAATGGAAACTTGTGCAATTTGAATTCAGTTTTATCAACTATAACTGTAATGTCAGATAATTCACCAGTACGACGAAAATTTTCGAAATCCATCGTTTGATATAAATGAAGAGTAGACTATTAAGTCGTCGTGGTGATGATAATAATAATACTGTTACCGATCAAAAAAGAGAAAAAAAACATAACATTCTGTAGTTTTGATGTCCATACTTAGCTGCGGTTTTGAAAATGAAGAAACTCAATACAGTTGAAATTGTTCGATTCTGAAAAGTGTATGCATATAACATTGCAAAGACGTCTTGCTTTCTCTTTTTATTTCACATACCGCAGGCTCACTGTTCGTTCTTTACTCGTAAAGTGGTAGTAGATGTGAAACTTTGTTTTTTTTAAACGATCTCTGATTTGATTTGACGATTATGAGAACGATGGTCTATCGAAAACAACAACTACCAACAACATCACTACACTTTTTTCATGTGAAAAAAAAACAAAATGCGTTCACAGAAAGAATGATTGCAACTTCAACGCGGCTTCAAATTACTACTATGTACGACTGTTTGTGTTGACGAAGAAAAAAATGCCTCGAGTATAATTGGGAACTATCACTGCTGTTCCTTCTCTTATTCTCAGACTAGACTTTTAATAAAATAACATACGATGATGAATAAGAAATAGTTTTTTTTGATTAATTTTGATATGTAGATAAAATACAGTTCAGTTATTTTAATTGAATAAAATCGTTTTCTACCAATTTAGCTTTATTTTGTTTGCACATTGAAACTCTCAACTAGTAAGTGGCATGTTGATGTTTAGTATTGATTTGTTGTTTAAGAGAATCTGATTTTACATTTAAAAATTTCATTGGGATCATGCAGCATATTTATTTGACAAAATGTAAAATGTAGAATGTAAAATGTAACTAATCGTTTTTTATGCGCAGAACTTTTCCAATGAGTTTTGCTTAAAAAATTACAAGATTCGATCAGTTATCTTCAGCTAATATAAGAGACATGAAATCCATCAGTTATAATTCAATATACTCTGTACCATTAGTAGTAGTATTTACATAAGCTACGAAATAGAATAATACTAAATATTTGAAATCTGTGCATATGACCATGAAACTCTTCATGTGCATGGAAAAAAAGGAGATAATCATAATTGACTATTCCAAATTCAAATACGATCATAAACATCACGAACAATAGTATGGTTCAACATTTACGTTGTTCGCTAAATCGAAAAACATTTACTATCTCGTTTACTTTTGAACTGTAAAATATTGTTCATGACTGTAAGAAATTGTCAGATCTAAGTGATCAATGATTACACCTATGGTTGGACATCTGTATTACTCCTAATAAATAAAAATGGATGATTACTCTTGAATAAACGAATATATTATCCATTGCTAGTTCTCTTCATACATCTGATGCGTAAATTTGAAATTCAGTTTTTCTACACTCAACGTGATGTCATAAGTATTTATTAGTAAATTAGTGGCGAAAAGTGAAAAAGTCACATAAACAGAACAAAACATGAATAAATGAATCAATAAAAAAAATAATCAATGGAAAGTCGTGTTAGAGTTTATAATTCTCGAAATTTGTCTGTTGCAGTGATTAATTCATGAACTATTCCAACTTCTTTAGATGAATGTCCAGCATCGTCCACCCAATGAAATTCCGCTTTTGGCCATGCCTTATGTAAATCCCAAGCCGTATAAGCTGGACAAACGACATCATATCGACCTTGAACAATGACACCAGGTATATCTTTTATTTTATCAGCATTTTTAATCAATTGACCATCTTCTTTCATAAATGCTCCATTTACAAAATAATGTGTTTCAATACGAGCAAAAGCAACAGCAAATTTGGCATCATCTGTTGCATGAGCTATATATGATGGATCAATATATAAACGTGATGTTGCTAACTCCCACACAGACCATGCGGTGGCAACTTTTAACTTTTCCTGTTCGTCTGTACCAGTTAAACGACGATGATATGCTGACATTAAGTCACCATGCTCCACACTGGGTATGGGCTCTAAAAATTTATCCCATGCATCAGGAAATATCATTGAAGCACCGTCCTGATAAAACCACAATAGTTCCTTACGACGACAACAGAATATACCACGCAAAATTAATCCTTTAACCCGATCCGGATGTGTTTCGGCATAAGACAAAGCTAATGTGGACCCCCAGCTACCACCAAATACAACCCATTGTTCAATATTAAAATGATTACGTAGTTTCTCTAAATCATCGACCAAGTCCCACGTTGTATTTTGTTCTAAACATGCACTGGGTGTCGAATTACCAGCACCACGTTGATGATATAGAATAATTCTATATGCTTGTGGATCAAAAAATTGTCGATCACGTGAATCTGTTCCACCACCTGGTCCTCCATGTACAAATACAATCGGTTTACCAGCAGGATTTCCGACTTCTTCATAGTACAGAGTATGAATTTCCGATACTTTCAGCATTCCAGTATTATAGGGTTCTATTGCTGGATACACTTCTCGCAATTTTCTTGTTTCTGATGTCGAATCAGGTTCTGACGACATTTCAGTGATGTAATCGACAATTATTCTAGAAAAGAAGAAGATATCTGTCGAAAGTTTGATTTCATTTTTAAAATATTTGAGATCTTTTGTAAAAATAGATAAATAGCAATAAAAGATATAAGAAGCTACAGATGATTATTTTAAGACATTATCTATAAATTTACTGCAGCAAACATTCTTCACATTATTAAAAGAAAAACAGTTTAGTAAATTTTCTGTTCTACTTAATTTCGTTTATATTTGCTTCTCGCCATTGTTGCTGTTTGATTTCCTCATAGCAACTTGTTAAACTCATTGCTGCGACCATGTGCACGGTTCATCAATGTAGCTTAGGTTGGTAATCGACAAGTCGTCTACAGCTTTCGTAAGTTTTATAGAATCATCACAGAATTACCAAGTTAGTTTTCTTTACATACTGCATAGCTACTAAATATTACCGTTCTTAAAACCATTTTGAATATCATATTTTGGTACTATTCTACAGATTGTCTACAAAGTTCATCGTTTGCTGAGGAATGATCTGATAAATCGATAATTTCCTTTCCTTGATTTTAGTGTAATAAAATTTGTGGCTTCATAATTACATAACTTTTACTCTTAGTCATGTTTCTACTATCATCATGTTTGCTGGATGTGATGATTTATTTTTATCATTATAATTATGTTCTAAATCATTTTAGACAATTAATATTTTGTTGTCATTGTTGCGGAGTCAGTATATTTCATTATCTTCTAATCAAATCTTGGTGGTCATTTGAGTACACCCAAGACTTACTTTCGGACTCTTGCTTTCAAAAATACACTATAAAAGCCCAAGTTTTTTCGATCAGTAACAACCAACTTGTGTGTTTTAACACAATATTTTATTGATTGAGCAAGAGTATATCACTTGGATAGAAAACCTTTTCATCATATCATCACGGTTTCTTCAAAATCAGCCGACTTTAATCGAGCTTTGTGTCAATTTAAAAGCAGCTGCCACTTGACCATTCTACTTTGCCAGGCATTCTTTCCATCAGCTTTATTCGACATATGTAAACAGTTGAAAAGTAATCTAAATTGATATTTTGATAGGATATCTTTAATAATTTGAGAATCAAACATATTGCTTTTGATTCAATAGTAGACCACTTTTAATAGATAAATGAATCGTATCTTGATCATCGTACCCAAAACCGCCGAGATGTATTTTATCTTGTGCTAAATACTTATATTTGTAAGTATTGTTAATAATATCGATTAGTATTACGACTCATTGCTTTAATAACAAGTTTTTGTTAATTGTGGATAAAATTGATGGTATAGTGTTATTTCATGTATTGTTCCCATACGTACAAATCAGAACTTTCAAGCTATCATTCGATTTCCCTATTGCACAAAAACGTCTTTGAAGATTTTAGCAACAAACGAGAGGTGAAAAGATAAAACATGTTGTATGGAAGACAAAATGAGTGTGCAGTATTGAACGGCAGAGAGACAAGTAGTACACAGTGAAAGAATGGGCAATCCCAAAGTAAATAGAATAGCGACTAAAACACGTTAAATAAATTAGTTGCTTTTGTTCTACCGTAACACTTAGCAATTAGGGGTGGCACTTGACATTAAATTAATATTAAGTGTTAAGTAAAACCACTTAATTAACTCAAATTAAAGTCAACGGCCCACCCCTACTTAGCAGGTTACTATTATTCTTCTACCAATATAGGATAAAGTCTGTATGTGATGTGACATATAATATCAAGATCAGACAAGACGAGTGATAAAAAATGCGTATCGGAAAAGAGTGCAAACAGTAGTAAATTTTATTATGAAAAATGGTAAAAAAAACCAGAAAGCTTATGTGCATTAGAATAAGGAATACAATATATAAAGCAAACAATTGCCGGTCGACACGAAAGTAAAGGATAAATATGTAATGCGATAATGATATAGATAAGCGATAACTTGTGCTGACTACGCAGATGATACCAACTTTTTTGACATCGTCTTACTTGCAGTTAGGCTAAATTTTACTAGTGACTATACAACAGAGAAGAATAATATGATCTTTACAGCTTTCCTCTTTTTAATTTTCTCTTCTAATATCTTTTCCTCAGTTCCTTCTCGTTAGTTTATGTTTTTTCTTCTGTATTGATTTTTTTCGTGTTTTCACTGTGCAATAAATCTCAAATAAAAAAAGTAAATATAAATATATATATATATAACATTTTATTACTACATGTATTACATCTATAACTAGCTCTATATTTGATTTTAAATATCGCCATCTCTTTTATACCATGTTATTTAATGTGGTATCATACTTTCTTATTCTATTTATTCATTTGTTTCGTCCTTGTTTGTTTATTATCTTAGCATGAATAAATGCATTTCTTCTATTCTATTCACTCGTGTCATTCTTTTCTTATCACCCAACCCAATCTCTAGTTCGCTTTCTTTTTCTTCTGTTTATAATTGAACAGCACTGTTAGGGCTCATGAGGTCGCCAGTTATTGCTATTAGAAAAATTTAGAAAATGGTAGACCAATGTGATGATGATAATAATAAAAGATAGACTAAACATGAAAACCTATGTGTGAATTAGCAAAATATTTAAATTTTCCAAATAGTTTAGAAGGAAAAAAGTCAAAATGTGAACAAAGAAAACAAGAGAATCAACTCCTAATATGAACTCTATTCAAATAGTTTGCCATACATAGTTCATTGCGATTTGACCTTCATCATATTATGTAACAACACTTTTTTATTTCTAAACAACTTTCTTACGTAGTTTGTTGAGATAGAAAATATTTCTATGTAAAAAAGATAAGTTTCTCGATACTTGATTAGCCATCTCATTGAATGCATCATAAAGATTTATGAGAAAAGAAACGAAATACGAGCAAATACTTGAAATCAATGCATTTTTAGTAGTGCTGTCAGTCGTATATATGATCATCTATAGATCAATATGAAACACTTTTTTTAATGGTTTTTAATAAAAATATACCAAAGAAAAGTCAAGCAACTTGGTGATATCTTTATCATAATGAACTAGTAGTCTAACTATTAAAAATACTGAATTTCTGCTGATGACCGATCATAATCATTCTGCTAATCCAAACAAGTTACTATCTATTCAATCGAAATCAGAGTTTTGACAACGTGTTCTAGCATAAAATGATGTACCACGAACGCACAGACAAAGAACTACTGCGCGTAATCAGTAATTTGCATATGCATACAGAGCAAGATTGTTTCACGGGAACGAGAACTTCATTTCATTTCCAGTTATTTTTAAGCACCTTTATCAAGATCAAAATTGTTCAAGTTGATAATCTATGGAAGCTCAAATATCACGGTTCAGTTGTCGTATCAGCACTAGTTCATAGTTTGGAAAATCCTCGGTCATACACAGCCAGCAATATGATAGAAAACAATTCTTTTTTCTTTTCTTTTCTTTTCTTTTCTTTTCTTTTCTTTTCTCACATTTCATTGACTATCTTGTAAACTATTCGGAAATATAAGAGTGAACCGTACAGAATTACGCTCAAAATCATATCATTACAAAACTAAGTGTGATGCTAGCGATTGCTCAAAGAAAAAAAAATACATTTATAGCTCATGTTATTCGTATAGTTTTACCAATCAGTCTTGTTTTCGTTTCAATAAACAGTGTTCAGCTTGAAGTCAAGTTGTGTTTTTGATCATAACACCAAAACGAAGAAAAACACTGTAAAGAAAAAATGATTCATTGATTCAATATTGATAATGTTAGAAGAGGAAGAATGAAAGAACGACTATCAACAGAACGTATTTTGTTTTTTTATTCGACATTAAATCACACATTTCTCCGTACGATACTATTTTGCTGTTAAAAGAAAGACAAAACATGACGCAGCTGGAGACGTTAGCGAATGAACTCTTCATAGAAGTATTCGAGTATCTAGATGGTATTCATATTCTTTGCGCATTTGGCGATTTGAATACTCGATTTAACACACTTCTTCTTGCACATTTTTCGCCTTATCAACTGGATTTTCGATCAGTATCCAAATATGATTTCGACCTTATTTGTCAACGTTATTTACCACTAATTGACGATCGTGTCATTCAAATATGTTTTTCGAATGATATAGAAACCCCTTTTTTATATCATCGCTTTTTGTTGCACAATTTAACGTTGAATCAATTCACTATTTTACAATCACTTTCATTGGTACACATCGGTTCCTTAGAAAAAATCAATCGAATCATCAACGAGTCTTCATTATGTACGATTCATCTCAAGTATTTAACAATCACGAATTATTTCACTGAAAATAGTGTCCATTTCGATTGTTTGATCAATCAGATATGGCTCCTTCCAAGATTGATTCGTTGCACTCTAAATAGCCCTTCGATGGTAACACAATTTTCTCTATCCAGTTTATCGACCATATCGTCCTCGATAGAATATTTTTCCACGGTACATCTACAATTCATTTGCGATGATATAAGTCATTTATTCGAATATACGCCTCGACTTCGATATCTTCGAGTGACTCTTGGTTACGATTACGAAGTTGAATCATCTCCCAAAGTACCTGTTGCGCTCACGGCATTACATCTTTATGCTCGTTTCTCTGATATTGGTCTTCGGTGCCTTCTTCAAAATGCATCACATTTACTTCGTCTGATAGTCAGAACAGAAGATTTTTATTTGAACGGACATCAATGGAAACATATCATAGTTAATCATCTGCCAAATCTACAAATAGTTCGATTTCGAATGCATTTCAAATGTGAAGAAAATCAAAACATACAAGAACTTATTGAAGCACTCTTGAATACATTTCGAACTCCATTTTGGCTTGATGATCACGGCTGGTTTATTCAATGTCAATGGGATTCACAGAGCGTGTGTGATAATATTTATTTTTATACTTTACCGATGTTTATCGACGATTTGTACGTATTAGATTCAAGAACATGTTACAAATCAACGTGCCCGAACGATTCATTCTGTTATGCTTATGACTCCATACAGAATATATTGCCTCAACCTAATGTTGACGATAGGCAACGAATTCCTATTCATTGTCCTCAAATTAAATCTATTAAAATCACCCTTCCAATCCATGAAAATATCTGGTCCGTCTTCGCTACGTTGAATCATCTAACTTCTCTGCATCTATCTAATCAAGAATCTTCCACATATATTGAATATCAATTAGAGTCATTACTCAATCAAACATCCACTCTCTACTCGCTAGTTGTAAATGAACATCTAGCATTAAGATTGTCATCATTGAAAATTACGAATAGATCGATTCGTCGAGTGGATTGTTTTGAACGTTGCGAATGTTTTCATGTCTTTTTCAACGCTAACGAATGTTCGAAATGGATCGACTCCAGTCTTGGTCATCAATGTGAAGTTTTTTGTATCAAAGTAGAAAATCAAGACAACATTATTGACCTTGTTCAGAAAATGCCAAATCTTCGAGCACTAATATGTGAATGTAAAAGAGACAAATTGAGTAAGGGCGATACAACATCTTCAGACAAAGATGACTTCATTGAACGATTGAAAGAAGATTTACCAGCAAAATGCATTGTGAATAGAGATGTAAGAAATTACAAGCGTATTCGATTATGGATTGAGAAATGAACTTACAAATCTCATAACAAAGCTGTAGACTATCTTTGAATTTTTCCCAAACTTAAACTCACCCAGTTTTAAAACATATTTGTATTTACTTGTTCTAAAGGACTATATGAATGATTAAATTAGTATATTGCGTCTTAAATCGCTGTTCTTCTAAAAATGAAATTCATCGCATGAAAATCTTCATTTTTAAGTTCAATTATCACTAATAATTCATGCGTTAGAAGCAGTGCCCTGCACGGGTACTACCTTTTGTACCCGGACCCGACCGGCCTTCAAATAATAAGCAATTTTAATCTAAAATAAAAAAACAAATGAATATTTTAAATATTTTTTATTCTTCAATTCTTACGAACTTGATCATATAATTTAATAAGCAAAAGTAATATGCCACGTCAATTACAAATGAATTATATCAGTGTTTAGTCCCGATTAGAAGAAAAAGAAAACAATATGTTCGTCGCTGACGTAACTTATTCTTGTGTTTTATACGTAATTCACTAATGATTCATAGTTAAATTGTTTTGATAAGTTTCCTTTTTTAACCAATAACAATCTGGAAAGTGAAATATTTTTAAAATGCTTAGATATCACTGATCGCCGGTCGGGTGCCAGGTACGCTAAAATTTTGTACCCGACCGGATATTTTTTTTCTACCCGGCACCCGACCCGACCCGGCAATTTCGTACCCGGTCGGGTTGCAGGACACTAAGTTAGAAGGAAGTTAATAAACATAGAATCTCGATTAGTTCGTGGAAAATCCCACAGCTACATTGTTACTTCCAGTGAAAACCAATCGATGGGAGAAAGTCGCAAAAAACTTATATTGTCAATTGCACAGTAAGTTAGAATCACCTTAAAAGGAAGGAAAGAAATCAAATGGAAAATCTAATCATGAGTCATTTTAGTTCACACTCGTCCGAATAAGTAGTCAGTGATCTTGAGAATTGATCAAATTTTCACATAGAATGAATAGAACTGTTTGTTTCAAACATGTGAATCGATGTGAACGAAATGCTATATGAGTATTCTTAAAAATAAAGATTCACTAGTTTTATTCAGTAACCGTATCTTAGATTGATCATAGCGCAGTGCTAACTCGAATTTACATTTTCAACCAGAGTGTGGCATTTATTTTGAGTATGGGATGATTATAAAACATAATTTCTTTACATACTAGAATCGATACAAGTTTAAAAAAAATACAGAAACTTGAAGATATAAGTGTGTGCGCGTGCGAAGTTATTTCACTGTTAACTTTTTTGATAGTCTTAAGCTACACAACCAGAAGTATACTACAATTAGAGATTTTTAAACAGACATGTAACGACGTATTCCAATTTTTTGAATATCATAGTTTATTGTTCTAGACACTTCTATCAGACTGTTTGAATGATACTGATTTATATATGCTTTGCGAAAGAAGGCGATTGATGGATTTCGCACGAGAAATGCGGCTAGTTGCCATTTTCGAATCCATTGACGACGACGATGCTCTGCTCTCGTATTTTCAGCTCGCTCATCTGCCGTAATGACATGTTCAGCATCGGTCATTACAGTTTTCATCGACACAGAATCGTCTTTGCTCTTCACAATACTGAGCAGATGCCCAACAAATACTAATAGAACTGGATGCCGATGTGCACATTCTATGTGAATAAAACCACAATAGGCACTGAATCCATCATCCCAGGTTTCTAGCTTGCGACCTAACGGTGAATAATCCAATCTTGACATGTAGATAATTGCGCCAATCAAACTTTGCGAAAGTCGTAAAGTCGATGATACAAGACCGAGAAATGCATCCAAAAAGAAATTAAAATAAAGAAAAACCATAAGAACACGCCGATTGTTCACGGCAAGAGCATCACCATTATGTTGTAAGAACATGAATCGAGCAAGAATTTTGTTAAGAAATTCTTTAAAATAATAAAATAGAAGAATAGGGATAAGTGTTTTAAGTATTGATTCGAAGATGTGAAAAACGTTCAATGTTATAAATAAATCAATGCACATAAAGAAAATAAAGGTGAAGAAAAGCAGCAGAATCCAACCCCAAACAACATAGCCAATAAGATAGCCAGCAAAATGAAAGTTACCGATAGCACTATTGACATATGATAAACGTTGTACTCGTGGAATTTCACAATCATCACCACGAAAAGCCTGCAATAAATTCCGACGAATACCAGTCAATAATACAGAAAGCTGTCCCACAATTACTATCGTTGCTATCGCTACTGCCAAGATAAATGGTCGGATAAAATGAGGCACGGAAAACGAAGAATTGCCTCGATTTCCGAACCACAAATCAATTATTTCTTGCAATCCTCGTTGAAATAAATCCATATAGGGCAAAATTTGCACACATGTTTGAATCAATGTAAAATACAAGAGAAGAAAAATCGACGAATAAATACAGAGTACACGAGAAGAAAATCGAAAATCATCACGCCATTCATAGATCATCTTTGGTATAAATCGTGCAAAAATGTTACTTTGATTCGATCGGTGTTTATGAGTGAGCCTTAAATTTCTTACATAGATCATTTCAACTGAATTTGTTTGTGCCACTTTTATCAGCGCCCGTTCTTCACGAGTCAATGTTTTACTATTAAGTACCTGAACCCGCCGACGACGAATTTTATCGAACAATAGAACTGGTACTTTAACTGATATATAAGCGAAACAAAAGTATCCAGGGATATCAGTAACTAATTCAATAATGACCAGAAACGAACCGGTCCCATAATAACGTAGTAAAAGTTCTGTACTACTTCGATTTATGTTCTCCATCGTGGAATAATATTTTGGCTGGCAGAAACCTTGTTGAATGATTGTGATGGGGAATTCCAACCAAATATATAAAGTACCCAATGTTAAAGAGAAAAAGGAATTTCTATTCACAGCAACTAAAATTGGGTAATAGCGAAAGCCCATAGCTAACACTTGTAAAATGCGCTGAAGATAAGTCAGAATAATACCATTTTCAGGCGATGTGGAACCGTTGAGCATTTGATTTATTATTTCCAATAACTCATTGGCACAGATAGCAAAAGTAACAGCAACAAATTTTCTATCAGAATGTGCAAAGAAATCCAATGGAACTGGCGAAGCAAAATATCCATGGCATAGATTGATCATACAAGATACTCGTCGATGTTCAAATGCAAAGATAACTATAAGTAAACACGATATTGGAAATATTACCATATTGAATTTATTGTAATCCAAAACATGGCAAAAACGATGAGAATCATAAAAGAGAGATGCATTTCGATGAAATTTTTCAACAATTTCATTATGAATCGGTTGTAAAATGGACCATTTGACTACCAGACCCAGTAGTGCCACAACTGATGTAGACAAAACAATTAAATAGGATCTTATCAAACTTCTACTGGTAGTGTTGATGTGAACTGCTGATTGAGAGTATCTAATAGCATGATAATATTCAAGTAAAAATAGATGAAATATTTTTAAAGTAATGAATCTAAGAAACATATGCATCACTCACTTTTTCTGCTGTTCAGGTTTCTGTTTCTTCTTGGAGAGCCAATTGAAAATGATGAGACCATAGTATATGATAATCAATATTGCTAGAAGACAGCCAAGAATGATCACCTGAACTCCATTGTTTGTTACTACAATAAGAGTGTGAAAACTTTTAAGTGCATGAATCTTTATCTCGTTACATTTATTGCATAGGGTTCCGCTCCACCAGAATTTGCATATACATTGCCATCGACCATGAGCATCATCTTCACAGTATCCATTTCTGCCGCATGGGTTGTAAACCGAACAATCTGAATTGTGTTATATTAGTCAAAAATAGAGAAGGAATATAAATGATAAATCATTACTTTGTTGACCATGGATGACAATGATCGATGAAACAAGAAAAACAAGGGCCAATGAAAATCTGTTGTTTGACATTTTTTGATTGTCGAAGTATAAAATTTCAGTTAGATAATTGTTATTGAGGTTGATATTCTTGTTAGTGGAACGTTTCTGTTTTACGTAGTGTTTCTTGATTATCGATTAATATTGATAATGAGCATGTCTAACCACTGTTGAAAATTACCAGTACAATCCAGTTGTTTGCAGATGAATTATTGGTTTATGTGCGTGTCGTACGTCACACTGAACAATAAATGACGATGAGGATATATGTAGAAGAGAATTAACGAGTCAGAAGAAAAAAAAACAAAAATGACTCGCTTTTCGGTGTTTCATCAATCTTGTCGTCACTAAATGAATTCTTATCTTGTCTTCTTCATTGACTCACCAACGATATCAGGTAACAAATGACTGCGAGAGATTTGTGTTGATACATCTCAATCTCAGAATAATTCATTTCGTACTCATTCTGAATACAGACAGGATCATAATGGTGTATCCAGATCACAAATATTCAATTGACTTCGATAATTCCATTTGATTTCCTTTTCAATACAGAATGACTATATCTCATGAGCAAGAAACTATAATACGAAAATTAATTTGAATGCATTATGAGTGTATTAATGAGATTGTAGATCTTTCTTGCCCTTGTACTCATGGATCTTAACTACTGTTGAGGCACTCTGCTTTTGTTTTAAACCTTTTTTTATTCGTTATCAGAGTGTAAAAAATAAACTTGGACACATGATATTTATCTCTTCTATGCTATTACATTCCGTTGACATTTCTTTCTGTTAGCAACTGATGACTCGAAGAGACAATACTAAGTATGTATTATGACTATTGACCGTAACAAGTCACTTATTTCTCAGTAATAACTACCCTCAGGTCTAAACCCATATTCTCTTTCCTAACATACGTATATTCGCAAGTGACATAAATACACACGGCACCAATCATTTTTTCTTTGAGTGCATTCATAAAGAACAAAATGATAAAGTGTACTGATACTATCATCGAACATCTGAAATTTGAAATAGTAATTTTAAAAAAATAAGTTAGTTAGCACAGGTTCTTTGGGACTAACATCTGGAACTTTCACAGTCTTTAACCTTACTGAACCTATGAAAAATTGATAAAATGAACGAATATTGTGATTTCTGGTATCAAAATTCTGGAGAATGATTTTTCAACAACAATTGCAAAAATTTCTTTAAGAGATATCCAATTTTGATTATGAAAATCGGTATATGCTAAAGATTAGTGGGAGTGTACGTATAAAGCAATGTTGTATAGTTTAACATTTGAGTATTATCTAGAAATAGATATCTTTGGTTGTAGTGTACTGTGAGAGATGAAATAGATATACTGAGTGTTAGTCAGAATAAAAATAAAATCGGATCAAATTCAAATTTTTTTGCATTTCGACAACATTTGCAATGCCAACAAAATTTCTAGGCACATTCTTATGGTCGAGATGAATCTTGACAAAATCAAGAAAGTGACAGATGCTCGGATCACATTCAGTCACGACGTAATTGAAATGACAAGTCCATTATTTATAATAGATTGAGATTGAAATAAAAGAAATCAGATATCTTTTAAGAAATCATTTGCTTGCAACTCAGTATCTGAGATAATCTGTTCAATTCATATATTTTCAAAATTTCACAGTTCGACATTATTGTTTTTCAGGTATTTTACAATAATTCTGTTAAAACACAGCGTTTTTTTTTCAACAATCATATGTATCATTAATAACTTTTAGCAAGAAAGCGATGATGAACGTTGATTCTCGTCTTCGAAAAACAATGTAAATAAACAAAGAAGGCATCATGACAGTGAAAAGTTCCATAAGCTCTCGTCTAGCAAGATACCAATGTAACGGTCAAATTATGATACAATTTCAATGAAACTGACATATTTTTTTTAGAGTAGTCATTCGCGGAAGTTAATCGAGCTTATATATGTTTTTATTTTTAACATTTTTCTATATTATCTTATTCGGCGGGTATTAAATAAGAAGCTTTTGTTTAATTGATGACTATAAAAGCAAACAAGTATACTAAATAAGAAACAAAAAAAGAAATAAGGCTTCTGATTTTTCTAGAATTTACATTAACTCCGATTTCGAGTCCAAAAATAAATAGTTTACTCTAATTTTGAAAAATATTGTTCTTAGTTTATCATACTGTCTCTCTCAGAATAGAAATCAGAGTTCGAACTCTATTGCAGCCTCCCACTGCTGGATATATGTAATTGAAAAGTTGGTTTCATCGAGCAGATCATATGCATGTGAATCATTATAGAGTTTTTATTCTAAGAAATATATATATATATATATATATGAGAAAGCTTTGATGACAAAATTTCGAATGAGAGATTCCAGAAAAATTAATTTATCAGAAAGATTGGGATACAGTCCATAGAAGGCGAATATAATGTTCGATATGTTAGTAAATTAAACAACAAGCAATGGATGATGAATCAATATTTGCGACGAATACTAATCATGATTCATATGCACATTACATGTCAATTCAATGTTATTAACGACGATATTTCTTCAAGAAAATATTTGCTTTTATGTAAATTTCAGTCCCTATTTAGTATGGCAAAAAGTCATTAAGAATATTTTTTTGCGTTATTAGTTTGTTTCTTTGGTTCCGCAACAATGATTCCTCATTCATACTTGTTTTATCCCTCTTAATTACTTGTGTCACTACAAATAAAACGTCCTTCAAATCTAAGAAGAACAAAGTGACGTCTCATTACATTTAAATAGTAATGAATATTATTTTACTTATATGACTACACAAAATATATACGAGAACACCAACAAAAAAGAAATGAATAGCGCTGACGAAAACGAGAGAATTCAAGAAATGTCAAGACCAGAAAGAGATTCTGTAAGTATAAATCGAAATAACAAACTTTGTCGGAATTTTCTTAATCGTTTATGTTTGCAATCATTCTTGAAATTTTATTTTATATAGGATACTCATGCCATTAGATCACTCGTACCGACACGTACTAGGCGACGTATTATTCAAAATTATATGCTCGTGTGGTTGGATACCAGTATTGATGAATCTCAGGAAGAATTTCGTAAATCGCTAGCGAATCTGCAATGTATTTTTAATACCATTGATATATTCATCGATGTCGATCAGTGTATCGAATTCCTCAAACAAAGTTGCGACGAAAAGATCTTCTTGATTGTCTCGGATGTTTTAAGTCAAACATTTGTTCCATTGGTGCATGACTTGCCGCAACTAGATTCCATCTTTATTTTCTTTGAGAACAAGATGAGCCATGAATATATGATAAACAAATGGTCTAAAGTGAGAGATAATTCCAGTCAGATAGATCTCATATGTAAAAGTCTACGATACGCAACGAATCTAGTTGATCAAAACTCGGTATCCGTAAGTATTATTTCAGGCAATGCAGCATCGTCAAATCAAAATCTTATTCAAATTGACCCAACATTTCTGTACACTCAGCTGCTAAAAGAGATTTTACTGGAAATAAACTTTGATGAATCACATTCCATCCCAGAATTTATAGAATTTTCGCGCAGTCGATGTATTGGCAATTCAACTGAGTTAAACAAAATTGAACAGTTCGAACATGGTAATCATGATCATGCACCTATCTGGTGGTATACATTCGAATGCTCTTTTCTCTACAGGGCACTTAATCGAGCGTTGGGTCATTTAGAACTAGATACACTTCTCAAGATGGGTTTCTTTATTCACGATCTTCATCAGCATATCGTACAGCTCCACAACGAACAACAACAATTATCTGATTCGCATACAGCTAGCTCATTTTTGGTTTACCGTGGTCAGGGATTGTCCACAGAAGACTTTGACAAGCTGAAAAATTCCGAAGGAGGACTAATATCCTTTAATAATTTTCTTTCTACGAGTTTAGAGCAACAAGTGGCACTAGAGTTTATTGAGCGTGTTCGCGCCAAAGCTGAAAAAATACCTGTCTTATTCGTGATGACAGTCGATCCAAAAACAACAATGTCTACGACTAGTCCATTTGCTCTTATCGATCAAGTGAGTTGCTTTGAAAACGAACGAGAAATACTCTTCTCAATGAATAGTGTTTTTCGTATTGATGAGACCAAAGAAATGGACGGTATTAATCGTGGTCTATGGCAAGTGAAGCTTACACTCACTGGTAGCGATAGTGATCCACAATTCGCTGCTCTCATTAATTGTCTAAGAGCAGAGAATACTGGATCAACGGGATGGACTCGTCTCGGAGAACTTTTAATCAAACTTAGCAAATACGACAAAGCAGCAGAACTCTATAAAGCATTAATAGAAACGACGACAGATGAAAAATGGAACGCTCATTATTATTATATGCTAGGGTTGGTGGAATTTGCCCGCGGAGCATACGCAGAGTCGATATCATTATATGAAAAAGCTCTTGAAATCTTTCTAAAAGATCTCACACCTAATGATACGAACTTGGCCTCTGCCTATAATAACATCGGGTTGGTATACGCAACCATAAGTGATTATCCAAAAGCACTAACATTTTACAAAAAAGCACTGGAGAAAAAACAAAAAATACTTCCACTAAATCATCCGAATTTAACTTCAACATATAATAACATTGGCTTAGTATATTATAACTTGTGTGATTATACAAAAGCTTTATCGTTTTACGAAATATCAGTTGAAATTCAGAAAATCGCGCTTCCTTCCTACCATCCTGACTTAGCTAAATCTTACAGATGCATAGCCATGGCGTATCATAAGTTAGGACACTTTACAAAATCACTTGAATATTACGATAAAACAATTGACATTCAGAAAAAATCACTTCCACCTAATCATCCAGAAATAGCCACATCATTAAATACCACCGGTGAAGTTTACAGAGATATGGGTGACTATTTAAAAGCACTTTCATGTTATAAACAAGCATTGGAAATGAAAGAAAAATCTCTTTCTTCTAGCGATCCAGAATTAGTTTCTTCTTATGCCAGCATGGGAGATGTAAATTTAAAAATGGGTGCCTATTCAACAGCACTTTCTTGTTATGAGAAAGCAATGGAAATCCAAGAAAAATATTTCCCATCCAATCATCCAGTTTTCGCTGCTGCCTGCATGAACATGGGCAATGTTAATTGTTGTATGGGTAACTATTCGATAGCTATTTCTTTTTATGAAAAATCAATTGAGATTCACAAGAAAATTCTTACACCTAATCAGCACGATTTGGTTTCTTGCTACTATAACATTGGTATATTGTATCATAACATGGGAAACTATGCAGCAGCGCTATCATTTCTCAAACCTTGTCTCGAAATGCAAGATACATTACTGGTGAAGGAACAATTAACTTATGCTTTCGTATATCATGGCTTGGGAAGAGTATATCAAAGTATGAACGATTACACAACATCCATGGTTTTTTATCAAAAAGCACTTGCCATTCGTGAATCTATGCTTTCTTCAAAACATCCAGATTTAGCTACTGCATATAATAGTATCGGTGATATTCATCGACTGAGTGGCCAATACGAATTAGCTTTATCATTTCATCGAAAAGCTCTTGACATACAACAAAATGCGGTTTGTAATGAACTAGAAACTGCTACGACATGCAATAGTTTGGCAGAAACTCTTCGAGAAATGCAAGATTATACATCTGCATTAGTATACTACGAGATGACATTGAAAATTCGTGAAAAGCTACTTCCAAAACTACATGTTGATTTAGCTGTTGTACATCATAGTTTGGCTCAAATTTACTATGCAAATAAACAGTATTGTTCGGCAATGGAACATGTTAAGCTCGCCCTTGAAATAGTACAACAAAGTTTACCTGAAAATCATCCATATATGTTGAGCTACACAGAAACACTCCAAAAAGTTCAAAAGGCATTGTAACTAGATGGATTGATTTAATTTTTTTATTTACCTTTTTACAAAACAATATTGTGCTTTTCTTTTCATTCATTGTTTCATTCCTTTTATATAACCAGACGAGCATACCCGATATCTTTACAAGACCAACCATTTTAGTTCGTGCTTCAATAATTCAAGAACAAGTTCATTACTTATATAGCGTTTGAGATATGGATAAGTTTCTTCCTTGCATTCTAGTCCATACTCTAATGTGTAAGTTTCAAGAATATTGAGTTTTACATTAGAAGCGAACAATAATATATATAAATTAATTAAATCACTATCGTGACTGAATATCTATCTAAAGTCATCACTTTGATAATAATAATAAAAACTAACGTATATCAAAGAAGTAAGCAAAAATTTTCTTTTGAGAAACAACTACATGTATTTTGCATTCAAAATGATTATTAAATAAAAATGAACTAGTCCCATAGGATTTTAGTTTGTAATATACCATTCTTCTGATTGTTTCCGTTGTCGATGATTTTGTGATTAGTTATGTAATATTTAAATCTTTTGGTAACTCATTAATTGGATCAGTGAACACAAGCCATTTTTCTCTTGGTATATCTTTAAATGCTTTTAAGAATCGTTTATCATCTTTAGTTTCACCTTTAACTGCTCGAATAAAAATCCATCGTATCCGTTTAGGATATTTTCGTGCGATAAATCCATAAATTTCTGGATCATGTTCACCTGAATCTCCTATTAGTACAAGTGTACGTAATGAGTTAAAAATAAAATAACGTAAATGATTAGTTTTGTGCATTTTTGTATCTAATCATATAAAGAATAGTCGAATCGGATCAAATTTTAAAAAGGAAATTTCAAGTTCACTTTACCGATAGAATGAACAAAATTATAAATCGATATAGAAGACCAATGAAAGTGACTATCAAAAACGAAACAACTAGGTCATAATTCATTGTATAAGAAACTACCGATGCTTACCGCATATGAAAAGTACCATCAGGGAACTGATGGTCATCAACAAAATCTTTCGTCACTGCGTAGAGTTGATCTGGCATTGCACTCAGATAATGAAATGTACAATTGTATTTATCGTTCCATCCACGATATACTTCTGGCATTCCTAAGAAAAATAAATGTAATCACTATAAGAAACTGAAATCAGCTATGAATCAAATTTCATATCTATGTATTATGATGTAAATAATGCAGCTTAGTTACCTTCTACAACACGGAAATGATGAATGAATGTATTAGCTACAAGTCGAATTTTATCTAATACTTCACTAACTTTAATTGTATCATCAATATCAGATATAATAGATAGTCCATGTCGTTTTAATAAATGAATTTTTCCATGCCATAAATCACCATTGTCACCAACGGCCTTATATGTTATTACTCGATCTGTTCTTGTTGCATTTTCTAATTCGTGCACATCTACATCAGGTATAATGAACGAAGTACGAAATTGTCCATCGTCATCAGTTTTCGTTGTATAATTATGTTTGTTTCCAATTATAATTAAAATTTCTTCGTTTTTTTTACCTTGAACCATAAAAGGTTTAAGACGATCACGTTGAAATGTATCATTGTAATAGATGATCTGTTCTGATGTAGCAAAGAAATGTACAAGACGTTGAGCAATTGCTGAAGATGATTCACCCAATAATTTATTACGATTTGATTTTTGAAAGCGCCAACCATGTACGTTTAGACGCCAATTACCATCTCGACGTTGAAATCCAATATTAGGAAATAATATCATTTCTTCGCTATTGTAAACGATTTTTTTGTTACCTGAGTTTCCTGTTATGACCTTTTTTATTTTGTTTTTTATATTTTGAATAAATTGACTTTGACTACAAGTTATCATAGCACAAACAATTAAGAATACGAATAACGAGAATTTTGACGAAACCATCGTACTTTGATTGATAATCAAAATGGACGAACTGGATAATGCAATCGTAGAAAATGCATAGATATGTCTTCTTTTCTCTTTCTCTATAAAAGCAAACATACAAAAAATTTACTGTTGCTAATTAGAATATCGATCAGAAATATTAAGAACACAAAGCATATGTTGAGTCTGTATAATATCTATGAAAACAGTATATTAATAAACAATATTTGTTTATCAATGTGATTTGTTGTTCGATTTCTTTATTTCTCGTTAAATACAACCTAATATGGTCTTCCGCTATGCATTTAATATCCTTCTAATATAGTCAATGACTTATTAAAATGAAAATTATATTTTATAACTTCATGCATCTCGTTCTGTTTTGTTGTGTTTGATCACTTCGTCTGTGAGTAACTATGTGACACGAAATGTGATTAATGAGACATCATTGACTATATCTAATGACAGATATAATTATATTGTTGGGATTATTTTTCTTATATGAATGTAATAAATCGTTACTTATCTTAATTTCCGAAAAATAAGATTTATGATCAATCAAAAAATTTTAGTCACTATTTATCAAATTGTGAGAATTATAACTGCGAATCAGTATAATCCTAATGTAAGATTTTCTTTTTATGCGAGGATGTATATCTTTTTTAAATGTTTATTGGGATGTTTCTATATTATCTTACACTTATTTATTTATTTATAATGTAAGTTGATCTATACATACTTTTATAATAAATAATAAATAATAATTTATTGTAATGTTTTCGATTTTATTTTAATATATGTATGTTAATACAAATACAATAACGAGCAAATAGAATCGAAGACGGATAAAGATGCTCCCAGGTCGATCGAAACGGACCACCGTAAACCGGCGTAATATTACCGGAAACGGTCGTTTTTGCATCGTATTCCGCCGTAAAACGGCCGTTTTAAGGCGTTTTAACAGGGGCAGTATTACGGCCGTACACGGACACCGTATATCAGCCGTAAAACCTTGTAAAGCAGGCGTAACATACGGGGAAAATACGCACGTAAAACGGGCCGTATTTGTATCGTATACGGTCGTTTACTGATCGTTTTCTTCGACCGGGGCTGCGCAATAACGACAAAACACGAGACTGAAGCTTTTAGAAGATCAAAGAAAACGAAACGAAAAATAAGAGAGACAAAGAATAGAAATATGGAAAGTATACGGAAAAACAATAGAATCAAAAAAGAAGATAATCAACGCAAAGAAAGAAAGAGAAATCACTCTTGTGCTTGTAAACATAAAACAAACGAAACGAAAAGAAGAAATACAATACATAGCAAGAGAGAGTGAGAAACAAAAAAAAGGGGCATTGTAACCTGTTGTATAACAACTATCGATTACGATGAAAAGGAATGACAGAAAAGAAACGAATAAGTCTAAGAAAACATGTTAGCGTCGTACAGCGACATCTTACGACGCTAACACCTAACTGATAACATAATAGAAACCTATATAAAAATTAACAGAAATGAAATAAATTCTAATGTTTCTATCATTTATGCTAATTATTTTTTAAATTACTGTAAAAAAATGATCATCAAGTTATGAGCGATAGTATGATTTCCAATATTGGTTTACCCATAGATGGCTGTAGAAGCTGAAAGAAAAAGACAAATGTTAGAGTTAAATTTGTCGTGCTCTGTCTTCTGAATATTTCTTTGATTGTGTCTTTTCCATGACAACTCCTTAGAACATGGTATGTTTTTAAACAGAAGAATGAGTAAGTAGTTGTTCGTAAACGGACACCGCAATATACAATTATTGTTATTAATAGATTTATCAAGTCCAATAATACACGAAGTCGATACTCGACTAAATTCAACATTAACTGTATTCGATGGATCTCGAGAAGATGAAAGCAAATTGGCTAAACAATTCTGGAATTCAGTCGTACTTATGCCACCTGTAGAATCAACTTTAGTTTGCAAAGAAATAAAACAGTGCACAAAAAGTCGACCATTCAATGATGGAAAAAATAAAGGTATCATCATTGAATATACCGATGAATTTCAATAATTTACTTTTTTTACATTCTTATTTTATAGCAAGACTCTCCACTGCTATGACCAAAGCAAATCAAGAAAAAACATTGAGAAGTTGATGATACTTTTTCTTTTTAAAAACGCATAGGCATTTTGTTCCTTTGAATAGATCAAGAATACGAAGAAATTGCTGCTTTAAAAGAAGCTGAAGATGAAGGAAAACGAATACAATCTATTCGAGAACGACATCAACAACTAAGACATCTCTTTTTTAAACAAGCCAGAATCAATCGACTCAAAGTAAATCTTTGAAAATTTTCTAATTCACATTTTAACTTAGTAGCTATTATCTATTACGTATGTTCAATATTCTAGCATCAAGAATGGGCAATTCCTCATATGAATAAATATTCTATGAGTAGTAGTATACATGGAAGTTCAATATATTATCGAGATGCAACCGATAATGGATATAACAATGATGAGAATAATGATCGTCAATTAGTTCGTTCTTTACCAGATTAAAGAAAAATAGATCTAGTAATGTGTGCTTTTTTTTCATAATTCCATTAATTCTTTAAACGATTGTTGAACTCTTTTAAGATCCTCATTTGAATTATCATTCAAATTGATACTAATAACTTGCCATTTGAATGTATTTGCGCGATAAGTTGAAAGTGTAATTAAAAAGCGATAAGCTACTTCTAGGTTAGTTAATAAATTTTCATTATGATTTTCATTGAAGATTTTTTTTTGATTTTGTAAAACAACCGATGTTTGATATACAACAATAAGAACTGGAACTCGATCAAGTAATCGATTTTTAAGAGTTTGTGAAAGTAAATCAAGATTAATATCTAATCTTGAGCGATCATGTGCATTTATTAACCAAAGAAGAAGAGAAGTATTCGAAAAATGATAAGGCCATAATGATCGAAGAGAAGGTTGACCACCACAATCCCATATTGTAATTTTGTGACAACGGCGAAGATAGAAATGACGACTATAAACTTTTATTGTTTCAACATTATATCCTAAGATTTAGAAAAACAAATAATTACTCTCAGTCATGGCTCATTCGTTTTCTTGCTTACCCACAGTTGGTTGGGACAATGAATGTAATTTTGGCAATTGATTAGTAGGACATATCAATCGATTAAATAAATCTGTTTTTCCTACACCATCCAAGCCCAAAATAAGAACTTTTTTCTTCATACAAAAACGTTGTCGGTTGTAAAGCTCGAAATCAATATATTTTAATTTTCTATTTCGTAATGATATTAATGATCCCGAATGAAAAATTGTTGGAAATCGGTAACTACATTTTATGTCCGATTTATTTGAGCAAGTAATATATTTTGATTTCGAATTAATCATACCCATAGTTGTCTTATAGCGTCGACTTCGATCAAAGTAATATAGGAGAAAAGAAAAAACTCACAGCAATTATATATTCATCATCTGCGCTGTTAAAATAGCCAAGACAAAGATTTTCTTGTGTTAATAAATAGATGTATGCGCGTCTGTATATACAAGTGAGTCTTTGTTGATATTGTTATGTTTACATTACACGTAATAAAAAAGATCGCTGTTTTCTATTTGTCACACCGCTTATTGTATTCTTGATGTAATGAGAGAAAAAATTGATATAGTAATGAGAGAAAAACAATATTTTCTGTCACTCTCCTATAAAACACTGTTAAAGAGCGAAACAAATAAATGATATGAGCAATGACAACACTATACTTGCTGTCACTGTCAACGAATAGGTGACATTTTGAATTGATCTTATCGGCGCAGAAAAATTTATTTTCTCTCGCACAATTCAAGGAGAAATTACTTACATTTAATTACTCGAAGATGTTCTTCAATGAAGCAAGGAAATCTTTTCTTGATATCAATGCGCTTTCTTTGTGAATCTAATTGTCTCTGTTTTGAATCAATATTTATTCAACATAACTTGTACATGAGCTAAAAGTGAAAGTTTATTTGCGCCACTAGAAATTGTTCTTCTTTCAATCAGCAAGTTTTCTCTGATATGTCAATTGGATATAATACTCAAATATATACTGTTATAAAAAGAAATAGATCATATTCACATCAAATTTACTCTAATTATTCAATGAAGATGATTGTAATTGATTTAAGTTTGTCAACATGTGCAAGAAAAAGATGAGTAAATCATAACTAATTGCTAGATTACAAGGTAAGACCAATAGATATTCATATTTATATTCAACTCGGTTGCCAATCAAAAAGTTCCATCATCGACTGAATTTTCAAATAATTAAAATAAAAATATGTCCATTACAGAGGAAGAAACGGTGAATGTAATGAATATTTGAAAATAAATAGATATTTTTCACTTCAGCTATTCATCGCATCGTTTTAAAGCAGGCTTAACCACTTTCATTCGATTGAATCATCAGCAATCTCCACAAATGCTGTTCGTTTCCCTTCTATATTTGAACAAAATCAAGGTAAGTTTAAAGTTTTTTAATTTGCATTAATAAAGTCGAAATGAAAGACTGAATGCAGTACGATTGCTGTGTTTATTTTTGACAAACTTTCACTTCTGAACAGCTATTTATATTATTGTTAATAATTTTTTTTAGACGATATTATTTATAGTTCTTTTGATTCCTCTGTTTTGTCATTATATGAGTATCATGTTCTATCAAAATATGTACAATGAAAGGTATTGATTTCGAATGTTCTCAGTTGCAAAATCTTTGTTAATATCTTTGTAGACACGACGCAAACTAACTGATTGGCAAATTTGGTATTTAAATAAAGATTATAATCAAAATCAATATCCAACGTCGTATGAATACGATCAACTTGCTACTCAATTAGTACTATCCCAAACATCAATTCGTATTTGGTTTCAAAGCCACATCGTGCACGATGTTGAAAATCATAAATCGTTGTTTTTTCTGTTGTTCTTTCGGATCTATTTTCAATAAAAGTTTAGATTAGTTCAAAAAATAGCGTCGTCGTTTCACTGTTGGAATAGCTTTTGTATGAATACATGTCGATATACCAGAAAAGGATGAATTATAGTATCCAGTCATATTTTGAGGAATCATTAAAGACCAATATGAACTTTGAAATTTCTTAAAGATATCTCCTAACGGTATTAGTTTTGTCTGGTCTTGATTTTCTTTTCTTAATAGAATGAAAAATTCAAACCGATGTAAATCTAGTAGATTTTGTTTCAAATAGTTTTCCCATAGTTCACCATCAATACATGCTATATCTTCGGTATTAATTTCGATAGCAATATGTTCGATATTTGAACTTAAGTGTTTAAATATATTTTTTAATGTATTGAAGTTAACATTAAGATCGTACGTTGTTCGAAGTGAAAAATTACGAAGAGTTGAAGATGTTTCGATTTGTAATTGACTACATAAATCAAATTAGTTTAGATCTAATTAAAGTTAATCTTACTTGTCTGGTATTTCTAAGATTATTGGATCACAAGTTTGTAGTGTCAGATTCAGACATGTAAGTTGCGGACAAATACGAAGTAATTGAACAAAATCATGAAATGATTGAAGAATTATAGTAAGTTGTTTGATTGAAGAAAATTTTGAAGGTGAAAATACAGGGACTTTTAAAGGACTAATTGAAGAAATATAAACAGAATGAATATTATTATTTGGTAAAAATAAAACATCAATCGATTGAAATTTTGGCCCGTAGATAATATTCAAATCAGTTAGATTTCGAAGTGACTAAAAATACAATCGAAAGTTTCGGTTTTCATTGAATCTTTCTTACAAAATTACCGGAATAAGACAGGGTTGCGTATGAATCAATGTCAGTTCTCGAATATTTGATGCTAAACTTATTTCATTTGCAGATAGAGAAATATTTTTTATTGTAAGAGAATGAAGATAAGGTCCAATAGTAGAAAGTAGTTTGAAATTTTCTTCCTTTGTCAAGAAGTTTTCATCAGATACAATAAAAGATCGAGTGAAATGTGAAATTGTACAATTAAGACGAGAGTTTAAACCACAAAAAGCCTGAATAATGTAGCGCTGATACAGATATTGACAAATAGTCAGGAGAATTTCATCTGGTAAATATTCAAGTAATGTTGCCATCGGTGATGTTTGTGTTAAGACAAAGTTAAATTCTTTAGGATGCTAAAAAACACAGAATAAAGAGTCGATTATAAATTTACATCAGTGCATAGAATGCAATGTCACCGGTTGACTCATCGACATTGTTTTGTAAAATACATGACTCATGAGCGATAAGCATTACCAGAAAAGGAAAAAACTAATAGCCTTCGTTTTTTTTTCCGCCTGATTACATCGATGATTATCTAGGTTCATTCTTTCTATTTTTAAAAAATAAATTTTTTCTGTCTACATTTTCATGTTGTACTTTTTGTACTAATAATAGACAGAAGATTCTTGGTCGGATATAGATTTGAAAATATGAACATAGGCGATAAAATTGCAGTATCAATCGAAAGATTACTATTGAAAATTTATATCAATCACTATAAATTATCAGCTATTTACTTAGAAATTAGTAGTTTTCTTTTATTTCTATATTATTTTCTAATCAAAGAAAGAAATAATTTTGTTTGAATTTTATTTCAAAAAAAGTCATTACAAGAGCATTCTCCTTGTTGAAATTTATGATATCGTGTTCTATCTCGAATTAAAATAATCAGTCCTGTGTAAATACGAGTGATTCGTTTGAAAATTTCATGACAATCTCCACATATTCGAAGATTTTTTGTAATTTGTATTGGTTCATTACTCGGTATTGTTCTTCGTAGTAATAATTGATATGCAAGTGCTAACCGTTCACTATGAGTATGTAATGGATCGGTTAATTCACTACAATTATGATCTGATGTTATCCATCTTCGGTCACTTTTATGACCATCTTTGCTAAGTTTATCAGAAATATATTTCAGTTCTTCATAAATATCTTCTGTTCGCTCATGACGTTTCTAAACAAAAATTCAATTCAATTTTGATTGTTTCAATTTTCTTTTATACAAACATCATGAGCAATAAATTCATGTATTTGACCATCATTCGTTTCTGTCCATGATATTCCAGGTAATTTTGATATTCCACGTAGCTTATTTGTTTCCGTTAGTATCGTACGTAAACGTTTTGCTTCATTCATATTATCCAGAAAAGCATACGTATTGGCTAGAAGAATTGTTGCTGATGAAATATAATGAAAATCAGTGGGAAAATGTTCCTGAATAAAATCACGTATCTCAATCACTTTATTAATATTTCCAACACGAGCATAAGCTGTTAACAATGTTATATACATCGGTGGATATTTTCTATTGGTTTGCTCAAATTGAACAAGTAGATTTTCAGCTTGATTTATTTTTGATGCGCGACACAATGTATCAATCTATAATATTTAAAAAAAATTAAATTCTCACTATAGAAAGATATATGATCTACCATAGTAGCGTAAATAAAAACATTTCGAGATTTAATTGGTATCGAATCAAAGATTTGTTCAGCTTCATTAACAAGTAATGAATGTGAACAAGCATTAATAAGAATTGAGAAAGTTTTTTCGTCTGGAATTAATGTTGAATTCTTTAAGAGCGAATTGTAAATGTTGAAAGCCTTCAAACCATAACCATTGAGACCTTCGAAATAAAAGAGCTTGTTTTTAGTAAAATAGAGCTTAAAAGATATTTCATACCATAGGCATTAATCTTAAAAAGAAACAGAATTATGAAGACATGTTAATAGATAAAATATATATTTTTACCAGTGCATTATACGAAATAATATCTTTATGTTCAATCATATTAAATAGTTGTTGAGCTACATTGACATCAGCACACTAGAGAAAAAACAAATTAGAAGAATATTAGATTGATTAGTTCTTGCCTAAATATACGTATATAATAATTTTGATTTACTTTTCCGAACATATCAATAAGAGCATTCATTATTCGAATATCTTCTTTACATGATGGAAAATTCGATAAAATTTGGTCATATAAAATTCGAGCTCGACGAAGCATAGAGATTTGAGCGCAAGCATTGATTGCAATCAAATAGGAAATTGTATCAGGTTTTGATATTTTATCAAAAATAGATAGGGCTGTTAATGGTGTTTGAGCATAGATATAACCCTTCATCAAAACCTATAAAAAACGACACAATGGCACAAATTCTTCCCGACACATATATCTTACATTATAAATACCAGTTGTACGTTCTTGAGTAATTTGATCGAAGATTTTTTGAGCTAGATTATTTTTAAAAACAATATTTTTATTGTTTACTAAAACAATTGATTATTTACCTGTAGTGATATCTCCACATTTGCCTAATGCATGAATTAGACTTGTTTGAAGAATAGGATGTTGATCAAGATGAATTTTGCTTGAATTTAAATCATTTAGAATATCTTGGCATCGATCACTATGAGCTATTTTAGCAACAGAATATAGAATGCAACTAAATGTGATTTGATCTGGTATAAGATTCTTTTGATTTTGTTTTAATTTATAATACAATTCAAATGCTTTATCATACATCTTATTATTATTGTATACTTTTAATCTACACAAAAAACAAAATACAAATAAATCATTTGAAATAATAAATTGAAAAACATACAAAGAATTGTAATGAACTATCGTTGGATTTTCAATCATATCAAAAATAGTTTCAGCTGAATAGAGAAACAAAAATAAATATCTAAGAAAATTAAAAATTGATTTTTTATAATATTTACCATTGGGTACATCATCACATTTACCATACATCTACTAATAAACAATTAGGTATTATCATTGAATCTAGAGCGACTTACGTCAAATAATGCAGTCTGTAATTTGAAATTTTTTCCAAGATCTATATTTAATTTTTCTAATTTTTTAGCTAATTCTTTTCCTTTTTGTAAGTTTTTTAATAGTGCGCATGCTTGAAATGCTAGTAAATAAGAAATAGCATCGGGACATTGAACACGATCAAAAGTGATTAAAGTCTTGTCTGGTTGACGATGAAGATTATATCCAGTCATAACTATAGAAAAAACAGTTGGATCAATATGGTGCGGCTTAGTCGATGTTGGCAGTGATGCTAGTAGATCAGCAAGAATCTGTTCCGCTAAATTCAACAACAGAAATTAAGAACGAAAAAATAAAGTGAAATATACCTTGATCGAAGTAACCTGCTTTTGAGTACATATTTAAAATGATCTAATACAAAAACAATTTTAAAAAAGTCAATGCATAAAAATATCGTTTTGAGTTTTTTAAACTACTTGCAATTTTTAATTGTTGGTCATTATAAAGTTTTGTATTAGTTTGAATTTGAGTATATAATCGATGAGCTTCCGACCATTTTTTAGTTAATGTAAATGCTTTAAAAATTATACAATAAGTTTGTATAGATAGATCTCCTAATGTTGATTTTCGATTATGATATTGTTCAAGAACTTCTTCCAGTTTACCATGACGAAGAAGTTCACGTAATGAATGATTCCATGTACGAATTTCATCATGACTAATCAATTTATTCGCTGAAGATAAACATCTAGTTGACCAAATATTTATAACGCAAGCTGATTGAAGATGATAACTTTTTATATAAAAACGTAACATCTGAAACCTTCGAAAAGCTTTTGTGAAAAGAGTAATTATTTTTCTTTTGAATTTGTTTCATTAGATTCTAATAGAATTTTCTCAGCAGTGGCAGAATTCTGCTGTTTAATACGAGCAAAGTTCTAGCAGAATTATGCTAAGAATTCTGTATTCCTTATGATTAGTTGACAAGCAAAGTTCTAGTAAAATTCTGCTGTGAATACAGGATTCTTGCATTTTGGTTGTGAGAATTCTGCCACTCCTCAATATTCTCAAAGAGATCACTTGCACTACTAAAACAGTCTCAAACGGAACAAGCTTATCTTACGTCTATTTGTTGTTTTTCTAATGTTCTGCTGACATCTTTATCGTTCTACTGACATTTTTATAGTTCTTGTCGTGTATGACTCGTGCATGTTTTACTCCACATATAAATGCACGTAATATTTGATACTGCATTGCATAGTATCCAACTAAATTTGTAGCATCATCATTATGCAGATTTGTTCTGATCTTTCTGTTCCACATGTTATCGATTCTAATTTAATTCCATTTGTTGATTCGCCTAAGAAAGGTGTTCAACGTCGAATGTTAGATCGAATAGGTGATGAAGTTGCTCGTGCTACAACTATTGTTAAATTCGATCCATTTGTGAAATTTCCTCGTCATAATCATGAAGGTGGCGAAGAATTTGTTATGTTAGACGGGCGACTTTTCGATGATCTATCGGGTGATCACAGTCCATTGACTTACTGTCGACATGGAATGGGTACATTACATGAACCATGGACAACTGAAGAAGGAGCCACTCTATTGGTTAAACTTCGTCAAATGAATGATCGTACAGAAGCACCTATCACCCTCATCGATACAGAAACTTCGAATGATTGGAAAAAAGATTCGGATGCAAAACGAGAACGTCTTGATTTATTTTCAAATGCAAAAACAGGCGAATACGTATGGATGGAGAAATTGGAACCTGGTTTTCAAAGTGATAATTGGGTTGTTGGACAAGGCGGTGAAGAAATATTTGTACTCAAGGGTGATATGAGTTTCGAAAATATTGATGGCACCGATGATGAAAACAATAAGAATAAGTGCACAAAAGGATTTTGGATTAGACGACCCGTTGATTGGGCAGGACGAAAATTTAAAGTCACAAGTGAGAATGGATGTCAATTGTTTATGAAAACAGGACATTTAGCTATGAAACTCGATGAAATTCGATAAACTATTTTTTGTGTGTATTGAGAACTATTTTATTCGATTATTTCAATATTTATGAAAAATATAAACAGAAAAAGAATTGTATGATTGTTTTTAAACAATACTTAGGGCAATCTAAAAGTCGTGAGGGATGTATCTTACTTCCTCAAGCAGAGGCCAAAAAACGTTTCTTTTTACCAATAGATAGAGCATGTTTCGCTCTGTTTTTCTATGGTATTTGACCACTATTCAACTAATATCATAATAGCAAAATTTCGATAAGATCGTTGCTTTCATATATGCGCTGGTAGTATGAACATGAATGCTCGCGAGTATTTTTTGAATAACGTTGAATAGCAACAAGATACAGCACTGCAGTTTGCACTATTGGAAGGAGGAAATGAAAACGCATCGAACTGTAGCTCGCTGATGTTTCTAATAGGATTTTTGAAGTACTTTTATTCAATTTTCTAACCTTCCGAAAAATACTTTTTTTTATGAAAAACAACAGTTGATAGAAAATCGAAGTAGAGGTTCGTCTAGAATACGTATTATCCCAAAATAATTAAATTTAACACCTGAGTCTTTCACAGTTTGTAGATCTTCGATTAGTAGTTTTAATGTGAACCTGATTATTGAAAATTCACTGTAAACAACTCATCAGATAGGCTTGTTCTTTAAAAGGTCAACTACAAATGTTACAAAAAACAGGCTAGAAAAATCAGTGATCTACAGTTCGATGCGCCTTCATGTTCTCTTTCCAATAGTGCAAACTACAGCTCTGCATCTTGTTGCTATTAAACGTTATTCAAAAACTACCTGCGAGCATTCATGTTCATACTACCAGCGCATATACGAAAGAAACGATCTTATCGAAATTTTGCTATTATGATATTACGTGAATAGTGATCAAATAGCATAGAAAAATAGAGCGAAACGTGCTCTATCTATTGGTAAAAAGAAACCTTTTTTGGCCTCTGCTTGAGGAAATAAGAAATCTCCCTCATGACTTTCGGATTGCCCTAAGTAGAAAGAATCAAGACTATTAATTATCTATTTGAAAAAAAGATTTATTTACTCTTTTAATGGCATTCATATTTCATTTTTATGCAGAAATTTATATAACGATTATTTGATTTTTGTCGCGAAGTTGTTTCTACTAACCGGATTAACATACTGAAATAAAATTATTGATCTTTTTTGTACAGTAGATTGAAAGAATTCTAAATTATTTTTCTATGAAAATTCTTCCGTAAATAGGCCATACTACCTACAGATAAATTTCACATGTCATATTTCGTTTACTTGCAGATAACTATTGCTTTATTCTTGGAATAGCACGTTATGATGTTTAGGATTTAATACATTAAAAGATATCTTGAATTTCACATTAATAAATGTCATACTTCAGTGATATTAATGTATAAAGATTAAAATGATTTCTACAATAAATGATTACGATAAAATGAATGATCTTGTATATAATCATCAACTATAGTTTCTTTCATATTATTTCTCATTTTAAGAACTGTTGTTGACTTTGATCTTCAGTATGATTTTATTTGGCGAAACTTGTTTGGCGAATCAAGTTTTAACCTAGTTTTGTATTTAAAATAAAATAAAAAGATTTGATTTTCAATTTAATATTCAAAATTAGAACTAAATTGATCTCGCACAAAAATTTCTTTAAAAATTTGTCAATGTTCGGAAAAAATCTATAAATAACAACTAATGTCTAATTAGGAGAAAATTGTAATTGTCCATTTTGAGTGAGATGATTGAAAATGAATTTATTTATTGGGCGTGTTGATGTATTATCAAAAGGAAAACGAGAGATAGAATTTCATCACTGTCGACATTTAGATACTGATAGTATATATCAGGGGTGTCCACAGGGGCAATTTTATTGCCTTGTCTTGCCCTGCCCTGCAAATTAAGAAGAATTTTTTTCATGCTAAATTAAAGTTTAAGTAATTTTTTTAATTTGAAAAATAATTCAGCAAATAGATTAATGATTAACAAATAATAAATTAGTCTTAATTGAAGAGGTGTATATGATGAAGTTGCACCACCAGTGGTGGCCCACAGTAGATATATTTAACGAAGAGAGAATAGAAACTTCATGTTTATCACCAGAAGAGACATAATATATCAGTACATGAATCTATCGACGGTGATAGCGATGAATAGTTTTTTTGAAACAATAAGAAGATCAGCAACTATTACAATTATAAATACATGTACACTATTATGATTCCTTTATTCTTTTCTTACCACTTGATTGTACCTCACGGTCATCATGCAAACACAAATATAGCAATCTGTTTACCACTTAATAACACTATCTAGATTTTTTAGTATCTTTCATATTTCCGAGAAAAATAAAATTGCTGTTATTTTCGAACTAAAGTTAGTATATGTAAAAGTTGCTGGGCATGCAAGTATATAGCCCTGCCGTGTGGGCACCTATGGTATAGCTATATCTAACATCTCTTATACTACGTCAAAAAATAATAATCTTAATAATGAATGCTTTCTTTGTATGTAGCTAGACTTTGATTTCGATTGTAGTAAATCGAACATTGTGTGTTGCGATATCTTTAACTTACAATAATTTGCATTAAAGAATTATTAAAGGACACCTAACCACTAGAATAACATTGTAAAAGTTGAAGGAGCACTAAAATATGATCGATAAAGCCAGTATGCATCAATGTAAGTATGAATTTTTCGTACACCTACATTCTTGCCAGTAGACGAATAAATAATGTTGTTCCAAGTGTCTAAATTGATTGACACAGAAGTGTATTCATTTAAGTATCAGTGCACTATTTTTTTCCTTCTTTTGTTACAAATGTACATTTATTCTTTCATCATTTTTCATGTTCAAACAAGAAAAAGAAACAGCGCTCATAGAAATTCAAGCAATACCAACAATATTCTATATCCTTTAAAAGAAATTTGACTCCGTTGGACACTGCATTAGATTTAAGATGATAAACGACTTTTCTGTTTATTAAAAATTCTCTGAAAGCAGAGCCAAACGAAAATAAAACGTTTTTCTTGAAATATGAGAGCAAATCAACCTAAAATACCATTGACAATATCATTGTTGCAGCAATTTTTTTAATAAATTTATGTTTTCCAAGATCAAGAAGTGTGCATGATATTCTGCATTATTTTAGTAACTACAGATATGTGAAAATTTATTGTAACAATATTTTCATGTTTATATTATGTTTTTAAAATAAATATTAGTAACTGCTTTTATAAATTATAATTTTTTTTTGTCATGTCTCTCTACTGTTTTTTAGTTCATTTTGATAATAATCAGTAGATCTCTGGTTATCGTCATGTATAATGAAATTATAGATGAGAAATAAGAAACGATTAAATTTGCCAACATATGAACCAACAAACAAATCGCTACGAGCGACATTTGCTATTTGGATTTAATGAGATACTATTCAATATAGATATGATTGATTAGAATAGGCATCACGCTTTCTTTTTCGTGAAACAAGGTACCTCCTAACTTTAGCAAATTATTTTTTCTTAATATGCTATATAATTCATTGAATGACAAAGTAACATATACAGTTTTTCTTGAACACGTTGGGCATGCTGCTTGATACTCAAGAACAGAAAAAAAACTAGACTATAAATAATACTAGATGTGACCTCATTGATCTTGAGTAAAGAATCAATAAAATAAAAAGAGACTGTTCTGTGCAGGTGTCGAACCTGCGATCTTCTGCGTGTTAAGCAGATGTGATAACCGCTACACCAACAGAACACCGTTTGATCTTTCTAAATTGCACCACCTATTTCTGATTGAAAGAATATAAATCTAAAAACTTAAATAATTGCTTTTCTTTATCTTTATCATATGAGATGAAGTTTATAAAAACTAATAGCCAATTGCATATGTTTTTCTATATTTTCTATCGAGTATTATTTAGTAAGAATACTTAAAAAATTAATCTGTTCTGTGCAGGTGTCGAACCTGCGACCTTCTGCGTGTTAAGCAGATGTGATAACCGCTACACCAACAGAACATACCAGGTCTCTGATTTTCAACAAAGAAATTTATCTAACTAGACAATGAACATCGCTGAAGTCGAATATTGAGTAGGTCTAGTTTTATCTTACCAGTAATAAAGTACCGCAATAAAGAAAAAGATTGCGCAGACTCCTTGTCATTAGTCCTTTTTCTATATGATGCATTCTAACCAAATGAACAGAAGCGTTCAAAAATAGACTTTGAGGTAGCTTGTTTTGAATAGTTTATGTGTTATTGGTTTTAGAATTTCTTCAGTCTCATTTCTTATCCTAGTTGAGACTTTGTGGTGAAGTTTCGACTTTTCTCTTTCAAAAACTATTGGGTCAGCTTATTAAAACCAGAAACGCTTTTTTGTTTACAAAAAATTGGTGTTCTCGAATATTTTTGCAGTCTTTTACTATTCTAAGTTCTAACGAATAAATATCAGTTGGTATATTCCAGATAAATCGTTTGAAATAGAAGATTAATTATCATGGCCTATAAACAAAAATGTGTTACTAAAATTCAACAACAAAGCTGTTTTATTTCGTACACATTGTCGACACTAACCGTGGCTAAGTCATCCTTGTCCCAATAGTGATCTTGAGGTAGTCATTATTTGAATTTTGGTGATCAATTTTTATTTAGGACTCTTCTAATTCCTATAAACTAATCGTTCTTGTAACAAAAACAACTTATTGATATTGTTAGACAGCTGTAAATATCGCAGAAATAAATGATCATGGCATTTTAGAGTGAATTGGAAATTGATTTCATGAATCTGCGTACAAAATTTTACTTCTAAAATTAGTCAGTACATGTTGTAGAATCTAGCAAGATTTCATCGTACTGAATATTGTAAGATGTTGATTCAACCAATAAAAATCGTAGTCAAAATTTACAAGCTTCGAACCTACCTAGTTAAATTTTATGATAACCTATGCATCATCAGCTAATAGTCATCGTCATTTTGGATGTGACTGAAACTTCAGTCTAAAAGTTTCGTGTACCAATTTTTCATTGAATAGAAGAAATCAGATGATCTAAAACCAATGATCTATTTTTTGCTTCTTTCCCTGATCCTGAACGCCTATTCCAAAAACCAATATATACACCATGAGAGGCAACATGAAAAAGTCTACACGATGTAATGAAAATCTAGCTTCCTAATGTATCCTCTAGTTAAATGTTCATAGAATTTTGTACCGTATATCTATAATCAGAGATAGCCATCGAAAAGTTCTGACCATGATCTCAATGCTTGCATCATTACTCGTGTGTTACTTCAACAAAATTCTTCAATGATCTTATTCGTAGCATTCAGGATTGACTGCTCAGTATTTTGTTCAATTCAGCAATAAATAATAAAAATGTGTAAAATTAGATGTTCTGTCTAAATTCATAGTGAACACTATTTTTGGAATAGAAGTTCAAAATCATGAACAAAAAGAGCAACACAAAAGTAGGTCATTCATTATGAATCATTCGGTAGTTAGTCCGTTCCGCTATTGGAGAATAAAATAAAGACTTCAACGATATTTTTTGGGTTTGTACCAAAGACTAAAATACACAGAATAGTTGAGACAGATTACATTCAACTAATTGTTGATATTCTCGAAACTCGTTTACAACAATACTTTATCAGTTTTTCCATAAAGATATCATTCGATATGTTTCATATGTGAGAGAAAAAGAAAAGAAATATATTCATGCTTCGAAATGTTTTGTAGATTATTTTATGAAGAAAGAACTATTACTACTTGTATTTTATCACAACTCTTGGGAATAGTTTAGTGATTTTTGTCTCCGATAAAATATTTTCTTGCGTAACTCGATCAACACGCACCCTAAAATTCCGAAGTAATAAGTATAAGTAAATATAAACATTTAAAAAACTTTTATTTCGTTACAACAATTTTTCAAATCTCTAAACTTTTATCGAAAGCTAAATTGTCGAAAAACAGATTATTGAAATTTAGAAAAGTCGATTTTAATTATTCATAAAACACACAAGCCCACGTATCAATTCTTCGTGATTCTATCATAAGTATATGCCAGAGATGTCCACAAGGTGACTTTTTGTACCCTGTACTGCCCTGCTGAATAAAAATGAATAGATTTAAGATGCATCGTGCCCCTGGTCTGCCCTATCGGTCTTGAGATAAGGCAGGGTACGGTACCCTGCTGAATTGAAAATAGTGTCTGTGCTGTAATTTTACATATATTTTATAATAAAAATACATTTTTCTCATTGAATCTTACAGGATTTTTTTAAATTTTAAATTTAAATTAAACTGATTTTAGAATAATAGTAATATTCCACCCCAAACAACAGAATAAATAAGTGGGTAATAAGAAGAAAAACGAATGATACAATATACATAACTTAGACTCACAAGTTTATTGTAGAACTTCAATTCAACAAAATTTACAAAAATAACAGCAGAAAATAAGATAACCACTATGAACAAGAAAAAAACTAACAATAAATAGATAATTTACTTTTTATGTGAACGTTTTCCCGCTGATCTTACTAATAAAATGCTCTCTAGACTATCTGGCAGGGGTATAACAGATCTCAGATCAGATCCAGAGATCTGTTCAAACAGATCTTCTGATCTGATCTGAATGATTATAACAGATCAGATCAGATCCACACATTTGTTCAGTGAGTCCCTCTGATCTTTTCCGCCACTTCTTCTGATCAGATCAGATCTAAAGCCGAACTGTTACACGCCTACTATCTGGTGGAGGATTTGTTCTTCTTTCGTTCACAATCCAGCCAGCTGCGGAAAATTCTCTCTCCACATTTGTTGTTGTTACAGGAATTGAAAATATGGATCGAGCATACTTTGAAAGATATGGAAAAGTTTCTTGATGATTTTTCCAAAAATCTAACGGTTGCTTTATTTCTTTATTATTATCGAATTCAAACAGTCGATATCAATCAAGTTCATCAACTCTTTTTATGGTATAATCATATTCTTCACTTTCATCTCCGCTACTGTTATTTATTATCGGTAATCTCTTCATTAAACTTCCAGATTCAAATCGCGCAAAAATCGTTTTCTACTCTAACGTAAATCTTTTTTTGTGGTTCGATGAAATGTTGTTGTTTTGTTTGCTTTTCACGTACTTTTTTAGTTTGTTCTCTAATATATTCAAAGCACTGTTCTTGCGCATAATTAGGTATTTTTTTCGAATCAGAAATTCAAACAACTGAGTAATCATTTTGCAGGGTATATCTCTCACCCTGCCCTGCAATTTCCCACGTCTACCCCTGTCTCTGTTCAGAGTAGGGCATGACAGGGCACAGGACAGGGTAAGCCTGCTCTGTGGACATCTCTGGTATATGTTTCAATCATAAAAATGGTAAAGAAAGAAGGGTTCCAATCAAACTTCTCAGATGAATTATTCGACAACGAAACTCGTATATTTTTTAGAATATTACCCTTATTTGACTTGAATTTGTACAGATATTTAGGAGATAAAGTGAAAAAAGCCCCACCGTTGAGCAGGTTAATGAGCTGTTAATAAAAATTGTAGAGCACAACTGACTCATAGGTAATATTCTTTACAAAAAAAAACTTGAAGCCATGAATATCTTTAGTCTATTTGATACAGTATCAAACACAGCTGTTTTAAGATTATCAGAAATTCATTCAGCATATGAGGAATTATTTTTTCTTTAATTTTTAACATCAGTGCTTCAACCTCGCTCATTACTGTTCGGCAATGAAATAAAACAACTGTGACTAACTGATTCAAAAAAAACATATGCAATAAATTCTGATTAAAAACCTTTCGTTTTGCATGTTTTTAATAGAACAAATTTCTTATCCAAGTTCAAGTACTGTTACTGTTTTATATGGTTCAATAGCAGCTGATGTTAATGATGTGATACTATCGTTAAAAATGTGAAGATCAGAAAAAGGCACCACATGGTTTGTCGATTTTCGTAGATTAACGTTTAATGAAATTTATATAAATTCCTTTTTACTTTTATAATTTATTTGTCTGTTTCAAGTAAAGTGCAACAAATAAAACAAGCTATGCTGCTATACATGCTACATTTACAGTTAACTGACTCCAATCATGAAAAATAAGTGTTGTTTATATTGATGTACGCGAAGAGATATCATAAGGTACTGCATTGCAAATACTTGGTATTTCATCAAAATTTCATTAACCTCAATAATAATTTAGTATCACAGCTATAAAGTTCAATAAATAGACATATTTGTTTTATCTTGATCAGAATATTGAACAGATCACTAATTAATTAGTCTACTAAAATAGTATCTGACTACATTTGCATGAGAGAGCAATTCACCAAACAGATAATAATATGGATAGTTTTTCTTATTGACTTATGCTTTTGTTCTTCTACATTCAAAGTTCTTCGTCAATATTTGACAGAATATCGTGAATAATATTTTGTTTCCATTTTGTATGACGAAGTCTCTGTTCAAAAACGAAAAGAGAAAGAAATCAATATTATTGTTGTCAAGCCAATAGAAGATCTGTCTCTGGACAGTAAGCTTTTTCTTTGTCTGTCCCTTGCTGTTCTTTTTTCCTCGATTTGTCGACGAGATGTATCTTGATGTCATTTTTCTTTTTGTGCTGATCGACACACGCATTTTGTTTCTTCTATCCTTTTCTCTTTCGCTTATGTTTCTTTTGGGGCGTTAGCATGTGTGCTGTCGTGCATTGATACGACTGTATTCTCGCACGCTATTCTCATTCTTATTACACGTAGCGATTGCACGCTTGCAACTCTCGCAAGGTCGAATACACTCGAGTACATACATGAATGAAGATGGTTTAGTCATTTTCTTTCTCTTCTTTCTTTCCCTCATACATTCATACAGATACATATTTATTCAAAACTCGTACTTTGAAGACTTTTAATGTTCTATTCATTCATTGGTTATTGATGGCCAATCTATGATTAATTGATGAACTTTTATACATAAATATGGCAGAAAATATCGATTGGAAAATGGATGAAGATGATGAACAACCACAAGGTCAGTAAAAATGCAGCTTAAGTGTTCTTAGTGCGTTATTATTATTACTATAAGAATATAATGCGACATAACAATGATCAATCGTATGACAATGTCTGACTGAAAACAAATTGCCTTAGAAAAGAACAGAAAGACAACCTGCATAAATTCATGCACATTTATCACGCAACATTGTTCGGAAGAACAACACAGCATTCATACATTCTGTAAATAGAATTGACATTATATTAATATTAGATTAACCCGTTTAGCAGACAGTCCTTTCGGATGATTATAAATATATAAGAAATAAGATTAATGTGGCCATCAAAATAGAGAAATTCTGAATACTAGTTTTCGTAAGACTGATGATGCAAAACTTTTAAAGTTTTTATGTAGTTTCAATTAGTGTACATAAAAATATGACTTAACGAAAGGTGTCAAATGAAAGAGAAAAATAGGTGAGTGAATGATGTAATATCGAACATATGTTCTACTATTTTAGAAGAGTCATCATCTCGTCATTTACTTATTGCACTTGAAGATTTACTCAAACGAAGTCATAATAGTTCGACGTTAATATCAAAGATCAAATATCAAAGTAAAAGTAGAAGTGTTGACGATTTACTAATAAATCGACGATATCGCCAAGGAAAAGATCGGGATATTTCAACAAATCACGATACTAGTAATAATATTTCAAATACAACAAGAGTTGAACTTGATTTATCTGGCATTGGACATGACGATGAAAGTAACGAAAATGATTTAGAAATACAACGAAGTCGATCAGCGCCTGTTTCACCAACTAAAATCTATGATAAAGAATTAGCTGCATTTATAGAATGTGAACAACAACAATCCATTGCTGATAATTTTGTCTATAATATTGATCTATCCGATGATCAACAAACTGTACATCAACCAAATTCAAGATTAGCCATATTTTTTGTAAGTCTCGTCTATTCGTTTATTAGCTAATATGTAAACTTCGTTTATTTCAATATAGGAAGATGATTTTTCACTTGAAGAAAATAATTATGAACCATCAGTTAGCCTTATTCATTCTTCTATTAACAATAATTGTTTGACAATTACTGAAGAAAATGAAGAAGAACTTGAACAATTGCAACGAGATGATGATGAAGAGAAACAACAACGACAGCAACTTTTATTAGAAATTAGTGAAAATTCAATACCAATAATAAGATTAGAAAATGATAATGATGATCAAACTGATACATATGAGAATGATAATCAGATGAATAAACGTGAAATACACGATATGAGTAATCTATTATCAATTAATATAGATCACTGTGAAAATAGCACGGAACGTCTTTCAACTATTTATGAAACTCCAAGTCCACAACCTGAAATAGAAGAAGAAGAAAAAGAAGAAGAAGAAGAAGAAGAAGAAGAAGAAGAAGAAATCGATAACAATACAGATGATAAATTAGTTGTCTACGATATTGCAAATGTTGATACATCAACTAAAGTGAAAAGAATATTTATTTCAAAAATATCGTATCAATTTTTGTTTGTTTACTGTTTAAGTCTTCAACAATTCAACCAAAACAAAAATCGACTACTTCAACTACTTTATTCCATCTATCTTCCACTATGAATCGAAATCGTATCGGTTCATGTTATACAGATGCTTTTTTTAAACCCTGTCCTAATTTGACCAATGTTCTTTCAGCTTCTCGTTTATGTGGAACAACAACAACAACAACAAAGATCACTTCTAAAGTTAATAATCCTTCGTCCATATTATCTACCTCATTGTTAACTACAATTAACGATGAAAACTCATCTTCATTACCGGCTATTAATGCTGAAAAGAATTCTTCATTTCTTTCTCCTAAACAGCAATCATCTTCACGATCATCACCCATGTTATTTGTAACTTCAGTCGATGAACAACCAAATCCTGTCATGGATCATAATGAATTACCATCGTCACAACCATCTTCTCAACATATTCAAAAAATGAAAGTATTTCAAACATCATCATCAAGTCTATCAGATTTCATTTCACCAACATCAACACCAAAATCACAATTGCCAACTACAAGTGAGCGTATAATTTTTACACATGTTTGGTTTTATATAGCAAAAACAAACATGATTTTATCTTTTTCTGTTCGATTTTATTATCAAATCTTTTTTCCTATGAACATCTTTGTTTTCTAGCTTTGAACGAAGATGTTCTTAGTATCCATCACTCTCTGACAGACTGTTCGTTATTGGATCAAATGTCAACGCTTATCGATGAAAATAAATCAAAAATAAATCAAATCTCAGATAATCCTGGGCGAAAATCATCATGTACTCGACGTATTCTTACGAATGGTCTTTTAGTTCCGCATGCTGCTAGTAATCATATTGCTCGTCGTTTACAAGAACCTCTTACTTCAATTCATAATAATCATTATTCAATAAACGTAAAAATTGAAGAAACTCATTTGTCTGATTCGTCAATATCTTCGGTGTCACTTTCATCATCTGATGAAAACCTTTTCACTCGATCAGATTACAGTGCTCAACAAGATCGAATAAATTCTCAAAAACGTAAAGCATCTAGTCTAAAAAGTATTGATTTAATCTCACATCAAGCACCATCGAAAATTCTTTATCCTATTGATTTCGATGCGAACAATATGGATTTATCTTGCCATAAAAAGCAATCAATTCACATAAACAAAGTACCCACATCTGATTCCGGCATTATTATTGATACACACCCAACACTTAAGTCAAGTAGTGAAGATGTACGCATTATTTTTATTTTTTGTCAAACCTTTATTTAGATTGGTTAAGTGTATGGAGTTAAACTATTTGAATTTTATATTAATTGAGATGCTTTTGAAACAAAACATTTTACTAAACGCTTTTATTATGCGCTAAATTAACATTTTTATTCGTTGAATGAAGCTGTTTATTGAATACAGGATTTTTCAGTTTTTTTTTAAATGACATTTAATTTATTTCATACATTTAAATAACTACTGTTTAGGATGATCACAATAATGGTATTATTGAAACAAATCAAATCAAACAATATGAAATTAAATATAGAAGAACTTTAGATGATCTAACCACTCTTAAGAAAAATATTGTCAATACTGAAAGTCGTCTTAATGAAGCTATGCGAGAGGTAAAACAATAGAATTTACTTCTCATATTATTTCTATTATTCTCATAATATAATTTTTTCTATGATTCTGATGATTGGCTTCTATGATCACATTATCTCCTCTCCTCTCTCTCTCTCTCTCTCTCTCTCTTTCTTTCTCATCCTTGATCTTGTCAATATAGTAATGTCATGTGTGGATCTTTCGTTTAATAGAAAAATATTCTTTGACATTCCCATATCTAGATATAAAAAAAAAGAACGTTTGAAGTCCCCAACTAATAGATATCATAGACATTTTCCCTATTCTAGACGATCTGGTTGCCAATCATTTCCTTTGCTCCATAGAAGCATCGACAAATAACAAGTTGCTTTCATCAAGAAAAATAATTAGATATTCCTTATTTGATGCACGTAGAGAACATGATCAATAAGGTCATAAAGCAAAATAATTATGTAATAGTGATGCCACTACATTAGATGATGATAACTGTTATTATCTCGTCTGTTTTATATCAAATCTCTCTCTTTCTGTATATGTATATCTATGAGGTCAACACTTGTTTATGTATTTATTGTTTTAGTTGGAAATTGAACAAGCATTGATCGAAGGTGAACATGATTTAGTATTCAAACAAATTTTAGATGCAAGTGAAAGTGATCAGCAGAAAATACGACAGTTAAATGACAATTTACAATTATTAATTGAACGAATAATGGCAGAAAAAAATTCTGTGAGAAAATTTAAAAAATATAGTCACTTCGTTTGTTATCAGTTGTTCAATATTTAGATTCGTGATGAGATTGATTATACGAAACATATTCTTTTTGAATTCGAAAATGAATTACATAAACTGGAACAAAATTATCGATCGTCTGACGAGAAAATTCTTAAGTAAATTTCGTTGTTTCTAATGTAAATTTCTCAATGATATAATTTAGAACAAAAGAAATTATTGCTGTAACTCGTAAAAATTATGAAGATCTTGAATATCAATTGATGGAATTAGAAATCCGCTGTGAATCTGAACTTGAAAAAGCTGAACAACATTTTCAAAATGAACAGAAATTTGTTACACAAAATGCTCAAATTCGACAAGTAAAATATTTGACCAAAGTTTTTTCTTTTCTCTTAGTGAAAATCTTTCAGAATACTTTGCATGATCTTGATCATGAACAATATATCGCTCTGTATCAAGCAATAATGGAAAAAGAAAAACTTCAGCGAGAAAAACAAAAATTAAAATTAGCTTTTAAACAAAAAAAATTAGAAGCAAACGAATTAGAACAGAAAATCTATAGTAATAAACTTTTTTTTCTTATTTTCGCTTCCATTGGAACTATCATTTACTTAATAATATTTTAGATGCATGGTCAAATATTGATGGTACTAAACGTAATCTATATCAGTCAACTCCAACATATCTTTATCGAACATTGAATTATTCCGATGGATTTTCGTCATCAAGGTAACATTATGTTTTTTGACGTTTTTCAAGTAACTTATCTTCTTTACATAGAATGGAAAGAAAAGATGATCATCATGATAATTCACATGAAATAAAAGACAAAATGACTAAAGATAAACTAGAAAAAATGATCATTCTTGAAGAACAAGTAAAAGAAATGCATTAAATATCTTTTTCCTACATGAATTTATACTATTACAATAAAATTTAGCTACCTGAACGATATAATAAAAAAATGAATCGAATTGAAATCGAACAAAAATTAGCTACTAGAATTGAAAAATCTGATTATGAAGTGAAACTACGTGAAAAAAATCGAATACAAGTAGATAATTCATTAGTTTTTTTTTCTTTAAAACTTTTACCTATTGTCTTTTTTTGCATTTTAGGAACGCCCATTGACACGTTATTTACCAATACGTGCCATCGGTTTTGATCTGCGTGCACATATTGAAGGTGCTGGTCATTTATTGAATTCTTCTCATATCATTCTAACATCGACATCATGTCGTGGTTATCTTCATAAAATGGGTGGAATCAAATTTAAAACATGGAATCGCCGTTGGTTTGTATTTGATCGTGAACGACGTTTATTATTTTACTATCAAGATAAAACCGAAACAAAATTACGTGGTTGTTTTTATTTTCAATCAGTTCTTGAAGTTTATGTCGATCATTTACAATCAATATCATTAAGATCACCTGAACCACGTGAAGCAACATTTATTGTGAAAACTATTGAGCGACCTTATTATTTAGTTGCTCCAACTGTTGAGCTCATGCGTATATGGGTTGATGTGATTATAACTGGTGCTGAAGGAAATACTTTTGCTAGTGTTTAAGATTGAAGTCATTTCACTTTCTATGTAAAATATGTTATGAACTCTTTTATATCGTATAAGATATGATCAATAATATTTACTTGAGACTAAAGTCAAACATCTATGACAATAGATATCTATTTCTGAATAGTGCGTTATAAAGCTCTGTTTTTTTTAATTTTGTACCAGATACTTTCTAATTGGTATCGATCAAATATTAGAACTGAGATGACAAATATAATACAAATGTCATATGAATTTTACTCTCTTGTTATGTCAGTCTACTGTTCGATATTTTCCTAAATCAATACTTATGATCTTCTATGATTGGCAATCGACAAAAGGTTTTTGACTGAAAATAAGCAAAATTCTATACGGCTGGTTACATTTCATTCGGTTACATTTTGTTTGCGATATAATTCGATCTAAACAGAAAAGTACTTATTATTCTCCTGCAAAACAAAACATGAACGTGAGGTTAGAGTTATTATTTATGATTGATACAAAAAGAAGCTAACGAATTGATGATATTACTTTAGAGTTGTCTGATTCGCTTGTTTAATCGTGCTTTGACATACTTCTTTTGTCTGAAGAGTAAATAGATAGCAACTAATGCTTTCTTCTTTGGTAAAAGTTAACATATTTACTTATCTGTCTATAATTGGACAAGGACAAAGGCCAAAATATCTATGTATATATGCACAAAGAATGCAATAATTTCAATATTGATGATCCACTTTTTCGACATATTAATCAAATAATGTTGCTTAATAATAGTGAAATAAAAGATGCATAATGAGAAAACATCCAAGAATACCGAGTTAAAATAACTGATGATCGTAAACACGTCCATATATTAACCAATAGGTTTCATAGAGATCTATTCGATGAAATGTTGTAAACATTTGAAAAGCATCACTGCCAATCCTATACAATCATGATTGCAAGTGTAAATTTAGCTATCAAAAACGTCCTTATTTTTTATTAATAAGTTCTTCATTCGCTCTTTTGCTTCATACCTAAATTGCATAGTTAACATGATTTATATTTGTATTTCAGATACTTGATAAGAAAATTCATTTAATTTTCAATCCCCATTTCATCTATGCTATTTCAAAATAGCTTCTTGTCGACATTGAAAACTGAATCCCATATTCTTAGGATTCGAAAAATGTTTTTTCTTGAGCTCTATGCATTCCTCGGTGATAACTTATATTTTCCAGACAACTTTGGTTGTGTTTTCCTGCTTGTAATGATTGTCTTTCTATACCATTATTTTTCAGAATTTAATCATCGTTAGACTTGAATCTCATTAATGATTTCAAACGTTTCAAGAAAACAAACAAGTGTAGACACTAAATAGCAAAGAATCCTATGAAAGTCGACAATCTAAACTACATGTGATAAAGCCTAATTTAAGATCGAATAAAAAAACTAGAAAAATTATGATTAGTAATATTTATGTGGAAAATAATACAGAAAGACGTTGACTATGATGTTTTTAGAATGAATAATAATATGCATTTTATTGAAAGAAAAGTGAAACTTAGCTAAATAGAAATGTGACGGTGCTATGAAGTAAGTTGATGACGAATGAGGACGATACTGAAATTCAATAGATTCAACATTTTCTCCTATGATCAGATGAGTTTTATTTTATAATTGTCAAATTTTCTTTCTACCCACGCTTATTTAATTGCTTAAGACTTTCTCTTCTTGAAAAATATGTTTACTAATACAATGATCGTATGCAGTTTATTGTAATTTACTGATGTATAATCTAATTTAGTGTATTACGAGAAAATTCATGATAGAAAACGACTGTGCTGATGAACAACATCACAAGGCAGAAACACCAGCGGAAATAAATTGAATTGTGTATTGTACAACCGATTCCATGTAAGTTGTTTGAAACTGTGTGAAGCAGATATTGTTAAAATATTAGCTTTTGTTTCATGGTCTTGGCTTTAACAAGCGTAGTTTACAAAAATCGAGGTCGTGTGATATAATAGTATATCGTCAAATATCGTTAACATTGATTGAGATCCATTTGAAAAGTTTTCTAATAACTTAGTAGATAAAACCTCCAAAACCATTGTATTGATCCAGTAGTGATCATGAGGAAATAATCAAAGAAATAGCACATAAATTATAGTATTTTTCTTTGTGAACTCTCGAATGTTAGACGTCGAAAAAAAAACATGTATCGTTGGTAAAATGCCTTACTCGCTGATATTATTTCTTTTGAGACTAAAGAGATATTTTGAAAGCATTTTTTTGTATAAGACATGTACTGTGAAACATATTTCACGTAGCTTCTTTGCATCATTTATTATATTAGTTACATCAAATAAAAATGATCTCTTTTGTCTATTGAAAATTACAATTGTATAGAGAGGAAGTATAGTTATTTTACGACATTCCTTTACTGGCTTCTTTCTTGCAACAGTCATAAGTCTTTTTTTATGATTTCTATCGTGCGTATTATGCTTTTCTAACTCATTTCTCTGGTTGTCTAAATGGTTATATGCATCTATTTATATTCTTTTCTTTTCTTGGCGTTGGGCAAATGTCATCCATTCTTTGTTTTTCATCATTGATTGGATTTTCCAGGATATGACTTTCGTTTTCATCTTGATAATGTATGAGGTTTCTCACCATTCTGATTTCCATTTTCTGTTATCGTCTTATATTTTGCTGTTGTAGTTGTGCAAAGATGAATATCAATTGATAGAAATTCACAGAAATGAAAAGTTGAATTAAAATCTTAGTACAACAATGACTGAACTGTTTCATATAAAAGTTAATCTATCTTAGTGGTTTATCGACACAATTAGAATAGAAGCAGGACTAATCATTTAGCATTGTGATTATTTGATTAGTTGCTCTTATGAAATCACTGTTTGATATAGTCAGTTAATAGCAAGGTTTAGATACACGTATGTAGACAATTTTTTATTAAGGAAAATATTTAAATCAGCAGGGTTAATCAATAGTGCCCAAAAATGACTTTATAGTATCAATAGAAATTTTACATAAGTATATGCTTGAGTTTTTTTCTCTCTTAAATTAACTAGATATTGTATCAAATTTTGCCTTTCAACAATTTTTTCGAATATTTTAAACTAAAATTTTCTATAGTATCTCAATTACATATGTGGATGAAAAAATTTGATCTAATAAAAAAATCGCGTATTTAGCGTGCATCATCAAATAATTTGTTCGTTTACTATAGAGAAAAAAACGCACTACAAAACCTTCATTCTATTTTAGCTCTTATGTAATGAAAAAACAATGAAATGACAAATACTGTTTCTTTTTTTATTTGTGCGCATCTAGTTGCTTTTTGTTAAGAGTTTTGTAGAACACATTAAATTAACAATTGAGAATTTCCAGATTTACCATATGTGAATATGTTTCCTCATAATGGAGAAAAGAAAAACGCTGTCAACATCTGTTAATTAATCATGAGATCTGTTTTTCTGTCATATTGTGAACATAGTTTATGCATTTATTAGATTAGATAATCGATAATATTAACAAGTTTTTCTAACAACTATTTTATGATTGTATTCTTCAAAATGATGATACGCATAAATAGTACAATACATGTTCTAGTGTATTCGAATAGCGGAAGTAGCCTTTCTTCGTATTATTTATAAAGATGATAAAGTATCGAGTAGAATTTTACAATACACGACCAACAGAATTACAGCAGCAGATTGCCAGAAATTTTTATTTAAAAACTTTAATCTAACCTCGTATCATGATTTGCATTTGTAATCGGTATGACAGAGAGTTTCATTCAAACTTACTTGCAGATAGATTTCACATTTTGATAAAGAAAGAAACACCTAGTTCAAGTCAAGATGTTACGAAAGATACTTAACTTAATGAAAATTATTTTCTTTTTTTGTAGGAATGAAAAAGAAAAATACCTCAATAGACTCGTTGAATTATCTCTATAGCTGATAAACATGTTCACACATCACTTTGTTCTTTGAATATTATGAATTTTTTCCTATGATTTATGTTCACCAAATTTAAATAGTTTTTTTCTCTTTTTGTGATGTAATGTCATAATAAAAAATATGATGCTACTTAGATTACTGTTTCTTAATCGCGCACAACAGCTTTATCTTTGATTCTACTGCGACTTAATCTCTTAAATAAAAGCAATGAATTGGTCGACGACAAATGTGTTTTTATAAGATGAAGTGTTTGTCTTCATGTATATAAGAGAATCGCAATTAAGGAGAAGATATTGAAAGTTTTTTTGTTTAAATTTGTTCAGGTATACAATAGAAAGTTCTCTACTCAGATAGCTAAGTAACTACTAGGTTATTTATGTACTTGAAAAAAAAACCAGACTACAGCCATTATATTGCATTTTACCTAATCGAAAAAATATCTAATAAAAGCTTGTCCCTAGAATTAATAGACACTAATTTGAAAAATGTTGACATGCTTAAGACGGCCAAACGATTAATGAGACAATCTGTTCTTATTCTTCAATTAAATATGTAACTGTGACATGCAACGATTATTATTCTCTGCTACTTCATTAACGAATGGCAACCTTCATTTCTGTTTTTTCTTTCTTCATTGAAGATGGGTCTAAAGTCAACAAAATCGTCATTAATAAACGCTAAATATTCATTAACACTTTTGTCAGCAGATCGTTTTTATCGTGGTCTTTCAATAATTCAAGGTGAATTTCAAATAAATATTCGTAGAAAACTACGTGTTGAAAAAACAATTCGCATTGATTTAATCGGCCAATTGATTGAAAACAACAAATCTTCATCTCAATCAACAAGTAAATCATCACAATCGAAAGATCACACAGTTTTTTTTACTTATTCGTTTCCAATTGTTACATCACATGAAAATGGTATTGCAAGAATAATAAAAAATCGTCACACGAATATTCCATTTCGTATTCCGCTTAGTATCAATTTACCACCATCATGTGAATTTAAAGAATTCTCTGTTGTTTATTATCTTTACGTTTATCACGATGAAAGATTATTGACAAATATTCGAAAAAAAATCATATTAGCTCCACCGACACCTCTTATTACTGAGCCTTTATCTCGTAAAGTAACAGGTAATAGTGTCTTTACTTTCATATTCGGGCTTATTCTCTATGAACAATATTGTATCGTCAATTATAATGTAATTGAATTCAAGTAAAAAAATGCTAGTGCAATTCCTTCGAGACTTCTATGTGAAATACAATATTACTGTTAATATCACAGAATAAGGAATTCGTCTTAGTATTGATTGTTCGATCAATTATTTCCTAATGGAAATGAATGTTGGCGATAAAAATTCATAATAACTCTACTTCAGACATGAATCTAATCCGTATGCATCCCGTAATTAATTTAGAAAGAAATAATGTCAATATTCAAATACTTTTCACGGTCTTTGGTAGAGAGAAAAGGATCCTTCTAAGATATTTTTGATGGCCACCATGGCTGAAGAATAAGACAAGTTTCTCTAGCAATACCTCAGGAGCCTTTTTATATGGTATTGTTTAAGAAACAGCGGTCTTGTTCACATATAGATAATGGTTTCATGTTCTGATTACCATTCAGCTACAATTTTTGTGTTTTAAGATGCATCCGAAAACTATTGATTTCTTGTATTTCTGGAGTAAATATAAAAGATCCGATCGAATGCCAAGATAACTTCAGAATATTGAAAAATTCGTTTCCAATAACGAAGATATCTTTTATGATTGTCGATTGAGTGTTTATTAAATTTGACTCTTATAATTAACTTCTAATCAATATAAATCATTTAATTGTTTTACATTTTATATTTTATTTCCTTTCATCATGAAATGTGTAAAATACATTTTCTCATATTTACCATTGAAATTGAAATTACAAGTTTTATTTTTTTTAACTAGGTTCTGACGATATGAATATGGTTTGCAGTTTACAAAGATCGTTTTATTCTGGACGAGATAGCTCCACTGTTCTACTATCGATTTCTATAAAAAATCCAAAACAAAAACAAATTCAATCAGTAGTAGCACAATTAATGCAAGTTGTTTCATTAAATGAAATAAAATTTGAAAATGAAATTTTTACAAATCAACTGAAAGAAATAAATGAAAATACACAAGAAAGTCTCATAAATACAACATGTGAATTAAATTTACCATCCAATTTACCACCAACATATATTCCAAATGGAAATGGTCAACCCGATAATGTTCCATGCATTTCTATTACATATGCACTACGTTTAACAACTCAAATACAAAGTACAACTAAGTCTAATCTTCATTTAACTGTGCCTATTGGTATTGAATAAATCAATTTTTTTTCTCTTCAATTTATAAATATATGTTCGTTCGTTCCAAAAGTAGAATATACGAAGAAAAACATGATGTTGATTATTTTCGTTGTATTGTAGTTTTAACGGTAGATATTGTTGGATGAATAGAAACCGAAGGATATGTTCGTTTATTGGTTTTTAATGAAGAAACAATAATATGAGACGATGCATTCGCATTTAATTGATGTACTATTGATTTGACATGATTTTTACGCGTTGATAATGTCGACGGATCTAACGAATAAAATTGATATTTATACATACATATATATTTAAAATCTCATTAAAATTTTAATTGTCTTATAAATTATTTCTAAGCGAATCTATGAAAATCTAAGTAATTACTTGTTTGATGCTGAAACTCATTTAGATAACTGCTTTTGTTCAACGGTTGTTTTTTTGTATTGGACGATGACTGAAATACAATATTATGCTGTTGTTTTTTTATATTCAACAGTGACTGTTTAAATATACCTGTGATTGAGCTTTGCTATTGGTCATTTTTATTGTGTTTCGTATTGGTATAATTGCATTATTGGTAATTGTTCCAGACGATAGGTTTAATTTATTCGATGAAACAGTTTTTGGAGTTTGTAATAAATGAGCGTCATTCGTTTTCGTTGCTAGTGAACGCTTTGATATTTGTGATATTGATTTATTTTTGTTTTTCAACGATGTAGTAGTACTACTGCTACTACTATTGATAAGAGTAGTTGCGCTTTCAATTAAATTTTCTGGTAATTTCTCATTTGCACGAAGACTAAAATGAGAAACAATAAACAAAAACACACGTAGAAGAATTATTTACTTGTCAGTTCGTTCTGAATTTGTCAGTGAATCGTAGTCTGATATAAGTTTCGATTTCGATTCATGACTTTTTAATTCACGTTCAGAAAAGTTATCGTTTGTTTGCATTTGTTGATGCTGTTTTTCTTGTGCTAAATTAAATTGTTCTTCACTTGTTTTTTCTTGAATGATAACAACTTGTTGGCAATCTGATGATGAACCATTTTCACTGTTATCTGTACTTTTATAAAATGTTTCTATTGTATATGTTATTTCTTCTTCATATAGAGAATTTTCTGATGGATGCTTTTTATTTATTAAAACTAATTCAGGTGATGATGTTATTATAGATTGAACAGAAGTTTCTTTTAAATCACGATCAATTAAAGTTGAAGATTCCATTTTAATTGATTCTAAAGAATTATTAAGATCATTCAATTTTCTAATAATTTTTTCAATAGAATCTAATTTTTCATGGTTTTCATCAGTAGATGACATAGATTCGAATTGCAATGATGGAGAAAATGAATCTAATTGAACAGGTTTGATTAATTTTGGTTTGGAAAAAATAATAGACGGTAAAATTTTATTTGGTTTTATCTTTTTTGTTGAAGTTGAATGAAAAGAAAACTGTTCAGTCATTGATAATGCTGATAATGCAGGCAAACAAAATGTAACATTTGCTGTTTTTTTTCTTTCATTGTTTGATAAAGTTTTAGTAGCACGTGCCACTAAATTAGTATATTTGGAAATTGATTTTGTTGGATTTGAATCGATCTGTTCTAAATATTTTTTTGCTTGTTGAAGAGCAATTATTGTTGATTTATATTCTGCATTGAGACGACGGACACATTGATTCCAGGTTAACATTGATGACGATGATGATGGTAGTCGACGTATTACAGAACATGAAGATTCATAAGAGTCGTCATTTGACAAGGATTTTATTTTACACAAAACATTTGGTCGATTATTAAACAACAAAATAGACATCGGATCATTTAATGAAGTTACCGTTTTAGGAGCCGTGTAGTTAAATGGTGAATATATACGAGTTGCATATGTCAAATCAGGAATCGGTAGTATTGATCCAGATGAAGATGAACTTGACTCTAAATTCAAAAGAAAAACAAATAATTATTTTAATTAATTGCTTTTCTCGAGACAATAAAATAAATTTCTTGTTTGGTTATTTGTTATTTGAAATATCAGCTAAGGATTTCTTATTGTTACCTTGTTTGGGAGTAGATATGCAATGTTTATGATTGCGTTTATGCACTATGTCATTATAGTATTGTTTAGGTAATAATAATGTTGGTTTTAAATATTGTTTATATTTATTTTGAAAATAATTTGATGACAATTGATAGTTATTTCGATTATTATAATAAGATTGATGACCAAGCATTACTTGAGGATTATTTATTTTATCAACTCTTATCATATTTGGTGTTGAAATATGAATTGTAGCCATTATTGATTTTAATGATATATTATTAGTTTTTGTATTTTCATTAATAAAATTAGAATCAAAAGAAGAAGAAGAAAGAGTATTAACAGTATTATGTTGTTGATTTGCTGATAACATTTGTTCATTATTATTGATAATATGATTATGTTTAAGTTCTGTCGAGCGAAAAAATGCTCGTGCCTTTTCCATTGTACTATTTGATAGTACTGAATGAGGTAATTTTTTGATAAATTCTATTTAGAAAAATATAATAAATACTTCAAAAAATAGTCTATTAATCTGACAGACCTAATTTCGATTTAATTCGACTTTCAGATTTTGCAGTTTTTTTACTATTCGTGTTCTTCATAGTTGATTTTCTCGCTTCAAAATATTGTTGTTCAAGCCCGTCTCGGTCATCCATGTCAATGAACCAATCTTATTTTATTCATTGAGCATTAAAACAAATATCTGATCATATATTCATATATAAATCGTTTTACTTTCATTTAATGAGTGATAAATGGTTGAATGAATACGAATCGTTTAATAATATACCGTGTATGAGATAGTAAGAAAAAACGAACCAAACATAAATAGACGTGCAAGTGAGTTGATCAGCAATAAATATACTCGTGCGTTCGTCTTCTTAATGTGTCTTTGCAAATGAGAATATGAACGAATGAATGACTCAATGAAAGAGACGAGCATTGTTGACAGAAGCTGTTTTTTCTCATCAATGTCAATAGGTGAGAATTGTGCGTTCAATTATCGCACTTTTTGATAAGTGAATTACACGAACTCTTATATAATCATATTAATATCTTGATTAAAACTATGTTCAATATTTCATGATAAATTCTAATTATTACGATTTACATTTATATACACGCGAAAAAAATAGTAATCAACCGAGGAGTAGTATTGAAAGTATTTATGAATAGGATCGATATCCAATGTATGTGCGACTCATTTTCTTATTTGTTTGATTTTGTGTGATATGAAGAAGAAAGAACAGGACGAGACACTCACAATTCCTAACTGATGTTGATCACTGTTGTCGTGAATATGTCTGTGAAATGATGTCTAGTAGACATCGTCACGTATTGATGTCTACTATTTCAACCACGGTGTCGTCATTTGATCAGTACTAATTTATTGTATTGTCGCAAAAATACCAATGAGAAGAAGTGATCTAGTAAATCAAATGATTGATCGAGTTCTTTAGAGGTCGGTCATCAATATTTGAACGGAGGAGCAGAATGCACTTTTTGGCAACTGTTAGGCTAAAAAGCAGGAGTTTCCGAAGACAAAAACAGAAACAATTTCAAGCTTTGCTAGAATATTTCCTTCTGGCTATCTCTCTTCCTCATTCGAACAATCTAAAGTCATCAGATCTTTGTATTTTTGGTTGAATAAAAATTAGAACTATTCATTTTTTTTTGTAACATAAAATTATCACAATCGTTGATGAATACTGTTTACGAAGACTTTTCAAAAAAATCTATAGTAGGCTGAGATTATTTCTGTTTCATAAGTATGCTTACTATTATCATTCATTTCTTTTCGCGTCTTCCTCTTTATATCCGAGGTAAAATAACATGTTGACGAACCAAAAAGTGAAGAAGTGATCGTATTAAAATCGAATTTGAACGAAGCAGAAAAACAATCGACAGCTAAACAATATATAATGTAGTGATAGATTTTTTTTCTACAATATATTATTGGGAAAAGATTTCGCATGATTTCGTTTTTCTTCGTCCTTCTGAATTTTGTTGAGTATCGGACAATTTACAAATTGTTAAAATGCATGTTCACGTTCGTCTATTGTTAATAGTCCGTATGAATATTATCTCTAATTGGAACTGTTTTTACATTTAAAACGAAACAAAAATTTTATGACCAGGAAAGAGATTATATCAAAAGCTACATCCAACGATGAGAAAACTTTGAATTCTTCAAATACGATTCTTTTGAAAATAATACAGTACTCGAAAAAATATTATGTTTTACTTATGTATTACTTTTAGTATATGTGTCATAGGACGTCTCCATAAGACATACATGTATATGTGAGTAAAATCGAGACACAGCTTACAAGTAAATACTACTATCGTGTTGATTATTTCTATTGAAAGATTTCCAGCTTGATTGAGATCGTCTAATAAATCCTTCACATAAAATTTTTGCTTCTTAAATGAGTAAAACATTTTTTATCTAATACGTCATACATAGATGTTTCATCGATATCTTGCCATTGCTAATAAAGTCAAAAGGATTTGAGTTACGTATAACTGGTTTTATTTTTTTCTTTGAGTTTTGTTAATCTGAATATTTTAGCAATTTTAAATTAGAATTTATCTGTTTGACCTTTTTCGAAGTACTGCAAAACGTTTACGTTCTAATGAAATCTATATTACGAATAGTATAGAAATTTCAAAATGAAATTAGTTTGACTTTTATTAGAATAATAAATAATCATTTCTAAAATAATTCACCGTAAATTCTCACTCGGGCAATGCCTATGAGTTAACCTACAATCTTCCTTTATATTTAATCATCAACTTCTTCATGTAAGTCGCTTGAAAAATGCAGAAGTATTGAAAGCACACATAGGTAGAATATGTATGTGAAAAGACTCTACAACTTGTTCCTTCTTGTTTGTATCGTTTATGGTATGATATTAACAAAACTTCGGAGGCTGCCTGCAAAATTCTTATTGAGTGAGAGTTCCAAAATGATATTTGTGATTTCAGATCATGTTTGATCTACAACGATGTGACGAACAACATTCTCAAAGATTTCTTCTCGTGTAGTTTGGACGCTTAATTATAACTAATTTGCTGAATTTTCATTCTAGAATTCGTTCTATCGATAAGTACAGGAACTTTTGAAAGATAGAGAAATGTTCAGTGGCAAAAGCATGTTTCTGACATTCTTGGGACTATGATGCAAGTTGTCGAACATTGAAGATATTGAACGAATCAGTAGACATAACTTCGCCCGAAAGTTTCAAGCGAAATTACCAGACTTGTTTTTGTATAATTTAGCTTAAACTGATTCGAAAATCTAGGAAAACAGTCATAAATCGGTGCTAAGGTTCTTGAAGATAGAAAAAAAATCTGGCTTCTTTTAGGTTGATTCAGATCTCTGTCCAAGGTCGAAAGGAGTTCAGATATGAAGTTTCAGTTGAGTAGTGTTCTCGGCAGTGGGAGTAATCACCAGTATCATGAATGTAAATATGAAACAATATATCATCGATCGTTATAAAATAATACTTGTGTCTACTCACCATGTCTATTCTTGAATTTGATAATACTAAATTATCAAAAGTAAGATTGATCTTTCAATATCTTGCTAAACAATTCGACTTATTTGATCAAGATAATGTAATTAGAAGCAGCTAGAATTGAAATTTTGTTCAAATAACTAACTAATGATCTCATAATATTCAATGGATACCCGTTAGTGTAGACTAAGTTGGATTTTGAAAGCTATTTAACCAAGAGAAATTTACTTTTTGATACTATCGAATTGTCTTGGTGCATTGCATATCGTTTGGTAAAATAATTATCTTTATTCAAACGAATCATTTAAAATTTAAAAAAAAACTGAGAGTTACAACAAATCAAAAGAATCTACTAAGGTTTGTGTAATAAATAAAATTTTCATGGGCGTCTCTAGTATTAATTATATTTTTTCGAAATATATTACAATGTTAATCAAAACTGAAGTTCCAAATATAATCATAATATAAACAGAAAGAACTCGTTCCGTCTCTGGCTAATTTTTAAAATACTGCAGTGCTTGAAGGATTGAAAGGTTCATTTTATTTTGCTTATCAACTGTGAACTAAGTGAACAAGTTAAAATGATAATCTATTCTACAATTTAAAAGAAGTTTATGCTAATTAAACTCCAATACAATAGATTACACTATCTTCTTTTATTTGATCCATTTTTTTGAATGGCAAACTTGTTCAAGTATCAAGTATATCGTCTCAAATTATCTTCACCAGGTTATAAAAAAAAAGAAGAAAAATCTCGTTTGGATAAGTGTATAGACGTTTTATTTTTCCTTGTCATAAATGTGCATTGTCATCAGTATTTTCTTTCTCGTTCCTTCCAGGCGTTGCTTCATGATGACGAGGCAAAAACTCGACGGCATTCACATGTACCACTATTTCTCTTCTTTCATATAAATACTCTGCATCATAGCATAGTTGTTCACTTTCTTCTTGCTTTCATCGTCAACACAATTTAATAGCCATCAACCATGTCGACATACAAACTCTATTATTTTAATGGTCGTGGTCGCGCTGAAATATCTCGTTTAATATTTGCAGCTGCTGGTCAAAAATATGAAGATGTTCGTTTTGAACGAGAGCAATGGCCAGGACATAAAAGTGAAATGCCGTTGGGCCAAGTGCCTGTTCTTGAAGTTGATGGAACAAAATTACCACAATCAACATCAATGGCACGTTTTCTAGCTAAACAATTTCAACTAGCTGGTAAAGATAATTTTGAACAAGCTAAAGTCGATGCTGTCGTTGATACAATTAATGATGCAATAACAAAGTTTTTACCAAGTCGTATGGAACAAGATGAAGCGAAAAAACAAGAACTTATGAATAAGTTTTTCGCTGATGAGTTACCTGCACATCTGCAACAACTTGAAGTTTTAGGAAAATTATATGGTAATGGTGGTGCATTCTTTGTTGGTAATCAGTTAACATGGGCCGATTTATATTTATTTGAAATGACAAACAATCTACTTCAAGCAAATGGAAATTGTCTCGATAAACATGCATGGTTAAAACAAAATCGTGCCGAAGTCGAAAAACAACCAAAGATTGCAGAATATATCAAAAATAGACCACAAACACCGTTTTAAATAACAAAGAACTGAAAAATAAACCTTCGTAGATTACTTCTTTTTCTCTTATTGTTCTTTGCATTTTACTTTAACATATTTCTAAAATAAAGTTCAAATTCACTGTGTTGATTACTGTAGAACATCTTCTATCGGCTTTGATTTGAATGGTGCGGTTAATTATTTAGAGAAAAAAGAACAATGAAAGTTTTTGCTTGATTCTGTACATGAATATGAGGCTTTCTCTCATGAAAAAGTTTACAATAGAATACAGACTAATTCATACAAGACAATCTCTCATCATCTAAAAAAAAGTATTCTTACTAAACGTTATGATCTTCTTTAATAAACATCTATTAAACTTTTATTCAATACAAAGGCGATTATCATTTTATTAAAGTTGTTTAAATTAAAATGCGTAATTAATTACAATTTAATCAATACAATCTCTACTGTATTGTGAAAGCAATTGGAATTAATCATATTTTTTACATCCAATGTAAAATTTTTCTTAATTGTATGGTTAACAATATTATCCTTTTGTTGATTGTTGCTGTTGAACGACTGAATTTGAAATGAAATGTGAATTGATTGAAATAAATATGTTTAACAAAAGTTAGCAATCATTTAGAAATTTTCTTGATACGTTTTTTTCTGTTAAATGTTAATCAGAAGGAAATGTTTTAATAGAATGTACAATAAAAGTTAGACTGATGATATTTGAATTCAAGCATGTTCGTTTTGATATTATTATTCTTTTATGAAGATGCCAATCAATCTACACACTAAAACGATCATGACAAGAAAACATGACTAACCTTTAAACTAGAATTTTTCTATAAATAGATTTTATTGTTACGATGATATCGTATAACTTAGAGTGAAAATATTTGTTTTCTTGCGAAGTTGTTCCACGTCAACTAAAGATCACGCAAAATAAAGTAGTTATTTCAATTTTAATTTTATATCTGTAAATGTCACATTGAGGTTATGTCTTCCAATTCCTGTAACACCTATATTGTTATCCTATAAAAATTCAGAGAAGACTTCAAGTTTAATATATAAAATATATTTTGAAGAAGTCTTTAAAATATCTTGTTTCTTGTCATGAAGACTTAATATTTTTTATTAACAAAATAGGACGCCAAATAATAGCAATATTTAAATGGTTGTCTAATCATGAGTCTGTAGTGCTAATCTTTTTTTTAAACAAAATGCTTCATTCTAGACATTAAATGGTTATATTAATAATTTTATGAATTAATACTAATTTTAATCTCATTTCATTGCCATCAATTGATTGCCATCGATAGAATGTACAAATCGTAAAAATATCCAACCTGACGACAGATTAACATAAATAACTGAATTATGCTTTTCTTCTTTTTCTTTTCATCAAAGAATGACGTGGGCCCAGATATTATGGTTTCGCTGAGATAGTTAGCGCTATTCACCAATCCTCTCTTTTCTTTTTCTTTTTCTTTTTCTTTTTCTTTTTTTTTTTTTGATGATATCTACACCAAATGAAATCAAATAGCACGCGTGCATCGATTCTTCTAGGCTCGTATAAATACCGCTTGCTAAGTAAAACATTTTCTCGTTCTCGTGCGCACATCACTCTCATTACAACTACGATAATGTCGACGTACAAACTATACTATTTTAATGGTCGTGGTCGCGCTGAAATATCTCGTTTAATATTTGCAGTTGCTGGTCAAAAATATGAAGATATTCGTTATGAAGGTGAACAATGGCCAGAACATAAAAGTGAAATGCCGTTGGGTCAAATGCCTGTTCTTGAATTTGATGGAACGAAATTACCACAATCAGTATCGATTGCACGTTTTCTTGCTAAACAATTTCAACTAGCTGGTAAAGATAATTTTGAACAAGCTAAAGTCGATGCTGTCGTTGATACAATTGGTGATTTATTAACGAAATTTGTAGCAGCACGTTGGGCACCCAATGAATCAGAAAGAGATGAACTTATTAAAAAATTCGTAGCTGATGAAGTAGCAAAACATTTTAAAAATCTAGATATCCTAGGAAAATTATATGGTAATGGTGGCGCATTCTTTGTTGGGAATCATTTAACATGGGCTGATTTATTATTTTATGATTTTGGAGAGACTCTTCTTGGTTTGGATGGGGATTGTTTAAACAATTTTCCATGGTTAAAACAAAATCGTGCCGAAGTCGCAAAACAACCAAAAGTTGCAGAGCATATCAAAAATCGATCTGAAACACCATTTTAAACAATAAAGAACTTAAAAGCAATGCAACTTGATGAACATTCTTTCATTACAACCTTTTTGCTCTTTTGAGAGTATTTTTTTAAAAATATTATTAAAATAAAGATCCATTAAATTTCTTTCTTTCTTTCTTTCTTTCTCTCTCTCAAAAAACTTCGTGCGAATCTTGTCTAACATCGGAATATCTTCATATTGAGATATTTATCACATTTACCAATTTTTCTTATACTTCCAACATAGTACATTATTATATGATTGCAAATCACTCGGTTTAAAAACAAACGTATTTTTAGATATTTATATATCTCTGTTTTATTGATTTTAAGATTTCGAAAAGAAAAATAAATTGATGACGTAGCAGAAAGATATTACATATCAATAGCTAATCTTGTTTTAATCCTTTTCATGAAGCAACACTCTATACCCACAGGGAAAGAAAACAGATGAAAGGAGAAACAAAAGATCAAAACCTATGAAATGTAGAACAATTTTAACAAGTTTTATATTTACACTAGCGTCAAAATACATGAACAGCAAAGGGAGCCCAATTTTCTCAAAAGAAAAACTAGAAATATCCTCTAAATCAATACCAATATCTTAGATAAAGACATGAACTATCTCCAGAGTTATGGCTATAGATATTTGTACACTATATAAATATGCTCGACAAGCAGATTAGTCTCAATCTATAAGGTTTTCTGAGCACGTCATAAGTTTGATCAGATGAATTTTTGAATTCTTTCAAATCTATTGGTAGTATGAATGTGTGACATCAAACGTTGATGTCAACAAGTTCAAACTCTACATCTTCTTTAAACATTATCGAGAATGATAATATAAATTGATATTATAAACTACAGAGAAAATAATTTCTTCAATAATGAAACCATTCACTAAAACCTTTCGAAATCTGATGACGACTAGAATTCAAAATTTAGATCAATACAATCACAATATCTATTTAAGAAATCTTGAGCATCTATATAAATCTACACGATCGGGATTTCATCGACTTGCGTTCTCACTGAATCTATTCACGGATTTCTATTTTTAATTGATTGATAACAAGTTGCTTTCAAAAGATTCGTTTTCGGTTCCTTGTCTAGATTCTAGAAACAATTATATCAGACATTATTCATCATAAAAATGAGCAATACTAAAGATTTTGAAATTTGAAAAACAATCGATATGATCGTAATTGTAATACACTAAATTAGGTAAAACGAAATTGTTAATTGCAAGTTTTCAAGTTTTTTATTTTTTGTTATTGAATTCATAGAAGATTAAGAGAAGGAAGCAATAACTGAATTCGAAACAAGATAACTAGACTTTCAATTAGATATAGTAAGATCTAGCACATTGGCCATCATAAATTCATATTACTTTCTATCAGAGGTAGCAGAATATACGAACGCCTATCCTATTCAAAAGAAATTCAAATAAACTATTTATCATAATATATAAAGTAAAGACTAATACATCTTTGAATAAAATACATAAAGATGAGATTCATACAACTGTGAATCAACAATTGTTGAATTATATTATAATTGAAAAGTAGGTTTATTCATCTGATATAGTTAACTTAATTTGTTCTTTATTTAATCTTAATATGAAGTCTAAGAAAAAATACTCTTCATGTGTGAAAGTTTGAATACACTATCACCAAGAAAAAATTGCAACAAATTGTATTCGCTCGTTTTTGTTAAACATTTAAAAATAGAAGTATCTGATGAAAAAGAATTTACCAAATAAAATTTATTTACTTTTCCATTACAAAATCGTTTTGTCTGCATTTCATATCTGGTCTATGCAATCTTCCGGTAATTAGTATTCAAAAATAGACAGGATACATTATGAAAATTTCAATTCACCGTTCAGAGATCTTATTCAATATACTTGATTATTTATGTAAAGGTATTCAGATGTTTTTCTGTCTATGATGTATTTCATCGCCATACATTCTATGTCTCAAATTTAGACTAATATCTGAGATTATTACCGAAAAAATAGTGAATGCACTCGAAATCGAGATTTTAATTTGAATAGAAAAAGGTTGAATCATAAATGATTTCTATCTATCTAGTAATGTTAGTATACCTCGAATATTCTCGAATATTCTTGCACTTCTTAGTAGATGCAACATGATTCATTCTGTTTCTCTTAAATGATGTTGTCCGTGTCGTTGTTTTTCTTTTCCATTGAACTTGACTTCTTATAGAAATAGAATATATACATATCTCTTTCTTCATATAATTATAAGTGACTTAATTTCAACGATAAAATAATCAATAATTTCTGCCATATTTATTTAATAGAAAAAAAACGATTGTATAATCTATTGTAGAGCTGATATATTCCTGTTGTTTATTTTACATGGGAGAGAATACAGACACAAAGAGAGACAGAAAAAACGAAGGGCGCATATTAATATACAACTATCCATGTACAGTTGCAAACGAGACCAAGTGTAGTTCTGCGCTTTTTATCAACAAGCGTGCATACATTGTCGTTCTTTATCGATAAACAATTTTTTATACGTATTGAATATTCATGACGAGTCTAATGCAAGTATTGTGCCTAATATTTATCTTAGGCATGGCTCATAGTTGGAATTTCCCATCGTTCTTTGAACAAGAGTTATCGTCTAATAGTTTTCGTGGTTCGGCGACAAATAATAATTCAAGTTTATTACCCACATTCGACGATATGAATAAAATGATGGCAGCGATGCATCATCGTTTTCAGCGTTTATTTGGTTCACCATCATTTTCTATGAATCATATAGATGATTGGATGACAAATAGAAAGAAACTAGATGCTGTTGAACCTGTTTGCACTAAAACAACAGATTCGCCACCACCACCAACGGCAACCACATCAATGCAGAAAAATCGACGAAAGAAATTTCGTGGTGCACAAACAACAACATGTATTAAAGAATTGATCATTGACGGGAAAAAACAAATATATAAGGAAACAAATGTAACTGATGATAATGGTACTGTAATTGCACAAAGCAAGATCTATCAAACTATTTCTATGAATACAATGAACAGTACAATACCGATAGATATTAAGGAAGAAAACGATGTTATTGCATATTAAAAACATTTATAATATAAAATATTGTTTAGTTTATTAGAGTAAAATGCATGTCAATTTTTTTCGAAAGAAAATATTTTCTTTTTACGTCATTTATTCATGCTAATAAACATAAGGCAATATGAATGAGTACAATTCTTTCTATTACATATCGATATCTTAGCAATTTTTTCACAGTAGATATATTAATATTGTATTGTTGTTGATCGATTATACATTAATGGATTTGTTCTCTTTTTGTGTGGCAATGCATAATGCAATATTAGTGCAGTTTAAAGAATTGTTTACCAATTTTCTGGTGAGTTTGTATATAATTCAATGGTGAGGTGACGAAATTGATCACTAGAATGCTTTGTTTTAGAAAAAGAATGGTTATGAAAAATTCTTGATTATCCAATTTTTCTTTTTTAATTTTGTTAGTCTCATAATAAGCAGATCCTTGAATAGACTGTCTTGATATGGTTCTTTCTTTTTCCTCTGTAAACTTCTAGATTCTTCTATATGGAAAACATTCTATTTAGAGCATATGTTTGCTTTCGCTTATTATCTAATCTAATCAATATGTGACAGATAGCAACTCTTTTATATCTTGGTTTAATGTAAAATTTCAACGATTTTGTCTTTTAACTCGATTTTAATGATTTTAAAAAAATGATAAATTCATCAAAATAACCAAATCTTAGACGCACCGAATAATTTTGAAATCATAGTAATTGAGATTTTTTTTGTCTTTACGAAAAATCGTAGAGCATTTAATATACTGTTTTATATTTGATGTTCAAAATCGCTCTCTGAAAGTTTTCGATGTACAAGATAATATTCTAATATATATATAATATAGCTCATACAATATTTTTTTTGTACCTTTACATAGTATAGGTTTCGTTTGGTATTTGTTATTTCACCTAGAATTTTTTTATGACTTGAAATACTACCACTGATAGAGATAAGTTATGAATACAGAATGTTTCGTAATTTGAGAAGCTAGTGATTAGCCAAAATTGTATTAATAAAAGGATCAGTAAAACGCACAGGGACAACCAGACATAGATATACTATGAAGCCTTTAGATTAAGTGAGTTTTAAAAGAATTATTTGAAGTATCACACATATTAATTCGATTATACTTATTCATCATCGATTATTTATCTGACTTTTTCCTTATTTGATATAGCCACGTTGACTACAAAGTAATCAATTCTCGGATCGTGTCGGACATTTTCTACAACGTTTTCGAACCAGTGAGGGCAAGCCGAACAATCAAATTAATTACTTTTTATTTAAGATCGGCGATCTAGGAGAGGCACACTATAATGGCAAATATACTACTAAAATATATCATCAGAATACTTTCAGGTTAATAGAGTTCAATAGAATATGTTAGATCCATATCACATATTTCACACCTTCCTCTCAAGTCTTAATCTTAAAAAAAAATTTAAAACATTGAATTTGTACAGGACGTGACAAAGTAAGCTGTCACTATACTACTCTATATTGACGAATGAGGCAAAGGCAAAGCTATCGGTAGCTGAACATTTATTAATACCGTCATATGAGTCGAGATCCACAGCACTACTATTTCGAACTTGTTCGTTTTCTCTTAATACTTTCTTTAATAGAATACTTAAATGTTTTACTTCAACGATTCTTCAAATTACTTAAACACAAGAAAAAAAAGATATTATTGAGTAAAATTAATCTTTCCAAATTGTTAATCTTCATAATTCAAATTCATTTAATGTAAATATGAACGTGATGTATTTAATACAAATTATAATATTCGATATTATTGAAATACTTTCAAATTAATATATTTATAAATATTTGTCATCTTATTCATACGTGTGCACAAAAAGCTGAGAAAAAACACAAATTAAAAAAAAAAACACAGTTAATAAGATCACATAAAATACTGATAGATTGGAAAAGTAGGAAAACAACGCTGGAAATAACAAGTCTTTAATTAATCTTACATTTCATCGTGTAATGCTTTTTCTGTATCTAAAATACGCATATCAGTGAAAACATCAGAATGCTTTTGTATTTCGTTCAATGTTAAAACATTATCTGATGGGGAATCGTCAACCTTTTCAAACAACTTTTTAATTTGATTATTTATATGAACACGATTCATCGGATCATAAGCTTTCTAAAAGAAATAAACAGAAAAGAGCGACACATGTCGAAGAATATTTAAAAGAAAAAAATGCTTACTAATAATTCATCTTTAGTCAAAACTCCATCTTTATTGTCATCCATCTCATGAAATTCTCTTTTTTGCTCTTCTAACCATCGCTTATCCATTTCCACCCATTCTGTATTGCCACCATCTTCTAATACACTTGCTAAAGATAAAAATATGTTTAAATTATATGAGGAGTTAAGAATTCGTTTTACTGACAAGGTAAAAATGCAAATTCAGTTTCATTTAATTTTTGATCATCATTACGATCTAAAAATAATAAAATGTAAAAGAAAAATATTTCCAAAGAAAAACGACAAACCCATCTGTAAAATAAGATCATCTACTATATGTTTATATGAATGGCCAGCTATTTCTGGATGACGAAAAGCAAGAAATTCATCTATATCAAGTTCATTATCACCGCCAACATCAGCTTCTGTCCAACGATATCGAATTTTCACCAGTTCACGTTGAACTAATCAAATGAAGAAAAGAAAAATTAATCGATCAGATTTATTATTGTTGAGCTTCGAAATTTTTCATGTTTACAATTATTATCAAACGGTCCTTGAATAAAATCAAAAGTATCCGATTCTTTGACACTACTTGAATTGACGTTGTGAAATTTAACATACAAAACAAAATATTCGTGCCACGTTACTTTACCTAATAAGAGAAGCAAATCGATATTCAAAGTATTTATACTTCAATCCACTAAATTCCTATAAATATTAAAAACAAGTACGACAATTTTATCATGATATGATATTGTCTAGTGTTAGATCGAACGTATTTGTGTGTATCTATGGTTAAAACGTGCAGCAGCTGTTTTCCCCACAGAAACATAAATCACAGAACTTACATAGATTTAGTGGTTTTTCCAGCTGTTCTCCAAACACAATATTTTCTCGAAAATTTCCCAAGATACACGTTCACACACACACACACACACACACACGACTTGATTCTGTACCTCGATCTTAACTAGTCTCTAAAAAAGAATTAACATGTAAAAATAGATAAGATGTTTTTGGAATATAATTGTAAAAATCTCTACATTAGTAGTTCTTAACTATGATTGACTCTAGTAAATCTTTAAAATTTCGTTTTTTGTTTCTGTTTTAGGATACGACTATGTTCAAAGCTTGTCATTTTCACTTCTTCTATAAAAGGATACATTCAATTTCTAAGTGAACATTCGAAGCTCATTTTCGGACCTATTTTTAAAATTAACTATGCATTAATGTGAAAATTTTCATAAATTTATGGTATTTCCAGAAGAAAAAGCTTGAAACCTGAAATTGTTGAAGGATATTCAAAGTTCATCTGTTTTCATATGATACATTTAGTTTTAACTGGAACCTTATTAAAAAAGAAAACGTGAATATTCCATTATTAGTGATTTTCATAAGTATTTGATTACACAAATTTGTAAGAAAGCATATTTCACTGTTACGTAAGTAAGTCAAATAATATAACATTTTATAAAAATAAAAATAAATTTTCCTATTTTAATTTAATAGAAATCATAGATGAATTTCTATTGTTTAAGTTCGATTGTTTTCTTTTGCACATCTTACCATCTTGATTAGAATCAATCAATAAAAATAATTGTGAATTTCTATCTTTAGCTTCTTGAATATGTTGATTAACATTTTTTAATACATGATTAAGTAATTCATCTTTCGATAAATGTTGATCATGATCAAGGTCTGCTCTAAATACATAAGAAATAGTATAGAATAGTTTAAGAAAAATAAATTCTTTTATACTCATTAAAGATTTCTTCTAGTTTTTTATTTCTTTTGTGTTCATCACTTTGAATATCAGATTCAAATAATTCATGATTACCCAAAAATATTTCTTTATGAAAATCTGGATTTATTTGCCCATTACGTTCTAATGGTAAACCTTCGATATGTTTATCATCTTTCAGACTATGAATTCCAAAGTCTTTTAGATCTTTAGCTATTTTCGTCAAATTAAATTTTCTTGGTGCTTCAAATTTCGGTATAATTTGTGAAATACGTAAAGCAGCTGGTAATTCTTGCATTCGATATTCGGCAAGCATAGCACGTTGTGCAGAATTCAAAGTGCCATTTTCTATATCCGATTTCTGATTAAAAAAGATTATTTTATATAGTTTATCTTACAATAAATAATATTTACTTTATCTAAAATTGGCAGACCATTGATAACCAAGTTGAAAGTAAGGTATAGATGTAATACTCTTAACAATATATTAATCATTTTATCTAAAAAACACGAAAGACTTTGATCAAAATAAATAATTCATTGCATTGCCTTATTAAAAAACTACAATTCTATCATTGAATTATGAATGTTAGGCTAATTATTATTTTTTATTCGCATATCGATTCATTATTACTTTTTAAATTGAATATGTACCAGTGGATTCTCAAGGATATCAATCGATGTTTTTACCAAGTTTTGTCGAATGATTCATACGAAACATGTATACACTAGAACAATATAAGAACATTATAATAGAAAAATCTCTCAAAAAAATAATGATCTCACACAATGAGAAGTAACGCAATTAATCATGTAACTATCGCAAAAATAAAAACGAGATCAACAAAAAATCTAATAGATGAACGATAAATTTGGCTACCAGCAACTGTACCCAATAAGATATCAAGATTTTGAATTAGAGCAACGAAACTAAATGCTTCGCCTAGAATTTTTAAGTGTATACATATATATACGGCAATTGACGTTCAAATCCCTTTATCTCTTTCGGGTACTAAATGGGCAATAACACACTGAAAAATAGATGGCAGACATCATGGATGGAATTGCTAGAAAGAAAAGTAAATCCTTTGATATAACCATTTTTCTCTTGTTCTACCGCCAAAAATCATCGCTTTATTACTAGATGCAAATGTAAACAGAATCAATCCAATTAATGGAAGACATAAACCAACAATAGATAAACGAATGTCATTTATTTTCCATCGTTTTCTTAACAAAGTCAAGAAAATTAATGTAAAACATGTTCCTATTTGTTCACACGTAAAATAAGTTTCATATTGTGTATCATTGAGTGACATTCGATGTAAATATAAATAATAAACCGATGATGAATCCATACGAAATAATTAATAAAAAAATAGAGATAAAAGAAGAATAGAAAATGACAATAAGAAATTATTATGCTTTAAATTCATAATTAAATCTCGAGTATCAAAAAATGGGCATTTAATTTTCAATGCAAGGTTAACCGATGATGAACCTGATATTGATTGACTTTTAAAAAAAATAAGACTTATAAATAAAGTAAGTACTAATAAAAGAACATGAACCACTAAGATTGGCCATATTTTAGCATTTAATTGGAAAACAAATGTGCATAGAAGATACCCACAACAACTCCAAGATTTAATGTTGCTTCAATAACTGCAATTGCCTTAATGTGCTGCTCTTTTTCAATAAATATATCAGTAATATAACCAAAATATGAACTGAATAAATAAAAATATTCTTTTCTTTGACTTTCTGTCAAACAAACTTACGAAAGAAGTATCAATGATCCGCCACCAAATCCATTGATGACATTAGCGAATATATAGAGCAATAAAGATATTCTAGTACCTCGAAAAATACTTCCAATAGTAATTATTAAACTTGTTACTAATGAATTTGATACTGTTAAAATAATAGGTAATTTTCGATTTTTTTTTGTATCGGATAAACTTCCATAAATGGGTGAAATAAAACGTAATTATTGCAAAAGATAATGTTCCATAAGGAGATCATTGTGAACTTTCTTGTTGAATTGATTGTTGGACTGCACGTAAAGATTTATTACGATCAATTTCAGAAAGAAATGATTCGTTAGCATGAAGAAGACGAACCGTAGAATATATAAAGGAATTTGTTGCACATAGCAATAAATAAAATGAACACAAATAAAGAAAGCATATAAAACAAATCGGTAAAATTAAACGAAATCAACGCCACGAAAATGACTCTGACATTGCTTGAAGGATAGGAATGAATAGAGATGCTGGTTTTATATTTCTACAGTCCTCTGAACAACGAACGAATCGTTTGACTAACAGAGTAAGTAAGCAATAGAGTGTATTCGATCAAAAGATTTACGAATAAGAAGTCTATTATGATAGAGGGCGGGCACTTGACATATAAAAATATTATTCTTTGAGTTTATAAGGAATATGAACTCGTTGGTCGTCGTTGAAAACTATCGAAAATATGAACAACTGTTTGTTCTGATTATAACATCAATAGAAAGCTCTATTGCATTATCCGTAAGTTTTACTCACGTTCATGACATAAGAGACTATGGATCGTAATCGCCTGATGACTAGACCATTGCATTTTATCTAAGAATCAATCTTTTTGAGATATGTACAAAAAAATAAATAATAAAACTCTCTGTGAGTTGGAATATTTAAAAAGACAGCACATATGTGTATGCATAAGAAATTTTGATAAGTTGTAAACTATTTTGAGTCAAGAATAGAAATCATAATATGATCAGTACTTCGTCAGACTAACTCAGTTAGGTGTAATTTATTACGTATCAATGATCGCATTCATTGACTTAATGTAAATACATCTATTCAATAGATTATACATTGATGTGTTGTTGATCTAACGATGAAAATCACTGGATTCAGTAATTAATCTACGGATCGATCATAAAATACAATTTTATTTTAGTGAAATTTTCAAAGTTAGAGTCCTGTTTCGTATGAGCATTATACTCTATAACATGCTAGATAAAGTTGACTACATAGAATGATACTTCGCAAATTCAAGAAGAGCATAAAACGAATATATATATGTAATCTCTTCATGTCAAATCTGACTTAATTTAATTAATGCATCATTTGCTTATGATGCATACGCTTGATTTGGTTCCGTACAATGAGAATGCACGATTAAAAATATTTTATTTTATTTAAACTCAGAAGCTCAGATGAAAAATAACGAGTCTTTTTCTTATAGATTAAAGTTAGATGCAAATCGTTGTGATTATGTTGCTTGAAGAGTATGCACCTAGTCTAGGAATCACCCAACAACTTTTTTGACGCCCAATACGTTGCTGCAGTTTGGGCATCTATGTTCCTTGTCTTTGCATGCTTTGACAAAGAATGGAATGAAACAAAGAGGTGGCAAAAGAAGAAGGATCAACGCTAATAACCAAGTACCTAATCCAATAGTTTCAGTGACTTGTGACATAACCACTTTCCGGCATTGAGGGCACGTAGTGCGTACCGGAACGTCGCTGTAGTTAGGAGCTGCTACAACAGCACTACCATCTTGTTTTATAGCACCTTCCATATTCACAACATTATTCATGTTTATAGATAATTGTATAAAATGTGTAGTATGTGATGTTTGTATATAAACTGCTCTCTTTATATCGTGGAAAGATTTATCAATTTATCAATTTATCAATAGCATACAGGATGAAAAAAGAAATAATATTATGCATGTTTACGAATGTCAGATTTTTTCCTTGATAAGTTGGAGATATTTTTCTTGTGCTCTCTGCCACTGATGAATAATAAATAAAAATATATTTTCTCTTTTTTTGGTTACGCTCACATAAATTTTCATATTTTGTTTGTTGTGATTGACAACTGCAGAAAATTAATATACAACTAGACAAGAAAAATAAACCATGACATTCAGATACCTTGGAAAAAATGATTGTATACATCTATTACTTTCTTGCGTTACTCTTATCTGTCGTGCTTTATATGATATTTTTATTTTTTGACTACTACTACTATACAGTAGTGTGCAAAATTATAAGAACAATTTTTTTTCTTATGTGTTAGTATGTTTTCATCTTCGCTTTCTCTGCTTGAATTCATCTACCAATCAGTACATATGCATTCAAGCATGCTCTATCCGAATATCAAGTTAGCACTTTTCTAGACCTATTTATTTTCATTAAAAGAGAATCGAACGAAAAAAAATGCTATTTTGACCTGTTCAAAATTATAAGAACAGATAAATGTTTATATGGCCTATTTCATAAAAACGAGTCAATATTTTGATGAAGTATTTCATTTTACACGAACACAATTTTTAATACGTCGAGGCATCGATCGAACCAAATTTTCACATGTTTCAGTTGATATTTCGGACCATAACTTCAGAATAGCTTGTTGAAGATCATAAACATTGTTCAAACGATGATTGATGAGTTTTTTTATCAAGTATATCCCATAAACTTTCAATATCATTAAAATCTGGTGATACTGCAGGCCAATCTAAAACGTTAATTTTATTCTTCTTAAACCAATTCATACTAAAACCGGATTTGTGACAGGGCGCGTTCCCAGGTCGACTGATCCGACATCGGATCCGATAGGAACCTGGAAATATCCTACAATCCGATACAATTCTATTGGATTCCGGGTCGATGAATCGATGTCGAATCCTCAGTGTCGGAATCCTATGAACTTCCGATGGCATACAACGGTTTTTCCTTGGAATTCATAGGAATCCGACACTGACGTGAGGATCCGACATCGATTCATCGACCCGGAATCCAAGGATAATTCTGTAAGATCTGACAGGATCCGATAAAATCCTATTGGATTCCAGTTGGATCGGATGGGTTCCGATAGGTGCCTACTGTCGGATTGTTCGACCTGGGAATTAAAAGAAAAGAAAGCATGTACGCGCGTGACCCATTATCGTCATTTTCCTGACCGTCGTCCGTTCTATGAAATAGGCCATATAAACATTTATATGTTCTTATATTTTTGAAAAGGTCAAAATAACATTTCTTTTTGTTCGATTCTCTTTTAATGAAAATAAATAGGTCTAGAAAAGTGCTAACTTGATATTCGGATAGAGCATGCTTGAATGTATATGTACTGATTGGTAGATGAATTCAAGCGGAGACAGCGAAGATGAAAACATACTAACACATAAGAAAAAAATTTGCTCTTATAATTTTGCACCCTACTGTATAGTATAGAATCTTACTAGAATAAAAGCCACCTCTTTCATTGAGACCAATGTTATGCTACTTTGAAACTATGCTTAGATTGAATCCATAGAAAATATACCTTAGCAGACCTTAAAAATATCATGATTGTTCAATGCGCGATGAAAAGTTTAAAAACAATATTTATATATTGATTCTGTTAGAATACAAATTTCATGAGCAATCAAATCAATGTTAGATCCTTAAAAATACTCTCTAACCATTGATTCATATCTGTTGTGTTAAACCCGCTTCAAACACTTGAAAATCAACAAAATTTCGACTTAACGAAAAGAAAAATATCAATGATCAGAATATTGTTGATTATTCAATGCAATTTCGATCACTTCAATGTAATATCAAAATTTCAAGTACTTGCGGAAAAAACAATTTCAATTGGTAATGAAATTTTTTAGCTCTGCACCTGTTAGAAATTCCATTATCGAGTGACACTCTTATTTTACACCATGATTTCAAAGATATACGCAAATAAAATATAATTATTCCTATGGTCCAGAGATATAATGGAATTTAGCTAATATATCTGATATAAAATTTATTATCATTAATCTTTGGATATTTCAAAAGAAACTTTCTAAAAGTTTTCTGTATTGAACGTTGAGTATCCATGTTTTGTACTCACAATTCATTGATACGCACTGCTTTAGAGAAATATAAAACTATGATTTTCATTGTCGGTATCAGCATTCTTTTTACTGTTAGAATTCGACGAAATACTACATTGAAATTACTTTCTTACTATTCTTATTGGTGTAAACTCGTTTGTCGTCGGTAGTACACTGAATTTTCATTCAAACTGAAAGAAATTTTCTGATCATTTATGTTAATATTTCATGATCTAAATCTATAGTACTTTGAAGTTTACTCAAGGTAGCTCATGTGAATAATCGAGTGGTGAAATGATAGAATAGCAAAGAGAAAAGTAAACATCTACCATATTGACCCTTTTATGTCTATTATAAATACAAGGGTCGTATACGACTCCACGATTTGATAAAATTAGTGAAAACTATTGGTATTCAAATCGTTGATTTTTATCTATGATAGTGGTAGTCCTGGACCATAGTCAAAGCAAGGTTTTATTTTTCATTTGTTTCACTCGATAAATGTACTATGGACTACATTATGTGTTTTCTATCTTTACAACGCAAACAAATGCTATATTACTGATGTAACCAAGCGAAATTAGAAACGGTTCAAGATATTCATCGATGACGTTCTGCATACTTTTGTTGTCAATTAACTTCTATAATCCGTATTGCTTTCTCAAGAAAGCATTCATAGTGTACTTTATATTAATAGATATTGAAGCATTTCTGCTATAAATATAATCATAATTCGAGTTTCGAGTGTATTTTGCAATCTTCTACTTTATACATGAAAAATAAAAATAAATTGATTCTTTTTCAGAAAACGTTTTTGTTTTAATTTAAGAAAAATGTTGCGATTGTTATTTTTTCGTTATGAAATGTTAGGTTTTAGTGCTTTCCGGCATTTTTTTTTTATGTGGAACTCAATTATCTTTGAAATAATCATTTAAGCCGTAATCTTGATGATGTGTGATTATTCAAAATAGAGTCCTATCATACACTTTCCATTTTAAAGTGTAATTTCAATACAAACTCTGCCCTGAAAATTTTCTCGCAGGTAAAACAAATCCCATTTATGAATTTGAGCACAGTTTTTTGTCTCGGTTGTTATTATGACTTCTTTATGGTAAACCAAAATAGAGCTATTTAGTCATTGTTGTCAGTCTCTACGCCATCATTAACTGAATGTTCGTTTAATATACATCGAATCATGGTATAAAAATAGCTCTACCAATACCGAGACAGAATGATTATAACATGTGTGAGAATTTTTTAGGCAGATGATACAAACAATTCAATCTTATTGGTGGTTTTTGCTTAATATATGATTAAAAGCAATGACTATTTTTCAAATGCCTGTGTATATTTGACACTGTTCTACAAATCATCGTCAATATCAATAACTGATAAAAATATTAAACCACTATTTTTCACGATTTTCATCAGTTACTTGTCTTCACAATAAAATGTAGACCAGTTCAAAATCTTCAAAAGAGTTTACACAAACAAAGTCTGAAAGAGTCGATCATCAAACTAGAGTTATTGTAACTATTTGTTTATTGTAGAATCTCTAAAAAAATCTAATGTATAGAATAATCGATAATTTTAACACTGACTAAATTTTTTTATACTCGTCGTTATTTAATTGATATAAATTATAAAAATCTAATTATTTTAGTCGCTATTAGACGCTTAGAAATTTTTAGAATTGTTAAATGTTGACAACTACTCAAGTATGACTCATTGTCAAAACATACGACAGAAACTATTCAAAATGCAAGTGTTCTTTTCGTGTTCTTTTACCCAGTAGAAAGTTTTTTTTTATTAAATTGCATTGGTAATTTTTTCTTTCTTCTGAAACGTGCTTTACAACAAAGACACATACAAAATTATGTTTGCTTTCTTTGTCCTTTCATCTTAAGGTAAATCACAAATTATATAGCTTTCGTTTCAGTTTCAAACGTATGTAATAATGGCGGCAAAAGCGACACGGTAATTTTATCATGCTTTCAAATATGATACCTGAAATTCTCTCTAGGCAACTTTCGCGTGACGCATATTTGAATCATAGTAAAATTTATTATAAAAACAAGCCTTTATTTTAGTCATTACTTAGAAATATTTTACTTGTAAAACTTCATTGATATTTATGTCTGTTGAAGGAACGAGGGAAAGTTATGTGGCTTGTGTAATACATTAATTAATGAATACCAATACCGTGCTCATGTTGCAAAATGTGGAGTGTCAAGTGATGATGACAATGAAAAGAAAGCTGGAACAGTATTAAAAGTTTGCGGTTTATGTGAAAGACAAGTCAAAGATTTGGCTGATCACTATCGAACATGTACAGGTGTAAAGACTAAGACAAACGGGAATCATGAATATCAACAAAAATCAAGAAATGCGCCAGTAAGACAAGAACTCCACTTTGACTGACACTTTCTGCAAAATTTGAGTAAAAAAACTTTAGAATGCAGCTGTTTAAACGTTGTAAAGTCACAGTGTATATCATTAATCACTGTTTTACATATAGAATATAAAGTAATTGATGACATTCGACTGAAAAAAAATCTCATTCGGCATCTGTTATCTTTTTTTCCGTTACATTTCACAACCTTTTGATTTAAAACTTGAATGACATCGAAAGGTTCTGCTCTATCTCAAAAAAGCTACACAAAGAAATACTATCCAGGACGAGAACTAATCATCGATAAACTTCTTAAACTATCTATTAAGATTTATGAACAACCATCCGTCAGTGTTTCAAATGCATCAAAAACTAAAGAATGTATTATATGTTCGGAAATGATTGCCGAGAATGTCTACGCAAATCATGTAGATAGATGTATATCAAACTCATCGATGAGATCAAAACAATTGACAAGAACCAAAGAATGTGCTATATGCTCGAAAATGATCCCCGAAGATGACTACGCTCATCATGTCGATAAATGTTCGGCACAATCATCAATGAAACAAACGAAACAAAAGACTACTCAGGAATGCATTATTTGCTTTAAAGAAATCGCCGAATCTGACTATGCTGCTCATGTTGATGCATGCATCTCTAGATCATCTTCTAGTACAAAACCAAAATCTATATCTAGAAAAAGTGAAGTTTCATGTTTTACATGGTAACTTAATCGTTTTTTTTTGTAATTATTTTAACATCTATTTTTGTAGTTCATCGCCAGTATCTTCATCGAAAACTTCAAGCCATACAGTTCCATGTCGACCACATCATATCTATTGTTTAAAATGTCTACAAAATTCAATGAATGAATATATTCGATCCAACACGGCTCCTGTCTGTCATTCAACTCTTTGTGATTATGAATTGTCTCGCTACGATGTGGTATGCTTACCACTCGAAGCAGATTCTATTAAACGGTTGCTCAATTGCGTCAAAACTACACGACGACCTCAATGCCCTATATGCTCATTCTACATCGATTTTAATACTATGGATGCTTTTCAGAAACATGTAGCTTCATGCAATTCAGAAAATTTCATTCCTTGCGAATATTGTCTTTGTCCATACAATGTTCACCGTTTGGATGATCACTCAAAGCAATGTCGGAGTGCTCCTCGTTCTCAACAGCTACAAGCATTAATTGATTTCATCTTACCTCGAACTAAATATCTAGCAACAGCACAACAGATTCGTGTTTTTATTGCACATAAAAAGAAGGCTCATTCCGCAATTGAACCACATGCAATAATTGATGCACTAGCTGAGTTAGGTAAATTTTTATCTATCTTTTAATTTCATTTTTAGTTTGATGCTTGACTTAATAGATGGTGCCTTTCCCTTTGACATTCCAACTTTTGACTGTGGTATTTGTATGGAAACGTGTATCTATGATGATATTTTTGTTTTCGGTTGCGAAGGAAATCATAAACTATGCTATGTATGTTTTGAGAATTCATGTGCATCAAAGATGAATAATAATGAAACTTTGACATGTGGAATGTGTAATTATCAGCTACAAGAAGGAGAAATAAAACAATTGCGAGTACCAGCTGATCGAAAAAGACAATATCTAGATTATCAGATTCAGAAAACGTTCAGTGCATATATTGGTGGCTCTCAAGGTATAATACGATGTCCAAATGGGAACTGTAAATGGGTAGCCGAGGCAAGCAATCCTAATGACCGTTTTCAAGTAAAATGCCCTATGTGTAGCTATGAGTTTTGTTCACTTTGTAATCGGCAATACCATTTTCGAACGACATGTCAACAAATTCCAGAAATTACACAACGTTGGTTCTTTTGGTGTGATACAGGTAGATCAGTCGTTAGATATCAATTCTCATGTTGCATTGTTCCGTTTTATTCGAAGAACGTGGTAGATATTGGCAAGCTCGAGCACAACAAGACGCTCAGTTTAGGGCACAATTAGATGATTACGAACGTCAAAAGGCTGCAAATATCCAACGAAATCAAGAACTAGCTCAACGTTACAATGAACTGTTAGCCGATGAACAGTATAAATCTGCAAATTGTCGTCTCTGTCCACATTGTCAACGAGTTGTACAGCATTTAGGTGGATGCGATCTAATGGTGTGTGGTCGAAATTATCATGGTGGTGATGAACAATCTGGTTGTGGTAAAGGTTTTAACTTCTCAAAAGCCCTTCCTTACACACCTATGGCCAATGCAGCTCCACAGCACGTCAACAATCACGTACATGAACCTGAACAACAAAAACTTGTAGTTCATCAGGGTGCTCAGTAAGTAACAACATAGTCTATTAAATACTGATCGTTCGATTATGTCTATTCAGATGTGATACTTGTCACAATCAAGTTCAAGGTATTCGATTCGACTGTGTTCATTGTGCTTCATTAATATTCTGCGAGAAGTGTGAGCAACGTTCTACTCTGGAACATTCAAATGAGATTCGTGATCAAAAGAAGCAACAACATGTTTTTCAATTGATTACACAACCGTTAAACCAAAACGATTCATAATGATCAATTCATGTGTTTCTCCGGGCGATAAAATATGTATTCAAGAGATTGATTTTTCGGCTTGGTTATTAAATGATTTTTTTCCAATAAAATGACTCAAAATATAGAAGAGTTAATTTTGTACGAATTTGTATAGCTTCCAAGTGTCATGCACAACATTCGTACTAAATCTATTAATATATTTATCTTCAACCATGACCAATCAGAGATGCACACAGTTATAAAATCAGTCTGTGCGGTTGAACTTCCTTTGATGCTTATAAAAATCTTGTAACAACATCTGAATAATAGTAGATCTTTTTCTTGATAATTGTTTTGTTTTAAAATATGATTATCATCGTTTGTAAAATTGACTTATACTTTCTGGTAGACTGGACCCTTTTTGGAATTGTGATTTTTTTATTTTAGGACAGTATATTTTAGCTTTGGATAACAGACAGTAAAAGTGACTTTTAGATAATTGAGTTGACAATTATATCTGAGATAAAACACAATTTAATAATCCTTGCTTCTTCTTCTAATAGATCTGAACATAATAACAATGAATTAATTTAAAAAGTAGACGATCAAGAAAGAAATACAACACGATCACCATAAATTTCTATAAAAGTTTTGAATACTTTCAATAATTAACTTTTAAAAAAACCAATCATCTAATTTATATATTTTACATTGAAATATGTGTAGTTTTCAGAACTTCTAGCTGAAAACCTGAAAAAGTTGAAATCAGAATTATTTTTATATCGATAGAGCATCGAACAAAAAATCTATCGAAACTCTTAAAAGTCGTTTAGGATGCTTTAGAAATGATTTTAGTTGAAATTTATTAAAATAAATGAACTACATTATAAAACTTACCTAAGACTTATTCAAATTATCAAGTCATTTTTGATCTTTTTTAAATAGCTAGTAAATCGTGTTGGTATACTTTTCTGGTGAATTTCGATAATAATTCTCTATTTCCAAATGAAATAAGTCTGAATAGGTAAATATTCCCAATGAAGAATATTTACTATTGACAAAAGTGTGCTCGTTGTGCGAACGAAGAAGAATTACTTTGCTAGAAACCATGCGTGTTTTCCTAGACGTTAGAATAACTTATCTTTAGTAACTTTATTATTGAATTTTACATGGATGTGAAAGTTAATATTAGCTCTTGTTGTAAGTTACCATTGAAACTAAAATTTTCAATGAAACATCAATAAATTAGAAAAGTATCCTACAATATAAGATCATATCAAGAAAACTTGTTCGATCGGATTAACAAATATACTTTTGTAGGACTGCGTCAGTGTTTGTTTTTCAATCAAAAATACTAAACCTAGAAGAGAATAGTGAAATGTCACTTCTTCAAATTTGAAAAAGTTTCGAGAAAATTTTGAAAGTCCATTAAAAAGTTGATAAATATGAAAATGCTTTTTCAAGCTTCTCTTGTAACTTTAAATTGAAACCACTGCATGAGTAGATATTCAATATTATTAAAAATTTTCAAGTTAAATTGTAGATATGTATCAGGTAAAGGCCAATCGTACAAATTAAACTGACGATCTAAATAAATAAGATCAACTAAATAGAAATTTTCAAATAACTGATCAAGATTTGTATTTAAATTAAAAGAATTTAGATTTGAAAAAGATCTACTTGAACTATTAAAAGATCTTTTATTTAATCGTTCAAAGAAATTTCACGATACTTTAAGTTAGATTAAAGCGTATCAAAACTAAGAATTTATTCTCTTGTAATATCCGTAACAATGATATGTTCCTGTAATTCAAAAACCGTGAAGACAATCAAAACTAAATCTTATGACTATTAGCCAAATTTGTTCTCACATCACGTTTGGATTATTTTTTATATCAATGAGAGATTTAAAACTAGGGAAATTCACATTTAAAAAAAATGTAACAACTTTATAACTGGTAAAGTTTTATGTTAAATTAGCATTACAATTTTGTCTTAGCTATTCAAAGATATTTTCAATGGTAAATAAAACAATGGTCTATTGTGAAGAACATTATTATTGATTGTATACTATAGTTCGAAATAAAGATAAAATTTCATTCAAAAAAAGAAGAGATAGTTACTCTATTCTTTGAAATATGTTAAAATTAAGTTAGAATAATTTTTATTTTCTTCAAGTTTAATAAATATTATAATAAAAGAAAAACAGAATGTTTCCTTTTTCTATTTCTTCTGATCATTTAGTTTTGACTATTGAGTCTAGTTTCAATTTGTTTAACAGTTATAGGATTCATATATTTTTTATGTTCATCAAAAAACGTTTGTACTCTTGGGATCAATTCTGGCCATGAAGATTTAAATTCTGCATATAACGGTTTAACAAATTTCATTCGACCGATGACTTTAAGAAATTCGAATATATTGTCTAAATATTTTTCAAATTTAACACGTATGCATAATTGATACCAACGGAAACGAATTTCACAATTCGAATATTTTGCCATATCACAATTAGTATCAAGTTGTTCTATGTAATCACGATTTATGGTTGATTTATGATTAAGTAGAACATTTAATAGATAAGCAACTTGTTTCGCATTTAACATATTCATTTGTTCTTTTGTGATAGGTGATAATTGTGTAGCTAATTGATTACATTGTTCTTCGAGTTGTGTAGAAAAATCATGTGTTATTGGAGGCATACCAGGAGTATAAAGCCATGATTGCCAATCAACAGATGGTGCTTGAGGAAAATACGATTGAAAATATTGAATAAAATCATCAGTATTTAAAATTTTTCGTCCAAACTTAGTTATATATGAACGAAGAAATTCATCAAAATCTGATTCCGAACCAATAACATTTTGTTCTAAATACCAAAGAAACGCTGCACCTTTGTAATATTGAACTAAAACAATAGGAAAAATAAAATATTTTTCTTTCAAACAAAGAAAGAGTGTCGAAATACACCTGAACTATACGCATCATCAGGATCAGTATTATTCAAACGATAAACTAGACAAGTGTATGGATGTGTTGCTCCCCATGTAGCAACAGCAGTTTGTAAATCTTGCCATTGTTGAGCAGCATGAAATCTTCGAACTTCTTTTCCATTTGCTTTGTTTAAATTTCCAAGTATTTTTGCTTCAATAAATGATGTAAATCCTTCATTTAACCAAAAATGTTCCCAATTTTCATTTGTTACTAAATTTCCTGTAGAAAATCAATATCGGTTTTTGATTTAGCAAGAAAATGATCAAACAAATGAATAACCTGTCCAAGAATGAGTCATTTCATGAACAATTGTACTTATTAATGAACGATCACCAGCAAGCAATGTTGGCGTAAGAAAATTCATACATGGATTTTCCATACCACCATCTAAAGAAAAATTGAATATTCAAAATTGAAATTATACAGTTTTCAAAAAAAGATTGTTCGATCAGATTCAGATTTAGAAAATATTTCCAGATAAAATGAAACCATAGATTATCGGCTTGACTTACAAGGAAAAGACGGTGGCAAAACAAGAAAATCATATCTTTTCCATTGATATTTTCCAAGAAGTTGTTCAGCAGCAGTTAAAAATTGTTCGGCATGCTCAAATTCATATTGGCATTGTTGAATCATACTTGATTCAGTCCAAACGCGAATACGAGGACTTAAATCATAAGAAGTTAATTTCCCAACAGCAATTGCAATTAAATACGATGGTATAGCTTGTTGTTGTTCAAAATAAAATGTATTCGTATTTTCATCATAGTTTGTTTGTAAACCACTCATTAGCTTAGAAAGAAAACAATCATTCAAGGTAAATTCCTTTGTTTCTAATTCTTACTGCAGTCAATGGCTTTGGACATTTTATTTTTGCTGTAAAAGTACTTTTAACGCCCGGTGTATCTTGACAAGGATATAATGAACGTGCATGTATTGCTTGACATTGACTAAACATATATGGATATTGTCTATCAGCTGTTTGTTCTTTTGTAAGCCATTGCAATGCTGAACATTTCGTATTTGACGTTGAATAATGAATAATAATTGATATAGTCGAATCTTTTGATTCATCATTCATTTCAATAGTTAATGATTCACGTTCTATGTCAACTTGAAATGAAAGTGATTTTTCTGTATCATTTGCTTTCAATAGAACATTTTTAATATTCAAATGACGAGAATCAAGAACAAGTTGATTTCCGTGATTATTTGGAATTTCTTTATTTTCAGTTGTAATTGTTGATGAACGATCGCATAATTCATTTTTTAATGGTTTAACATCAAGTTGAACATAACCATCGAGTATATTTGAATCAAAATCAACATTTAAATCAAAATGAGTATGAACAATACGATATCCATTAAAACTGGATAAAGAATTTGGATCGTAAAAAAGTCGCGTCGATTGACCCTATAATATGAGAAATTAATCAAGACTGAATAAAAACTCTTATAACTTTACCTCATTTTTTATTTGATCATTCGATAAATTATTAGTTGTCATCTAGAAAATATTTTTATCAAGTCTTTTCAATTCAAGTTTAGATAGAACAAATAAAGTATAAAACTATTAGACATAAATCTGACTTGAGAAATAATTGAAAATCTAATACTAACGTTTTAATTTCTCAATCAATGGTTCTTTTAAGTTTTTTTTTCTCGTAAAAATTTATTTGTTTGCAAAGAAAAGTACTATACATAATAAAAAACAATTCTCTATGTATTTTAATATTCTTTTCTTCGAAGAAAGTAAAAATATTCAATGTATGCAATAAACTCTTCGTTTCCACTGAGTTTCTCTCTATAACAACATCTCTTTGTATGATCATATTGTGCACATAGTGAAAGAGAATTTCTCATATTTCTGAAAAGATCACTAATTTTTCTTGCTTGATGATCGAAATATTTTGTTAAATTTGAAGACGCTGTCTTTATTATGAGTTAACTTGATTTTGTGTGAATCTACTCTTTAGTAATACTCACACGTAACTGTATGCTAATAAAATTTTGAATCTATATCTAGTGAATTATGTGCATTCAAGACTTTCACTAATTTTCTATTCTCAAATACGATCAATGGCTATTCTAATCTGTAAAAGAAGCAAATGTTTTTCTTCTATTTACATTTTAGCATCAAATGTGATACGAACCATAATACTTTACTAAGTTGCAACTTGAAAATTAACTTTGAAAATGATTTTAAAGGTAGTAATTACAATATTTCGATGTTTTAAACCTCACTCAAAATTATCAATCAGTAAGAAAAAAGACTTATGAATAATAGTGTTTTCTTTTTCATTCTTTTGTCTAGACTTATTAAGGTCAATCTACTGAAGCAAAATTTAGCTTAACAATGTCTCATCATTAATTAGACTTATCACATTCGCCAACTTGCATCTAGAAGAGAATTTTATGCAATAAAATAGTTGTATTAAAGGGCATGTAAAGTGCCTATCTTATCAAATTTTATTTTGCTGTCTTTGGAATTTTTGAAAAAATTGTTTTCCAATTGTATTGTTCATATGAACTATCTGGGCTATTTAATAAGCCAAGTTTTTCACATGCATCACAAACAGCCATGAAAGTAATTAAATCCGGTTTAAAACCTAACGGTCCAATTGTATCGAAATTAGATTGTTTCATTTCTTCAAATAATTCTAGTAGTTTAATTGGCATATCATTAACAAGATATGCTTTCATTAGAGTATTATATGTACTTGTTTCACGTAAATTCATTTCACTGAAAATCTTTTCAGCAATAGCTATTTCATTTATTTTACCATAAAAATCAATTAGTGCATTCTGTAAATGAACATGTTGAATATCCAATGACAATAATAATTCATCATGTATAGCTTTACCACGTTTTTCATCACGTAAAATCGTACAAGCTAAATAAAATATGATGGTAAACATAACTTAGTTAAAAATTTATACCGTTAAGTAAAAGAATATAAGTAATATTATCAGGTGAGATTTTTGCACGCATTTTATCTACACATGAAAAACAATGTTCAGCTTTATGATTTTGAAGATAACCTTTCTAAACGAATATCAATATAGATATTTATATCACTAACAGAATAATCTCTTTACCAGCATAGTATTATAAACAATAACATCACATTCGGACGATTGGCGAATTCTTTCGAAAATTCTTTCAGCTAGAATAAATTCAATATGTTTATTTTTGCTAACCATCAGTTTCGGTATGTTACCTTCATCTATCATTTGAAATTTCATGTACATTTTAATTAGTGATGTATGCAAACGTAGATGATTCTTCCATTTTATGGATTGATTGATGAGTGATTCAATTTGACGACCACGTTCAATGTTACTTGATCGAGCACATGTATTAAGAATATTTAATAATGATATAATAGTAATATTGTTTTGTTTAACGAGATTATCAAACACATTAAATGCACGTTCATAATCACCACGGTTATTGAACAATTTTATTAATTGATTGGTTGATTCTGAAGGATACGATGGTAAGTTGGATTTATTGTTCACTTTCATTGAGTAATGAATAATAGAGGATGATATTGAAATAATGCGCTGGATGATGGAACGACTATTTGCAGAGACTATCATTTTCCAAGCGGTAGTAGAAGTAATTTATGACTTGTAAAATCAATAGAATATGAATGGTCAATGTCACTTACCATTTCACTAGGTTTTGTAAAAGAGGGCAGTGTATAATCGAATGGTATTCCCAACCCACGTTTCAGTACAATTTTTTTAATTATCTAGATTCAATAAATTTTCATAATATTTCTATCGGTTTCATATGCTCTTACTTTTGTTAATGATGAATATCAAATAGAAGAAGCTCCTTGTCAAAGTTTTATTGTTCTATTTTCTTTATTCATTCATTAAAATGTCGTTTAATACAAAAGTTTTCATATATCTTTATTTTTATTCTTCACTGTATAGCCCTCCGTCTCTTTATGCTCGAAATTTTATCATTTTATTATCTTAAAAAAGACATTTTCTTTTATAAATTATATTTCGTTAAAGTTCTTTTTCCTTATTTATGATTCGTTGAGATGAATAAAAGTGTGCTTCAGTTATCTCTCCATGAAAAATATTGTAGAAAAATGCAAAGCAAATGCACATAATTTATCACGTTCTTCATAAACTCGAGAAAATTTAAGAGTTTTACAATGAACAAATCAACTTGAATACTTATTTTTATATATCTTTATCATGCGTCATTCTGAATTCAACTATAGCTTAAGTTAATGTAGAGAATTAAAATTGACAACAACATGCTACGAATAGAGATTTTCATATACAGTACTCGATTACTCATGTCAAAATTTTTTATTTTAAATGTTCATCTAGCGTAACTACAGACACTGGTCTCAAATATGAGAAGAAAAGAAATATGGGTCAACTATTTTTATGTTGATGACTTTTTTTTCAAAAAATTTTGAAATGTAAAATGAAAGCAATGGTTACGGAGTACATGCTAATGAAGAAGCTAGATGAGAATAGCTCTAAAAACTGATTTGGATACCGAGAATTTACAAAAATCTGAAACTTAGTTTAATTGCCTGCTGGTGATCAGTAGAATTTTTAGCAATTACAAATGGAAGCACAGCCCTAGGTACCAGTCATTTGATCTTCGCCTATAAATATGAAGTATGCGTAATATTATGATAATTTTTCTTAGTGATTCCGATAGCTATGTTATATATTCTCTAGAAAAATATCAGCTATAACAATTTGTAATTTTAATTCTTTCCAAAGGTTAAAAATAAGATTGCTTTCAATTTTCAATCAAGAGAGTGTTACACTAACAACAATCATTAACTTAACGCGTATAACATGGGGTTGGCCAACATTAATTCCTTTATTATAAAAGTGAAGCTGTTTCTTTGATTAGAGTTTGCGCTACTAGTGTTTTTTACATTTAGGGCATACTTTTTCTATTGAATCGTTTTTTTGCCCTTATTAAAATACTAATTGATGATGCATTTTCATGATTCTAATCAAAACAAATGCGTAACATTGTTCAGTTTTTTATTTATCTTGTCACAAGTCAATGTCTTTTATCACGAGTACTTTTCTTCGGCATTATCAGTGTAAAAGTCATGCAAAAAACGTAGACTCGTCTTTAAATAATACACCTCTGGCATATATTTTTCATCGGAAGACTAAAAATTTTGCAACACCCCTTAAAAGCTTGATATATCTTCAACAGACAAGACAGAAGTATGTTATATTTTATACAACAAGAAGAGTTTCACAGTGAATAAATTACTTTCAAAGTAGTTTGCCATAGGAAAACAAAAGATAATTTGTAAATCGTAGCAAAAAACAAAATCTTGATCTTTTAGTAAATTATTATTTTCAATGTCGATTTCGAAAACGACATAGATTCTAAAATCATTGAAAACGTATTGTGAAAGTAGTCGAATGAAATCTATAGTATTGATGACGATTGGGAACATCAGAATAAACATGCCAGGATGCTGAAGTATAGAAATATGTCAGATCACAAATGCCGACAATTAAAAAGCATCTTTCAACGTAAATTATTTTATTCAAGTTTGAAAGTCTGACTATTCTAATGAAACCAGTTGTCTTACCAACTTTTGAACAATTGAAAAAGTGTTCATTCAATTGTATCACTCGTTAAAAATATCATGATAATTTTTCATCATGGGTTGTTGTTACCGTTAACAAATTAGGTTTTTTCCAAGTTGTTGATGGTTACCGTTTGTTTTATCATAATAACAAAAATTCAGAAAAGAAAATTTTCGATTATCATGTTTTCGTTGTTTCTGTATATTGTATTAGAAATAAAATTTGGGAAACGGTATGCTGTTGCAGTTGCCCTCGCCTTTACAAAGCTCGAATCGTACTCTTAGCATCACTGTTTCTTTGTGAAGCAATATGCGGACTATTTCGAGCGTTTGTTTTTATTTCTCCTATGCTACCAGGAGATGTATCATTGAATTCAACCAATATAATAGATATAAATGATCCTTTGACAATTGCATCTATTCTAGATTGGACCAGTTCAGTTACAGCTACTCTGATGGGAATTTTCGTACTAAGATTTCTGGCTTTGATGCTACTATGCTGTTTTTATGCTATGTGCCATACAAACTCACGTAGAGATAATAGTGGTTGTTGTCAATTTTTTGGCACTTTCAAAGCTCTTCATGGGTTTATTGGTTTGTGAGAAACAATCACTTTCTACTATCATGAAATTCTTTTGTCTTCGTATTCAATACTTAGGTATATTTCAAAATAGTTTGACGAGAAATGTTTACTCTATGCATATATATATAATCTTACGTTAGTGATCAATGAGCATGAATCGTGGTAGAATAGTTATTAGAAAGAAATGGGAAATTTCATCAATTTTGAATCGGTCTAATACTAAAATCTTATTTTTGATACGGTAGAATACTTCTAACTGATATGTTGTACAAAATAATGAATATTTTTCTTCTCTGTAAATGCAATATTCATAGAGTTTAACAGTAAACCTAAGCTTTCAATAAAAAGCTAGCATACTAATTTTGATTCAGGACACGCACTTTGAAAGTTATTCATTTTTTGTTTTGTTTGCGCTTTAGAAACGGATCCAAGAGGTCTTTCCAAATTTTTATTCGTCTCGAGTTTCATTAGTCTTCTTAATCGGTACATTCTTTCATGATCTATATCATTATTTCGTATGGTAGCATTATATTCTCCAAAATGATAATCGATGTCATTGTCGATCACGAAAGCATAAACGCTATTTACATTATCGTATAGTAGAAGATAATCAACGGAAATATGTGTTTGGTGATCGTCCTTGTACGAATGATCCTTGTCGCAATCGACATTCAAGTAATGGTGAAGCTTTCCACGGTAAAAACTATCAGCCACAGGTACGTTGGGCCGCGTTCAGCACTCGTGATCCTAAGGCGATATGCATTGGTTTTCATACCACTACGTCTGAAGCAGCAGTCTCTACTGTTCTCAGTGAATTTATAGCAAGTAAAAGAGGATTATTGGGTAAGGGTGTGTATTTTGCTCGATCTATAGCAGATACGATTGGTAAAACACAACATGAGGGTGGTGCTTGCATCATAGCTGAGATTCCAATCCGTCAAATATTTGAATTCGATAAAAAGACGATCTATCAAGTTGGGAAAGATGCACATCGTGCCATGAACTTGCGTAACTTTGTACAAATTTCTGCATGGCATGAAGATTATGATACATGTTACATGAGTTACGAACAAGAGAACAAAGACGAATATTGCATTGAAAATCCGGTGAAACAAACTATTAGTTGGGTTGTGGTGATTGATAAATTAAAAAATCTCAAAGTTGTACGATATGATCTTGACACTGAAGTTGACTCAACAAAATGCTATCGTATTTAAATGGCGAATTATTTTTGGTCTTGTAATTAGATTTTCTTCAAAAATAAAAGAACTTTTATCATCAGAAATTCATATGATGATAAGATTTAAGCTTCATATAAATTGAAATTAAAATAGTGAAAGTGTAGCAGCAAGTCAGAGTGAGAATCAATGAGAAGTTTTTCGAATTTCAATCATTCTTCTCTTACATTTCTAATAGCCATCATTAAATTTCGATTCATCAGAAAATAATTTAGCTTAAAAACAAATTTTCATCACAAGAATCTTATAATATCCGAATGCTATCTATCTAATCATAATAAAATTAATTCATTTAGCTACCATATAGTAATTTAGATATATATATCCTACACTGGCTCAGTCTATCACGAACTGAGACGCATAATAAGTACTAGTTTAAGTAGAGTATATCACGTCATGTTGATCATCTTGCAGCCGAAACAGAAAGCTATAAATAATTCATTCAATATTCTAAAATCCAAAATTATAAATCAGCATAACAATTAGTCTTTCACATATGCCATCACCATAAATTTTTCTGAGTGATCACAAGTAAGAAAAAAATCAATTAAATACTCATAACTTTTAAAAACTAATACTTAGAAAATGATTCGTGTAGAATTTTTCTGGTATCAGTAGGCCTTGCCTAATCGAATATATTCGATCACAAAATATAGATGCCACCCAAATTTGCCTTGAACCATAGTGTCTGTGTTCTTTTATTTGACGGATATGTTTTTTTTTACATATATTCATAGCTTCATAATGTATAATCCTAATTTTGTTTTGCATCAAACATTTTTCTTTCGGTATTTATAGTAGCTTGAGAACTAGTGTGACACAATGCAGAAGTTGCAGTTTAATATTAAAATCTGAGATATCCTAATTGAGATAACCATACTTGTTCTATTACTTACTGTTATTAGAAATACTATAAATAGTTTCGATCATCTGAATAGCAAGATTCAGTAGCTTTTTCTCCAAATTTAAAGTCGCATGTTCTATGAAAGTAACAAGATATCTCTAAGAACCATATGTGAGTTCACTGTGTCAGAAAATCAAAGATTCGCTCTCATAACCACACCGTTCTTCGTGCTTTCTTGTATTCATAGTAATAAAATTTACTGATAGAAAAAAAAATAATATGTACAAACATAAATCTATAATACTTGTAAAATGAAAAAGATCCGTATGGAACTAGAAAAATATTCCATTTACCGTAGATACAACTTACACATGAATTTATGTTTTTCCAATATATATTTTAACAATTGAAGTTTGTTACTCAAAAATATGAATTGAAATATATATGCTAGTTACAAAAAGCAATATTCTCAATAGGACGGAATATATTTTTCTTCTTATGGCACAATGAAATATAAATACTTTTTGCTGCCGTCAAAATGCAGTGTGATTTAAAAAATACTAATATTATAGCTTGTTACATGTGCTTATTTATATCAGCTACAAGACTCGTATTATTGACACAAGAGAATAGAACGAAGAAAAGCATTTATCAATGTCATTTGATATATTGAGTATTATTTATAGGGATATATAATAAATAGTTTGTTCGATTTCGAACCTTTTTTCTATATGTCTACACTTTTTCGAATCATTCTTCCCACGACAAAACAAATCTCATCGTTATTTTGATTTTTCTTAGAGGAGAACGGGAGGGGATGCTTTATTTTTCTTCGGAAGTGGGATATTTATAGGTTATTTTCTTCGAGGGAGTGTGTTGTTTTTTGTTGCATTGATAGAAACAATCGAGAGTGATCAGTAAATGTCAACAGGAATATTATTCTGATTTTTATTAGAGATTAAGATTATTTGAAATTAAACATCAGCAAACATACGATTATTACGCTCTTCAGCTGGTGACACGCACGTTTTGTTTATCAGAGATGTAATATTTCTATGTAGAAATTATTTCATCACTGTTTCTCATAATTATTTGCTCTTTTATTTTTGTATCTTACTGAACGACTCTGTGCGTCACTTTTTCTTCTAACGAAATCAAAACCAATTTCGTTGTGATGTAGATTATCAGGAGGTCTTCTAAAACTGTAAATTAGAATTGATTTTTAGTAATAATAAAAGCAGAATTCACTACTAATAACAGCAATACGCAAAATTCTTCCACGTTTTATTGTATTTGTAGACAAATTTTTCATTCTTTATTGTTATCAAACTCAAGAAACTACTATATAATCTATAGTTAACAGGTAGAGCATCTAAGATAAATATATGCGAAATAGATTGATCACTTCGTGTGAATTTTCTCGGCACTGAAAGACATAGCAGTGTTATATGGTTTATAACGTTTCCCTCTCTACTAATAAGATTGAATTAGTTATGAAAAGTACATGTAGTAATAAAAATAAGGAGTTCTGCGAGATCATTTGTTTTAATCTACGATTTAGTTTTCTCTTTTTCCAATATGAATCTATTGACGATCAAATTTTTAATAAAGCTTACTATGCAACTTTCTTTTCAGTTATTGGACTACATCGATTACAAAAACAAACCTTGCAATCATGATCTCGTCTAGAAAAAATATTTCTACAATACCAGCTAAAGGTTGGGCTGCTTATGATCCTGTAGGATCGTTCAGTTTATTTGAATTTGAACGACGTTCATTAAACGACAGCGATGTTCTAATTCGTATTTATTTCTGTGGTATATGCCATACTGATATTCACGAGGCACAAAATGATTGGAACGTAGCAAAATATCCAATGGTGCCTGGTCATGAAATAACCGGTATTGTTGAACAAGTTGGTTCAGATGTAAAGCGTTTTCAAATTGGAGATCCAGTTGGTGTCGGATGCTTAGTTGATTCGTGTCGCACGTGTTTGCCATGTCAATAGATGACTAATTTCGTCTCCTTATGTTTTTGGAATTTTTATTTTTCAGGTCAAACGAATCTTGAGCAACACTGTACTGCTGGTGCGACCTATACGTACAATGGTATTGAAATGGATCGAAAGATACCTACTTATGGAGGTTAATACTATTTACCTGTACATTCATACAGGAATCTTTTATTTTATAAACAATAATCTGAATATCTGAAATATTTACTGTTATTAAAGGATACTCGAATCTGATCGTAGTAACAGAACATTTCGTCTGCCTAATTCCAAAGAACTTACCTTTAGACGGGGCTGCTCCATTACTTTGTGCTGGTACTACAACTTATTCAGCATTACGTCGATACAATGTCATCAAAGATACGCATATTGGGTACATGTATAACATCAAATAGATATTTCAATGTACATGTTATTTGATTTAAAGGATAATTGGACTTGGGGGTCTTGGGCATATAGCATTGAAATTGGCTGTTGCTATGGGTGCGCATGTAACCGTCATTGCTTTGTCAGAATCACAACGAAATGATGCAATTAGACTTGGAGCCAAAGGATTCATTGTGTCAAATGATCAAGAAACATTAAAGAAAGCTGAAGGAACACTCAATTTTATTATTGACACAGTACCAGTACCACATAATGTTTCTGCTCTGCTTCAATTACTGGCATTTGAAGGAGTATTTTGCATGTAAAATTCTCTTATTTCCTTCTATGTATCGAATAAGGCATTTGATTTAGGATTGGTATATCGTCGAAACCAATTGAAATTGCTCCCCTTGACTTAGTTATGAAACGTCTAACAATCTGGGGATCTCTTATCAGCGGAATGAGAGAAACGCAAGAAATGTTGAATTTCTGTGGTCAAAATGAAATAACATGTGATATTGAACTGATTGAAGCGACACCAAATATGATTAAAACAGCTTTTGAGCGAATACTCAAAGGTGATGTCAAATATCGTTTTGTACTTGACATGAAAAATGCATTTAAATGATAAATAATCGCAAATGAAAACAATGACGTGCACGGTTTCCATGTACTTCGATTCTATATTGATCATATAAATTAAAGTACTTTTTCAATAAATTGATTATTATAAGTCTTTGTAAAACAGACCATGAAATATAGGTAAGATAACAAGTCTATTGCTTTCTTCAGCGAAAATCTATGAATTCAACAGCTTCCTGTTGAAGTCAATTGATGCCAGTGTTACCAAAAAGATGTGCGTGTGAATCTGAGTTCATCTTATGCTAACTGACAGTCACACTCTCGGTTTAGATATTTCTATCAGAATTCAGATTGGATTCGAACTGCGACATAGTAACATCTTGAGAAAACTATGACAAAATCTTGGCAGACCTTTCTAGATTTTCTCAATAAATGAACATGATTGAGAGTAGGGCTTGCTTCAACATATTTGCACCTACTTCCAGAAATTTCTTGATTTGTTACAGAGTACAATATTCGGAAAGTTTCAACCAGCAAGAACTATTGCATATCGAGATTATTAAAATTTTCAATAGATTGAATTTGTTTTGACAACTCTTCTTTAAAGAATTATTCTTTCAGAACTGAATATTCTCAATATGGAACATTATTTTTACGTAACACTTTGCAGAATTATGTTACTTTAAAATATTCGTGAAAAATTAAATAAAACGAGCGCAACTCGCTGGTAGAATCATTGAGGACGAAACTATTTCACGTTTTTTTGTCTAGTCTGATGAAAATACCTATTTATGAGTTGAATATGAGCGTAAACAGTAAATTACAGTTTGAATAATTTTCTGGTTAGCAAATCAATCAAGATAAATGTATAGTACAATCTTTTTCCAGTGTTCTTAGTTATTGAAAACTGTATAGACTTTTTCCTAACAAAGTTTGCATGACGTAGTGAATTACAACTTTCAAGGATTATCAACATACATTTGTCTCCAGTTATGGATAAATTTTCATGAACCATTGAGACATGACGCTAACCAATTGAATTAATCATTGTTAACAATTATTCTTGTATTTGTTATCTGCTCTTGATATATTTAGTTAGCTGGTATAGTGTGATAGCTTGCTACAGAAAACTTAGAGTTACAATATTTCTCGGGAACATAATGAAAAATTTTAATGTTATGATCAACTGAAATATGTTGGATCATTCATTCTTAGAATTCCAGAATCTCTCTAATATTAGCTCATCACTATAGCAGTAGGACTAAGAACAACCAGCAGTAGGATAATACTACCGTTACTATGAAACTAATTACCTGTGAATTTCAATAAGAATTTTCATTTATTTCAAAAGAAGACAACATTACTTGTACTTCTTATAGATAGCTAGTAAATTGAATACAGTATTTGGTTGAGTATTTTTTTTTATAACATAGAATAATCTGCTGTGTCACATACTTTCTTTCGTTCATTTCACAAACAGTACGTTGATATTTTTTTGTATAGATTTATCAATTCAACTAAATTTGAGACATTGAAAGCTAAAAACTAAGACAATATTGATATCATCAGTCCACAAGCAATCTAATTCTTGGTTTTTATTCAAGTTCGATACTTGGGATCGATTGTTCATTGATCGGGCCAATTAGACGATGATTAAAATGAATTCTTCATTTCCAAGACTGCCAGCATTCTTTTAATAAAACGGATTTTACTTGTCGACGATATCGTGATGAAGCCGTTCAAAATATATAAAAATTTGCCCAAAATAATAATTTATAGATTTAAATTCTTTTTCAAAATTTTATTTTTACTGCAAAATGAAGACCCAACGTTGAACCTATGAATGCTCAAAACTAAGCTTTCGACGGCTTTCCGACGAGTATCCGATGGATTACTTTTTGTATTAATTGTATAAATACGAAATATGAAAACAGGTTCAAGAAAAATAATCAAAAAAGTAACACGTACGGGAACAAACTTTATCAATTGATGATCAAGACGCCTTCGAAATATCGGCAATTGTCCTCGGACTATACGATGAACATTACGATAGGCTAAAATACTAATTGAACCCTAAACAGAAATTGGTAAAATGCCACATAGTATTGGATAAAAAATATGAACAATACTGGATTACTACTAGATTCAAAAGTAAACAATCAGCTGATGGAATAGCATTGTAAAAAACTCCAAATCCGATAGAATGAACAAATGAAAGGCATACTGATATAATTACTAAACATCGAGCTAAATTCAATGTACTTTTTAGTAGCAAAAAAACTGAATAACTTGTTGCAAAAAATTGATCAAATGTTGCAAAACATATTACAGAAAGTGACATCAACAAAAATATCTGTCCCATCATTGTTCGTAATTTACACCATATCGATGAATATTGAGCTACATTAGATCCATACAGATGTGTTAAAAATCGAGGTATGAAATTCTAAATCACACGACTGATATTCACAATAGATTCAATCAAAAAATAAAATATACATTGATTACGTGGAAAAGCTTCACGTTTGATAAAAATAAAAATATTTAACGCATTGCCTATCAATCCAATAACAAATATAGTAAAACTACTGTAAATAATGTGTTGATCAGAAATAGTCAATAACAATTGAACTGTCGATGTCGATACCATAAATGTTTCTATGAATACTGACACAGAGTTCTTTCATTTAATTTGTTCTTGTTCTTTGGATATATTCATTATGTTGATATCGCTAAATTAATTATACGAAAATAATGTCTTATATCTGTCAAATTAAAGTAATTATACCCGGTGCTGTATACTTAAAATTGTGCATGCAGAAAAGAAAAAGTAAGAATTAATTTACAAGATATTTATGTAACATCAATGTAGATCAATCAAGCAAAGCATCATAACAAGACTCATGGAAAAGTCATAGAATCATACACAAAAAAAAATCCTAAATCCTAATGAAGAATATAATTGGAAAGAAACCAGTGGTAATCATCAGATTTGATATAGAAAGTAATTAAAAGTTCTGTTGATGACACGTAGATGAGTTTTATAATTATGTTGTACACACTATGATTCATAATCAACTTTCATAGGAATTATAATAATTCCAGAATATTATAATGTATCATTGAAAATAATATGTAAACAACCTCACAGATAACTGAAGAATTTCCTTACGTTGTCAGGCATTATTAGAAGCAATGCTCTATAACGGAAGCAGAAAAAATTAGATTATAAGAACATTACATCAGTGCTTTAACCATTTCAAAACGTGTGAATGCGTTTATTTTTTTATTATCTTACATTATTCATGATAGTCTTTGAAATATCATTTAAATACTCTTCGTTGAATAGTTGTGGCTAGAAAACAGCGAATACGAGTATATGCTTAAAGTAAGAGTACCGATGCAATGTTGTCTCAATCGAAAATCGGCACTCACACTAGTTCACACTCTTTCAACAGACGATATATATGATGGAGTAATTTGAATTTGTGACAATCAAATTCTTTAAAAGAAGATTTATTTTTGACAAAACAGAACTGAAGAAGCTTCTTGATACCGGGGNGGGGTGGGGGGGAGATATCCTTCAGATGACACCAACTTGAGGATGTAAAGAGTATCCTATAGAGATAATTTATGGGGTTACCCTTGAAAAAATAACAAAATATGAGTATAAATGGGAACCTGGAGGAGGCGAAGAGGTAAGTACTTTATCGTTAATAAAGTTAGTATACTTCAAGTTTACATCAACTTTATCTTCGAACACCTCTTGTGTTAGAGGTATTTTTTAAAAGTCTAGTATGGATCTATCTCCTTTTGAATTAGCTCTATTGTGATTATTTTTGTTGATAATACTCAAATACTTCATTTTATGTCAGTCAGATTCAAACTTTGCATTATCATGAGCTATTTGATTTTTACTAATAGATAGGTCTTTATTGAAATAGTTCCAGCTCACTCGCTAGTGGTGAACTTAAATTTTAGATGAGTACTAGGCGGAATATTTTTGAGGACAATTTTAGCTCATACTGAAAGCATAAAATATTGTTTTTCCATTCTTAGGATATAGTCATGAAGGTACATTCATAATTCTATTGAGATACGGGTATCAATTTAAAGGTATATTCATAAACATATGATCTATGGAAGTAATGTACATAATTACATGATGATATAACTTATTATATGTATTATAATGCTTATAATTTCCAAAGACAATCGGACATAAAAAGATACTAAAAGAAAGATTATTAAAAAATTCAAACAATATTTTACTTCCAAATAAAGCATATAAAAAAATGGCGCCAAGTATTTTTCACTGATTAAATATGGATATTCAGTATGTTTACACAAAAAAAAGAAATCAACTCGGGCGACCAACAAATTTTACTGATCGATCTGCAGACACTCTTGCAGAAATCATTCCAAATTTAAATCTATTACAGGAATTTATTTATCGTGATCCAGTTGAAATAGGTACACAAAATACAATTCAATTATCTGAACACGAAGTATGACAAATTCTACTTCAACAAAATAAATCCTTTTCTATTGTATATATTTTTTCCTCTATTTACAGGTCAATAGTATTCGGTATAGTACTGAATCCAAAGGAATAAATCATACTGAAGGTGGATGGCCAAAAGATGTGAACATACAAGAACAAGATCAAATAAATCGTTTTAGAAAAAAAATAGAAAAAGATGAATTTTATCTTAACTCACTTTATCGACTTATTCGTGTACATTTTATTTATATATGCAATTTGTGTTTGAAAATTATAATTTTTTTTCTTTCAAGGATCTTGAAATGGATATTAAACAAAATAATGCCATTGACATTCATCAAACGTATTTTCAAAAGAAATTTGATGACTATGACGAACCTTTCACTGTTAAAACAGCTAATTTATATAGTTACAATTCAAATATAAATCAAATGGTGAATCATATATCTTGGCAACCAGATGGACAACGAAAAATTGCTGTTTCCTATTGTAATTTTGATTATAGTCCTGCCATCATGAGTAAAATTGATTCACTTGTTTGGGATATTCGTAAAAATAATATAGAATATTTGATTAGCATTTGGGGTTCTTTTTTTTTGTTAAGAATATCCAAATAAACCTGAGCTTATTTTAAAACCAAATTCTTCATTAAGTTCAGTTGAATTCAATCAGAAAGATGCACAGCAAATACTGGCTGGTTGTCTTAATGGACAAGTTTGTAAGATGATCTTTGATAATTTTCTATTGATTGTATTTTATGTGAAAGGTATATTTGATTTACGTAAAGGAAATACTCCAGTTGAACAATCATCAATTGAATTTAGTCATAGAGAAACAGTTCGTAACGCATTATGGCTTCAGTCAAAAACGGGCACCGAGTTTTTTTCTGCTGCTGTGGATGGAAATATATATTGGTGGGATACAAAAAAGATGAACAAGCCCGTCGATAAACTTGTATTTGATTTGGAGAAAAAGGAAAGGTCGCAGTACGCATCAGCTATAACAAAACTTGAATATGATTCACGTATTGTAAGAAAGACAATTATAGTTTTATTGATATTCTTATTAAGTTTCTCTAGCCAACTAAATTTATGGTAGGAACAGAAGCAGGTCGTATAATTCTATGTGCACATAAAGCAAAAACAGATGGAGAACGTATTAATGTTATTTATCCTGGTCATTCCGGACCAATTTATTCTATTCAACGACATCCTTTTTTTCATAAAATATTTTTGTCCATTGGCGATTGGACTCTACGTATTTGGTCAGAAGAAATACGAGATGATTATATTTTTTGTACGAAGTGAGTAGTTCACTCGATTGAACCAAAAATAAAACATTCAAATTTCTTAGGCCAAACAAATATTATTTAACTGATGCACAATGGTGTCCAGGAAGACCTGGTGTTTTCGTTTCATCAACAACGGAAGGTATTCAAATAATAGACTATACTATACCGTATTCAGAATGAAAGTAATACTTTATGCGTTTGAATATGTGAAAAGATAAAATATACGTTAATTTGTCCTCTAAAATCAGGATAATATTTTCTAACCGGATATCGTGAGTTCTATACCGAGTATAGGAGTTACGTTTCTCTTGAAACTTCAACGTTTCTTTTGAAAATATTTTATACAAAAAACGCTTCAAGAAGACGAACAAGAGACTACTATGATTCCCAAGATGCGTTATTCTTTTCATTGTTAGAAATCTAAATCTAAGACAATTAATTTCAAAATGCATCTCTACGATCCCTACTTTTGACTGACAATTTTCAATAGAAAATTTACTTATTGGCTGTTTAATATTTAATACAGGATCGATTCATATTTGGGATTTACTATTCAAAACTGACCAACCAGCATTAACTGTCAAAGTAAATATGCATATTAATTATTTCTATTTTTATTTATTTTTACTTTCGTAAAACTTGATTAGTTAAGTGAAGAGCCGATTAGTTGTTTAAGTTTTCAAGAACAAGGCCGTTATATGGCATTGGGTACGAAGAATGGAAATGTTACTCTAATGGAATTATCTGACAGTCTTTGTACTCTAGATCGCAATGAAAAACAACTTGTTGCTACAGTAAATATTGTTCATTTAAATTATTTCATAACATGCAAAGGCAATCAAAACGAATCTTTCATATAAACTGACAACTTTGTTTTTCTTATATTTTACGGGTGTGGGTCAAAGTATTGACAAGATGTTTCCATACAAGTACAGTTCATGTTTGGTTAACTATCACTTCTTTTTTACTGCTGAGAATTTATTATAATAAATAAAAGTTACACAAAGATATAGTGTGTTCATAGCTTCGACGAGAAATTAAATCAACACTTTCGACAAATAATAGTCATACACTATGCAGTACAAAATGCTTTAAGTCGTGCCGAGTTATGATGAAATATTGCTCATTTTTACAATTGAAATAGATGTTATATATTGAGATGAAAAGTTGACCACAGATTTAGGAAATAGAAATTTTAGGGAATTTCGCATATTTTCTTCTTATCTAAAAGAGTATAACGGTAGAAATCTATGCCGCCTTATTGATATGAAATATAGACTATGAATTGTATCTTGTTTATAAAAAAAAGCACGCCTGATTACGTTGAGACTTGTGTACAATGGAGAAAGACGAAAGCTGTCCATTGAATGTCTAGTTGATCAATTTTGATTTTTAAATATAGATGTTCGATCGAGAAACACGACGAACTCATTTGCTTGAAACAAGATCACGTTTTAAACACGATACACAAACTCGAACTATAACTGAACGTTCCGAAGAAGAATTAAATGAAGAACATAGACAATCAACTGAACAATATTGGTCAATAATAAATAAAGAGAAAAAGAAACTTCAAGACTATTTCAAACAATTTGAACAAGAATTAAATTAAGAAGAATATTTTATTTCATTTTCTTGATGTCTTAAATAAACTCTTGATAAAATATGTTTGAAATAAAAAACAACTAACAATTACAACTATATGAATTGAAGCCCAACGATTTATCCAAAATAAATTTGCTTCAATCAGGTAAGAATCTTTTTGGTTCGTCATGTCACGTTCCATTTGATATTCGCGTAAAATAATTATATGATGAGTAATTGAGTCGAGCACATTCTAAAAACAATCAACTAGTAAATATTTAAAAATCTTGAATGAATAAATATTTACATGAAAATCAATCGATGTATTATAGAAATGTTCACTTTCTTTAATTTTGGCTAAAGCTTTCTCAACATGATAAATATGAAAGTATACAGATATATACTTAACATAGGTATCTGGATTTTCATGACCCATACAAATATCAATTAATGCTAGATGAAAAACATTTATCATATAAAATTAAACAAAAATCGCAAAGAAATAAAATAACATTTTTCATGTTATTTGAGTTCTCTATTTGTTCGATGTATTTCTCGCTCAAATATGAAAACATTGAACCGAATTTATTCTTTCAAATCTTGATTACTGATGTGAGTGGCAAGGTCTATAATAGGCGGTCTGTCATGATGATTATAATTTTTCATAGCGCCATAATTTTCTAGTATTAATCTATAACATTATTCGCATGATATTCTTACATAAACCACGTAGTTACAAAGTTACCAAATTATGGAAAGCTACGGTTAAGAGATCTGAATTTTGTTGAAAGTACAATCATTCTTTAACAGTTATTATAAAATAAAGACAGATATTTTAAAATTCTGAAATCTTGTACACGAACTTGCCTATATGAGAGATTTATGTCCGTTTAGCTATCGATGAATACACAATAGATATGTTTTTATTAGAAATCATGACTATCATGGGGAAAATCATTTGAAAATTGAATATTTTGATTGGTCAAAAAGTCTGAGAAAATAAGCTATTTGCAAGATTTTGTTTTGATATCATTAATATAATATTGATGTTTAAAAGATCGACTCAAACTGGCTTTAATATCTCGACAAGTTTCTTCGTTATTCTTACTTGTTTCATTTGTTGTAAGTTCTAAATGACCACGTTGCGTTTTCGATACGGCAACAATACTTCTAGTATATGCATTTCGAAAATACGCAATAATACTATCCTGATGTGTATCAACATTTAAAATATCATACATAAAATATAATCTTGAACCTTCTTCTAATAATTCATGATAACATTCTTCCAGGTTAGGATCTAGCCAAAATTTAAAACCCATTTCTTTTTAGAGCAACATTTTTATTAATTTGATTTCTATTCAATGATCATACCTTTGACATGTTCATAATTGGCAATTACACTAGAAACTAGAATACAATTGAATAGGCGCAACCAAAAATGCATTACCATTTGTATTTGTTTAGTGTTGATAATTTAAATTTAATCAAGAGGAAAAAACAATGTATCAGAAAAATGAATCGATTCTTCTGCGTGTGTGTATCATACATTGAAAATCGATGGGAAAAAATACAGCAATCAATAATATATTTACTTAAGGATTCTCATAAAATCAAATATCACTTTTAGTACGAATAGATAAAGAAACTGATACAGACCATAGTGAATATACACGAACATCAATACTTGTAAAATATGTTTTTTCACTTTTTCAATGAAAACAAAGTCTTAACACATTTATACTGAATAACAGGCGTATTAGAATTTATTGAAATCATCAATAAGTGATTCGATTAAACAGAAGAAATTTGGTCTATGTAAAAGGCTAAATTTTCTATGAATGAAATATTATGTTAAATTAAGATTTTCATGATATATTTATAACAAGTTATCAAAGTAATCATCATCGTAAATGTATGTTTGTTTAATTAATCATCGAATAATATTATAAGAATTCTATGTGTTCTGTGCAATAGTAAAGTCTATTGTATAATGCAGAAAAACTGATGAATCAAGAAAACGAAATAATTTATTTCTATCAGAGATGTGAAATATATTGTTCACAACATATTATTATACAAAAAGCAACAAATTGTATGGAAATTTTCATCGAAAATTCTAATGGGTTTAATTATTTTACAAAAATCTATCAATATTTTTAGAAAGATAAATAAATTCCTAATAAATTGAAAACTATACAGTATTAAGGTCATAAAAAAGAATTCTTAATATTGAATTAGAGCAAAGTTTTGAATATGTTATGAGAGGAATGGTAGCTAAAAATTTGTCGTAAAGTCGAAGATTTTTTTAAAGAGTTTTACTGTCAATATTTGATTACTGCATGAGATGAACCTATATATGATCTTAGATATTACGATATGCTGTCACGTTATGAATAGACGATAAATTGATATGACAGCGAATGAATATAACTATTTTAAAAGAGAGCGTTGTATGATTGAAAGGAAAGTATCTAACGAAAATGACAAAGTGTAAAAATATACATATACGTAGATAACAGGTACCAAAACAGAACACCAGTGATGGTTATACTGCCGTTTCCCTCTAAATCATCATTTCTAGGTGCATAAGTAAATATATTACGTAAGTTTAGTCAGTAACTCAACACATATCTGGTATTTTATGAGGTGACTATAACTCTAGGCATAATGATATTTAATAAATAAGTAAATAATAATTTATGATAGCATCATCGTATTTTTATGTTGCTCTTGCTATTCTTCGTTATCTTTTGTCTAATTTATATTATTACATCGATCAGCATGCATTTCAATTTTTAAGCTCATTCATTATCAAAAACAGAAAAGACAATCAATGTTGATGTCATATGAACACAAACATGTTTTTAGTGGTCAATAGCATTAATGAACGAATATATAATGATAGAAATCCAAGGGGGAAAACGCGGATTCAGGATTCCCAGGATTCTCGGATTTCCATGGGATTCCGAGATTCCTATGGAATTCTCGGGATTCCCGTGTTATTCTGGGAATCCGAGAATCCCAGGAATCCCATGAATTCTCGGAATGTTTATAATAGCAAATGACATTCCAGAAATTCATATTTAACCTCTACGATCATCACTCTAGTCCTGAAAATCTGATAGAACTCAGTGTCAAGCTTTCATTGCTTTATCAAATGGCTTGAAAAGCTGCACACAACTATTGAGGAAAATCATTTCCTAAGCGAACTTTTTTTTCATATGCTTGACCTGTTCAGATATCAAGATTTGTCCAGAGCACATGCCGCTCTTGCTCCTAATCCTCATGTATTTCATGCGCATACCCCAATGTAGTTCACTAGGGTTATCTATTTTAAAATTCTAGCCACTTAACCTAGTTAGATGAGTATCAAGTCCATTTTGACAACACGACAGTTTACTGTCTTATTTTTAAGAGAAAATGTTCGAGGTAGAATAACAAAAAGCAGCAAGCAATATGATAAATCAATGAGATACAAGAAACATGTCGAATCTAATGAATCTATGGTATCTTATATGTAACCTTTTATTTATTCAGTGATCTAACAGTTGAACATACTTAAAGCAGTCAGGTAGCAGCACAAACTTTCTGTCTACTAAAAGATAAGCGGCTCTCTATCTATGACTGTATTGCTTTTGGCATTAATTTTGACACAAAAGAAAAATAGTTTGAAAATGAAGAAAAAAATTGGTTAGGAGACTCTTATTGGATGAAATTGAGGTTTATCGTTAGTTCGTACAGAAGACGAATTATAAATTTTGTCTTAGGATCAGCTATATTTCTCTGATTTAGATATTAAACGCAACATTAGATTTTAAGTACTAATTTGAGTCTTGGTCCAATTAGTTGTTATGATTTTTGTCAGATTAGACAATAAGGATTTTTTTACACTAGATTCGTATAACTGATCTACTTTGTTTTATCACAAATTTTCTTGCTTTCTTCTAAACAAAATTAAAACCAAATCTGGAAAGAAGATTATATACTAGATTATACACTTGCCAAGTAGTCTTTTTAAAATTATCACAAAGGAGAAGATCATGAGTAGGGATGCACCAGTCCCAGTCCAACTGGTAGACTGGTACCAGTCTTTTTGACCTACGTGCGTTGCAGCTACAAATGACTACCAGTTTTGAGGGCTCTGGTAACTCGAACCTCCAAAACTGGTACATGTTCGTACAAGCAATGCTGGTGGACCAAAAAGACGGGTACCAGTCTCCCAGTCCGACTGGGACTGGTGCATCCCTAATCATGAGATCATTGTGAAGCTAATTGTTTCGAAACCATTTTTTTCTTATCTTGTGTGACATTTTTGAAAACTTTAATGAAAAGTTCAACGCACTGTATTTGGATAGGAACAAAACAGATTCTACATGCACTAGAATACCTGAACTTCGCCCGAATATTCAAGATCTTCATCGAGTTCCTCATATCTATCCCTTTTGTTATCTAGCTGTCTGCCTTTTTCTCGAAGACGTAATTATTGGCTCTAAGCTTGCTTTGAATTGTGAAAGTCGAGAGATATTTATTCTTCCACAGAAGAAATTAGAATACCTTTTTGGAGATAATTAGAGTATAATTAAAAACTTGAGAATAAGCTTCTTCGAAAGCAGGGCTGTTGCATGATACCCATGAAAAAATCAGTCGGTTTTAAGTACTCTATATGATAATGAGATTTCTACAAGGGGGAAAGGCGGATTCTCAGGATTCCGAATCCCACAAAAGTCTCGGGAATCCAAAGAATCCCATGAAAAATTCCAAAATCCAGAAAATATAATTTATATTCTGGACTAATGAAAGCATAAACTTCGGATTTCATCCGAGAGTTATGTGTACTGCAAAAAGTGCATGGGACATATGAGTCATTCTAGAATGCCTGAACACCAAAATCGTCATGAGAAACTAGGCAATTTGATTTCTGGATGCAGTTTTTGTGCATTTTGAGACGTTTTTCAGACGATGTTTCATTAGAAAGCTACAATTTAGTTCAAAACTAATATCATATTCGGAATCAGCGTTAAAAACTGAGTCGATTTATATATGTTGTAAATAATTTCGAGAAAAATCTGTTTTTTGAAAAAAAATCCCTGTACTACTTACTACTCAGGGATGGCCTGGTCAAAAATGACAATTTTTTCGATAACTCAACCATTTCTTGAAGGATCTTTCTCATCTTCGAACTCGACTGAGGCTTTGATGAGGCTGAACTGTGTAGAAAATTTCATCATGATCTAACTCTCCTTTCGAAAGTTATCGTGAAAACAGACGGCCGGACGGACACACTGACTGATTCTAGAGTGTACTCACTTTTTGAGTACACAACAAGTAATGTTTAGCACTGAAATTGAATGAGGGTGTCGATTGTCAAGTCTTCAATAATCCTTGTGAATATTCAAACACAATATTATCCTTATTTATCATAAGATCACTATACTTCATGCATATCTTCAACTTCCTGTAATTTTTTGTTATTTTGTCCTTACAACTATGTCATGAGGATAAAAGTACCTACAAACGTTTTCAATTGTTTGAGAACTTGTCGTTTCATATTAATTCAATAAAATTTACGTTAGACACAGATAGGAAAACGAAACAATCGATTAAAATCTGTGAGACGTATTTATTTCCACTGTTTGAAATACTTTGAAAAATGATGTATGAACAAGAATAACTAATGTCCTTCACAAAGTTTTCACTTCACACGTTAATTGGCATCATCTCCCTTTAAAATCAGGTTTTCCATAATTCTAGTTTTTTCGCTACTCGTTGTACATACAATTTCAAGACGAAGCAACTCAAAAGTTATCACTAAAAATTTCTGCAACGAAGAAAACCATCGCAAGAAAAATAAATATTTTTTATCCAATGAATTGATTCGAAAAATTATTTTATTCATTTTATACAGAAGATTCTTTTCAGTTTTCTGCTTTTATTGAATAGTAGCTTTTTATTTTACTACGCATCTACTGATCGTTCCATGATGAATATGATGTATTCACTATGTTTGATGTATATGTGACAGTAGAGTTTAGAATCTAGTGGAGATTGGAATTGTTGATTATTATATAAATGTTATGAGAAATTGATTCATAGAAATAATATTTTGTTAGTGAGTAATATGAGATAGTTTGATTGAGTATGTAGATTCAAAAAAGACGTTTTTATTTCCAAGATTAATTGTGTCTATCTTTCATGATCGAACAGAGAAAAATGACAAACATTCTGAAAAGATGTTTTATTTAATACTCGGGACATTGGGGCATAGGGACCAAAGACCGAAACGAATGACAAAAGTGCCATTCGACTCGATTCGGCTTTTAGGAACTCGATTCGAATTCGATTCGGATTTTCTGGTTTTTCAAAATTGTAATTCGATTCGATTCGACTCAAATTGGGTTTACAGAACATGGTATTCACTATTACATAGTATTGTTGATTTCAGACTGTCATCTTCTTAGATTGAAAATAGCCAGTCGATCTTCTATAGAAATATGTTGAATATATATAATTTATGAATATATGCATAAAAATTATTCATTTTTTTAAGAAAGGACACATAAAATATAAATTAATGAACACATCTTACGTTAGTAGACCAATTAAATAAGTTTATTTTCTATAGAACTAAGAAAATAATGTCATTTACTGTATATGGATTTATATTTACAGTGTGACCGTGGCCATACTTAATAAATAAAGAGGTTGATATTAAGACCCCAATCGCACTGGAAATGTGAATAAAGTTAAAGTCGTATTAAGCAATCTAATTGATACATTAAGAGTTAAATCACCTCTGAAAGATTACTTAACTCTTAATGCACCAATTGTGCCGATATTGATGGCACGCTTCGATGATTCTTCTTCCTTCTCTTTCTGTTCTCTTTCCATTATTCTAATGTATCTCTCTCCTGTCTCTCTCCTATATATACGTGCGTTATGTATGAAGTTGTGACGAACATAGAGAGTGTCACCTATGCCCGTCGGCATGATGGTGTATTGTGTCATCTGCACATCTCTAGCCGTCACAACGTCATACATAACGCACGTATATATAGGAGAGAGATAGGAGAGAGATAGGAGAGAGATACATTAGAGCAATGGAAAGAGAACAGAAAGAGAAGGAAGAAGAATCATCGAAGCGTGCCATCAATATCGGCACACCAATCACATGGCTTAATTCAACTATAATGTTAATTTACTTCTCAGTGTAATTGGGGCGTAAATTGACTAAAGAAACAAAAAAAGGAAAGAAAGATGGAACGTTTGTTGTAACTGAGCATCTCTTATACCAACCAAAATGCACTTGACCATGATAACGATATGAACAGAACAAGGATGACCATTAAATAAGCACGACTGACAGAAACAAAGAAAGAGAAACAGTGGACGTCCTTTTCATGTGTCATCTCTTACACTAGTCAACTGCCCTCGATCATAACACCAAAACAAAGAAAATGGTTTTGAATAGCTGAATGAAACTGAAACAAAAAGAATCGATTCGATTCGACCTCAAAATAAATTGAATCGCTTCGATTTCGGCTTTTTTTCAATTTTTTTTATTCGTTCGATTCGATTCGATTTCGGTCTCTGATAGTGTTACAGTGCGTTCTACTGTAACGTATATCTCGATTCTATCTATTCTCTTTTCTTCCCTTTTCCTTTCTCTCTCTCCGTTTTCCTCTATTTTCTGGTTTCTGCTTTCGTGTGCGTATATAATCATGTGTTTTCTAAAAGAATAAACAGAGAGATAATAAAACACACACTGTAACGAACAACTTGATTAGAGTAGCTTGTGCCACTCTCGGCAAAGATGTTTATTAGGCTACTTCAAGTTATCCAGAGTGTAACGACAAAACTAGAGAGTGTCGCCTATGCCCGTCGACATGATGGTGTATTGTGTCATCTGACATCTCCAGAGTGTAACAACTTCATACATAACACACGTATATATAGGAGAGAGATACATTAGAACAATGGAAAGAGAACAGAAAGAGAAGGAAGGAGAATCATCGAAGCGTGTCATCAATATCGGCACACACGTTTAAAGTGTTCGTCGCTCTTCGTGAGCGAGAACGCTAACAGATAGGGACATTGATTTTTTTTTCTTTCGTTCTGTATTCGAAGAAAAGAAAGAAAGAGATATTCATTGTTTCGAAGAAACGAAAAGATTTTCGCTTTATTTATTTCAATGCTCACGTCTCGAGCAGGTGGGATGGTAATGGAACGAGTCTTTGTATCGAATGATATGGAAGGAAAGTAATTTTTTTAAATTTTTAATGATACTAATAAAGAATTTTCTTACGAGTAGTCGATTTGATGTGTTATTATGTACAATCGCTCTTCGTTAAAAGAAAATAAACTAATATGAAAGAAACTTCGTAATTTATGTCTAATCATTGTCTGTTTCACAGTGACGAGTATCAATTATTAAAACTTAAATTAATAAAGAAATGATGACAAGAAATTTAGATATTAATAGATTCTACTAAATTTTTAAGATGTAAAACTCGGATAAATAAGTATTTATTTGATGATGTGACATTATTATCATAGCCAACGAAGTACTTTATTTCCTTTTCATATTAAAGTATCAGTTCAACAAGATACATTAATTACTATATGACTCATACAAGTGATATGAGAGCGCGTTGAGATAAATGAAAAATAAGAAATAAAATATTTTTTTTGCTCTGGTCACCAATTTGAAAAAGAAATCTAAATTATGATCAATTAGAAAATAGTTTGCTAAATCTAACTCATAGAAAAAAATATCCATATCGTTTATATAATTTTACGTGTATTTGCATTTTGATTTTCGAAATTTTCTTTTCTTTTCTTTTTTCGCTTTCTTTTGTGTCGATTTGATCTATGTTTAATTAAATATTTTTCCAATCTCAACTAAATTCTCATGTCAACTGCAACATATATAAGTATATATGCACATCTATACGTTTATATGTATATAAGTATATCATGCATATCTATATATTTATATGTATTATAAGTATATATGGTGACCACACACATCGTCGCATGACATTTCGCCACGCTCATATCATCACAGATAAATTTCTTTCGCTATGCTCAGCTCTATCCATTCATTGCATACTCTTAATTAATTCCTTTTTTTATTGAACGATAAAAAATTGATGAGTTAACATTTGTTTATTTTGCGAATAATACATAACATGATAATGAACTAATTGAGAAAAAAAGAAGAAGAAAAGAAAATGATCTAAAGAAAAACAATAATTTAAAGAAAAAAATATCTAAAGAGTAATGTTAGCTGCCATATTTTTAAAAAATTAATCCAGTTGAGTTGGGTCAAATGAGTTGACCAGTCGAGTAATATGCTCATACAATTTTCGATAGCAGGGTTTCTTCGTCTTGACATCGTGGTCTTGAAGAATCTTCGTCATGTCCACTTCAAATTTTGATTGTTCACGACGAATTTTCTCTCCCAGCTTCACGATAGTTGGATGACTTATTGTGACGCAATTAGCGAAAACATCGTGCGAGCCTTCAACCAAATTATTGGGTCGAGGTACAGTAGCGACGACACGATCATGAATATTCCATAATTTATGATCGAACTGAGGCTTCTTTCGACCAGTTCCTAAGAAAGACAAGTATATTTGAAATTTCTTAAAAATAGAGAAAAAAACTTACCTCTTATTTTCGGTTCATCAATGCATGTTTTTTCAAAATACTCGAGTAAATCGTCGGCGTCATCGTCGAATTGATCACAAATTAAGACGTAGCCGGTTATAATTTGATCTAGTGGAACGAAAGCAAGAGCAATTAGTTGTTTTACATTTAAACGAAAAAACTCATTCGCACTATATTTGGTTGTTAGTCCTTTGCTTTGAACTTCTCGCCATACCACTTGTGAAAAATGAAAGAGGCATCCTATTAAAAAAACTTTTCAATTGCTTTTTTTCACAAACTAGAACGTACCTTAGTGTAAAATATTTAGCAACATATCTTTGACTGATTTAATTGTGCCAGTTTCGAAATCAGTCATAATTGATTCAGGTTGAAAATTGTCTTGTTCTAATACTTTTTCGAAGAATAAATTATAATCTTCAGCGCTTTTTAGCAATTAATAACCCATAGAGGAGAAGAATAATTGCATGGGCCATCATTGCATGTAATGTGAAGAGTTGGTCATAATCGTCGGAACACACCTACATGAAAGAAAATTGGAAAAGAAAAGGATAAAAGCTTTATTCGAAAAGACAAATCCCATCATATTTTGGGGTTGCCACCTCTGCTACGTTTATTTATATGGCGCAATCTGGCGTCGTTGAGGCACGTTGTTAAAATATAGGAATATATAGGAATTAAAAGTATCATTTATATAAGATCCTATATTCGTATATAGTACATATATAGGACACTGATTCAGGCTAAGTTTTAGGACCTTTAACTTGAATAATTAAATCTTATATTAAGTATGTACAAGTGAACATCAATAAAGCTAGTAGGAAAAAACTGAAACCGCTTATAACCTAGAGAGTAATAAAACTAATAGAACAAAAACTTTATCGAAAATTAAACAAAAACTGAAAAATCATTATTGGTAATCTATGACTAAAACTGTTCTTCAATGATTATTCTTTTGTTTCATCTGGAATTCAATATCTCATCAAAGTCCGATTTCACTTCGATTCTGTAATAAAAAAGGTGAGTGTTTGACTTGAGAATCTTTAATAAAACAAAAAATAAACAATCACATCACAGCTTAACCATGTTGACAACTAAGAGGAACGAGCAGTATATGCATATTTGTTAGCGCCCAATCCCGGTTTCCACTTTGAAATAGTCCGATGTTAGACTGTCGGAAAATTTTCGTTAAAACTTCCATTAGTCCTAAGATATAGATTAAATTGGAACCCTTACTGGTAAAATGTGTTGAGACAATGGTGTTGCAAGTATTGCAATCATCTATGAAAGAACTAAGTATCGGCTGAAATACTAATAGGTAATTTTCTATAAAAGTTGCTCTTCTATGGAAAATGTTTTATAACTTCCTGAATCCTCCTTCAACTCTTTAATCGACAACAGTATTATCTGAAATCCCATTTTGTCTGCATAGTTTTCCAAGAAAAACTAATCCAACCACTATCTAGGGGCTAGTGACGGTTTTAACGAAATATTTTCCAACAGTTTGATATGGAACTTGTTCAAAGTGAGAATCCGAGATTAACCCAGGCAGATCTTGGAGTGGACTGAATCTCAGATTGAACGCTGACATATTTTTGTGACTAACATCTATGCGCTTGGTTATATAAAGGTATTCAGATTCTTAAAAGTTGTACATAAGTCGTTATTTAAAGCAAAATATGAATTTATTCAGAAGAATCTGCATTTTTTCGAATAATAATGTAATATAGGATGACTCTGATGTCCGGTTATAATGAAGAGAACTGAAAAACTGAGGCAATAGTAGAATCAGCAATCGTGTTTGCATGGCTCATAGGAAAACATTTTATCTTATTTACATGAAATAACATGCAAACTTAACTAATCATAGAATTATGTAATTTGTAAGCACAAAAGTTAGTTGTATCAGAGGATATATCTTCTGTTTTATTATAGTCATTCTCTTCATTTTATTCAGTGCCATACAGTCATAATAATTAATTAAGATTTAAAAAAAATGCTGACTAAACAATTATAATCTGAATAAAGTTTAGTTTTATACTGATATCTGAATATCGAGCTGCTCCTTTTTTTTCAAATGTATATATCTCAATGGTCCTATGGGTGCAGTAGAAGATTACTGTATAATTCATAATAATCAAGGCATACTTTCACGTTTATATAAATACTAACTATATAAAGAATATTGTCTTTTTCAACATAGTAACAGTGCTAAATTCTAGATTTTAAAGACTGTTTTATCAAAACGAACTGCTAGATCGATATTCCAATAGCTGACGAGAAAATAAAAAAGCCAAATGTTGTGTTCCCCACAAAAAATTCTACAGAAGAAATAACTTTATCTATTTTACTGATCTTTCACTAAATTCTCGAGATAAAAACAAGGAATAAATATGTTCTGTCACTTAAGTTGAAGATGTGGGTATCATCTGCTCGTCAGACGCGCACCCACAATAACACCCTACATACTTAAGTAAAGGCTCTTTTTAGAACCAATTTTTAATCCTAAATAAATGATTTTTGTATTTTTTTCTAGCTTTTCTCTTTTCAATTAAAACTTAGAAATTCTGTCTACAAATAAAAGCACAAGACAGCAGCTTTTTTTATGACAAAACTCAAGTAAATGTTCCGATGCGGCTTATCACCTGAAACTCGTAAATTTATCTCATACTCCATTGTGAGAAGCTAGATTATGATAGAAAATCAACTTCAACGGAGCCTCACTCAATTTCATAAATTTCCACCCCTCTCCCTCCTGAAATATCATAACACAGCGATTTCCTTTCATTCTCTTCTTTATTGTAGAGAATTCCTAAAATATTTTGAAAAGTTCTCATGTACATGGATAGTCTCAAAACAACATAAATAAGTGAATGTCTTAATGGCTCTTCCCCTACCTGCTGAAAGATGGTAATATCTTTTCTTAATAATCTAATATTACAAAATGTCAAATGCAAAAGTTCGAGTTATGAGCATATTGTGTGATGACCAGTCTACTTCATCTATCGCATTTTGATTTGTAAATTTTTACAATATGAATCTTATTAATGTCTTTTGTTCTTATAATTTCTTAAAAACATAATTTATACCAATGAATAGCACTGGATCCCAATAGATCCCAATGGATCCCAATGGATCCAGACAGATCCCAATGGATCCCAATGGATCCAGACAGATCCCAATGGATCCCATTGGATCCCGGGGTCCACTTTTCCCCGCTTGCATCAAAGTCGATTTTTGCAAAATTACCGATTTTAGGCTGCGTGGGTGTCGAAAAATATGGGATCATTTACGCGCTGAATATTTGCCCAAAAAGATCCACCCTTCGTCTACAACGTGGAGTAAAAACCACCGTGGGATCTCTATGGGTGGTCCAGGACAAAAGTTACCTTTGGGAACATTAATAAGCTGATTAATGAGGTCGGTAATTCTCTATTCAGAATTGCAATCTTCGACCCAGATTCGTCTAAATTTGCATATCTAGGTAACTTTTGATGGAGAATACGATAGCAACCATCTCGAGATGCTAAGTCAAAGTTGGTCGTCCCAGTACCCAAAATGCGCTCCTAAGGACCTGAAAGAGTGCCCAATCTCATGGTTAACGGGAAGATATGATCACCCAACTACGGCCACTATCACTGATATTTTTGAATGAAGTTTGTCGCACTCATTCCGAATATCGCTTTGTTTTGATCATCTAGCCTTGTGATAATGGACAAAAATCGCCATATGCTAGTCAAATTTTTACAGTTTTCTGTCGAGAAAACTAGTCTTCTCTTGAAAAAAACGAGAATACAGGGTTCTCTGGAGATTCACTTGGGTGGCTTTGCAGACCCAAGCGACTTGTAGTTGCACAGAAAAAAACGGCGCCGAGGTCAGGTATAATAGTAGAGAACTGTGTTCCACAAGGACCCACTCATGCTCGAACAAACGAGTTCTGGCAGTGTGGCCCTGGAAAAAGTGAGAGCTTCGGGTATTTCGGACATTCACCTGGCTGCTTTTGTGAACTTAAGTTACTTCGAGTTGGACACAAAGATAGGCCTGGGGGTGACGTCTAACTGGAGAGAACTGTGTTCCATAGGTGCTCTAAGCGCGGCTCAACTATAGAATTTTGGGCGTGTGGTCCTGGGCAAAGAGCAGCGCGGGCGTTTTTGGAAATTCACCGGGGTGGTTTTGTAGGCACAAGAGACTTGTAGCTGCACAGAAGAAGCAGCCCCGTCGCCAGGTGAAATGGATCGATGAAAATCAAATATACGTTCATAGGATTCATGTAATAAAGTAAAAGTCGAAAGTGAGGAAAATAGTGATTTTGTCCTATCTATCATAAATGTTTGTCTATTTCCCCTGTTTACTCCTTAGAGTAAAATTAATGCAGTCAACATTTTCTCTTCTTCGTTCTTCTTGGTCCTTCTCTCTAAATATATCCTAACAAAGTGGAGTACTTAGTAGAAGGAGTCAAAATAAATACGTTGTAATTTGATTATTCGGATATATGTGGTCTAGAATTTTTTGGGAAATGATGACCTTTTTCCTGCAGGACTTCTTGTCGCATATTGTGTCCTGTTCAGAAGGAGGACAGGTCGAAGAAGTCATGTTTTGTGCTGACACGCAGTAGGGCGGCGGAACCGTGTATCAGGATAAGAGAGGGCGGAGAAAGCTTCACTGCGCTCGTCTCTCCACAGAAACGATATATCTGAGTTTTCCTGGCCATGTTGTCGACGTATCGATCGATCGCAAAGCTAGGCCATTTATATTTTCATTTCTGGTATCGTTTTTCTTCGGTTCTGGGAAATCTAATTTTTGGAAGCAAGGACTTTGCCGACGATTAAAATCATACGGACTTCTGTTCAGAATCATGAATATACTGTTATGATACCGCCATCTTGTTAACTTTTTGAGATGTGTCTACATCAGAAGGGCTTCTCTTGTATTAGAATTGGTGCATCCATAGTCTTAACCCTTTCAATCCCGACTCTTCTTTCGTTCTTCGCGAATATGCAGAAATATCGCCAAATCTTTCGCTTTTGTGCTTTGTAGTTCACAATAAACTGCGTATGAATTCTAGAATCATTACTGCTAGCCATCAGGAAACGAAAGATAATCACTCAAATGGTTGTCAGTTTTATATCAGACCCATCTCACGTGCTTTTCTTCAAACACACCATCTGACATGTACGATCCAGAAAGACAAAAGAACATAAAATCTTCTATTGCGTTCTACTTAGCATCTACAGAATTTTAGCCGGATCGAAAGAGTTAATTATCCATCGTGAAGCGTAAAAGCATAAGTCAAAACAAATCGATACTCGATTCTGCACGACTCAACTGTTTAGTGTTATCTCATTTCAAATTGAATATAGTGATCCCAATAAAATGTTGATCTCCTTTAAACTAAATCGTAATCGATCATTCATCATTAGAATGCTGACTGGTGTTCTTCTAATACAAGCGACAATAATACTATTTGCCAATTATCAATTGTTTCCATGGTTCATTCAAACGAACTTTCATCCAGTATCTCAGTGCATTCAAAACTGTTTAAAAAAGTTGGCCTATCAACTAGATTATCCTTTGGATTCTCCATGGGTCCCTGGCTATGCTCGCATGCCGAAAACATCATGTCGATCTTTCGGTGAGTGGCTCAGAAAGCAATGTTCCTTCGCTTCTAACAGCAGCTATTTGGACTATTCTATATCGGATCTACTTAATTTAATCGACGGTTACCAAGATTATCTTCAGCCGGAAAGTCGATATTTAATAAACTGCGGTGCACAAGACGGGCGTACAAATGATCCATTATACCAGACCTTCATCAAGTACAAATACCCAGGCATTGCGATTGAGCTGCAAGAAGGCTTTTATGCAAAATTAAAGGAGAACCTACCAGCGAGTAATATTGCAAAAGTGAATCAAGCATTGGAACCTCACACTGTTCAACATATTTTTCGAGCCAATGCAGTCCCACAAAGGCCTCTCCTCTTCAAAATAGATATCGATGGCTATGATTATCCAGTAGTTCGAGCTTTATTCCTTCATCCGTTAAATAATTGTCGAACTGAATTCGAACCAGCATTTGTTATGGTCGAAATGAACGAAAAGGTACCACCACCAATAAACTTTTACACACGATATCGCGTTCCCTATGCCTACGCGGGAGATCATTTGTACGGAGCGAGTATAACAGCATGGACGCGCTTGCTTTCTTACGAATTCGGCTACGTTCTATTAGGAACGTATGACTGGAACAATTTGATGTATATTCGATATGACCTCGCCCAACATTTCAAATTACTTTATCAATTCCCTCACAACAGCCATGATGTATGGTTCCATGGATATTGGAATAGACCCGAGAGGGACGAAAAATTTCCATGGAATAAAAATGTTACATATTGGAGCGATTCAAACACAACGTTACTGACGAAGAATAGGAACATTGAAAACTATCTTCGTTCTACCAGGACGTTCACCGAAAATATTAACTGCTCGTACTTCATCGATGTCGAATCACTTTATCTTGAGCAGCGGTAGTCCGTCCTATTTTAGAAGTGGATCACGCTGAATATTTTCGAAAAACGCTACAAAATGTCGTGCTGGACTTAACCGAAGGAGCGATGGAGGTCAGCATCCCCGCGGATTTTTATATGTCATAGATTGCGCTAGTTACGTGTAAATACTGACCAGGCAATTAAGCAATGACTTTTGACCTGTAAATTACTTGAACGCTTTTTAGTTAACCAATCCTCTACAAAACATTGAATAATAGCAGGGACAATCCATGGTATCTCTCCCATAAAATACACAAGTGTTTCCAAATCGTATGAAGCTTTCATTGTTTGTAGGGCACGTTAATGTAAAACTTTCTGTTGGCTTACCTTTTTGAAATTCGCTAATATACTCATGGATATCGAGCATGAGTTTCTTTTTGTAATTGTTGAATTTTTCAAAACATTTTGTACTTTTCATAAAACGATATTCATCATCGCGATTCAAAACATATTTATTATATATACTTATTATATATTATTTGGTAGCTACTGATCTTGACTACATTCTGAATATAGTAGATCGTAGTTTCATGTATAATTTGTTTATAAGATTATCTCTTTTATCTGACATTCCCCCATATTATACGGTGCATTCGTGTGAAAAGAAAAAACGTCGAAATATGGAATTCCCAAGAATAGCCACATATACAGTTTTGTAGAGCTTCACTTGCTCTACAACACCTGAAAAATAGAATCTTTCCCGGTTTTGATGCGACAAAATGCGAGACTAGGGGTGGCACTTTGACTTTACTTTAAAAAGCTTGTTAGCGCTGCCCCTTTGGGGCTAAAATGTGGAACTCACATATGATTTTTCGCCTAATTTACCTATACATAACGTGTGGCGCGAAATTTGCTGCAAAAAATCGATCGGTAGAAAAGTCTTATTTAGTTTTTCCATGCTTGATAATATCTGTAATGCCAGGTAGTGTCTGTAAGTTTAAAAGCGAGATTTTTGCGGCGCCCTACCCCTCCCCCCCGTCCCCATTACAGACCCAACCCCCATTG